AGCAATCTGAGTAAACAATCATTATTGACAAACAATTTCTTTCGAACTTTTAATATTTTCTTCCAACGTTTCGTAAATTTTTCAATATTTTTGTTTTATGAACAACTGATTTTTGTCATCTTTTGTTTTTACAAACTTATATTGATGAATCTTTGAAACCAATTTAACCTGATCTTATTATTGAGAAAATATTAGTTATGTTTCTGTCGTCGTTGTTTTTGTTATCTATCGCCGTCGGTGTGCACCTGCGATGGCTGCACCTACATCTGTGTGTGTCGCGATTCGATGAATCCTATGAGCCAATAATATGCAGGAAATGATTACTCAATACCGGGTTGCCTTTTAATTATCCGCATAATTACCATGAATCAATTCAGAATGTATGAAACCAACTCATAGAACATTTTGCAATGAATGCCCACTTCTCAAGTATTACTTTGTTCCCTATTTTATGTCTCTCGAAAATTTCCTTCAATGGCGTTCTTCCTTTCTTTCTTTCCGTTGCAATATTCAGCCTCCCCCTTTTCGTTTTCGTTAGCATTCAATTTCATCTTCTAATTTTCTTTAAAAAAAATGATCGTAGCGTTCTGTTAATTATCGGCATTTAATTTCAGTACAGCTGAATCAAACAGCGAGTTTCAGTGGAACCAAGAGGAAATTAAAACTGGACCCCTACTGCCAAAAATTGGGCTCAACGTCTGTTAATTAAGGTTTTTTTTCGATTTTATTTCCTTTGCACTCGTCATTTCATATCAATATTCATATGAAGTCGCGTTTCCGAGCACAAGTTAATTATTTCTTGAAAATGTAATTGAATCGACCTAGGAAACATGGCATAACTATAATATAGTTGGGTTGTTTTAAATTAAATTCATTCATTTATTATTTACTTCCGTTTTATTTATTTTTTTAAAGACTGAACTTTATTAATACCAGCTGCTGGAAAGTCATTTTTTGAATTTAAAGCATTTCAAAAAGCCATGAAAATAACAAAGTGTACTGAAATTACAAATACGTATTGTCTACGTCACGCGACTTGGCTAAATGCCAAAAAATTGTCACAGCGCTCTTGACACAAAACTATTATTGTAGATTTACGGGCTAACATGAGCGTATGGATAGGTTAAAGGCCCACAACGTGCACCCTGACCTCTTTCTACATTTTTCTGACATTTAGTCTGAAATTGGTATTTTCGGATTGTTGGTTCTCAAAACGCGAATGTCTTAAAATCAAAGTGTTCAAAAAATATTTGGATTCTGTTTTAGTAAACATTGAAATAAAACACGTGATCAAAATGAAAACATTTGAATTTAAAACTCAACTCGAACTCTTAAAAAAACTAACGTAAAACTTCAAATAAGTCACTATATCGAATTAACACGGATCAACGATAAGAGCCCTCAAATTACAATGACTATTGGAAAATCAACCACTGGAATATTTTTACTATTAGTATAAATAGAATTATTAAAACATCAGTGATTAAAAATTGCGATTATTCTCCTTTTTCCAAAGTAAAAAGGATTAAGAAAAAGATTATCTGAAAAAAAGATCTAATGAGAAACCTAAACGTCAGATTGTTTCGGTGATCTTTCGATATTTACAAATATTTTTTTGACAGACTGATTAAAGTAAAAGTACAAATTCTATTGTTATTATTCTAATTTTTCCGCATGAATTTCTTATGATTTCTTGGAATTTGAAACGAGTTGACGTACGTGTGAGAGATTGTGAAATTACCTAGGTGAGCTTCTAAAAATACGCAATTCATTTTTCGAATCTCCCATAAACATATCAAGTATTGATAATGGATTTTCTAGATTCGTTTTGAGAAACCTTTGAATGATCTTGTTTCGAATATTGTTACTCAAACTGGAACCCCTGCGGAACCGATATCAGCTGGTGCGTAGTTGTGCTCATAAAAAACTAGGCATTTCGATTTCCTATTATCATTTCCGGTTTCCTGTGATGATAGACAATTATATCATTCATCTACCGTAGTCTTGTTTTGCACATTATTTTCATTATTTCCAAATTGTTTTGTGATTAAAATTTGGTGTGAGTAATTGTATTTGAAATGCAACATTCGATGCACTTTCCAATTGGGAATTGACTAATTTCGAATGCCGTGCGGAACAGAAAAAATATTGTGAGAATGAGGCGTGAAAAATGGAGACGAATTAGGAGAAAAAGAAGTGAAAGTTGGTTGCTATTTCTCAGCTTTTTGGTGATATTTTCTTTTTTCCCCGGAAGCCATTTCTGATGAGCCGAGAATCGAAAAAAAAAACACTTTGTTGGCGAACAGATGAGAATTATGACACGTGCCAGATCACATGCCGTTTTCTATAACATTTTTGAGATTAAATTTCCATTTTTATGACCTCTACTGGTTGATGTGTTGTTGATAATCATTGCGGAACACTTATATTTCCAAAAGGGGTTTATCTCATGATCGGCTTAAATTGTTTCTAAATGAACGATTTTTGTTCTGTAAAAAAATAAATAAAACGCACACATTTTTGAATATCGCTTTTATTGCCTTCTTTTTTTTTCCTTTCTTTTTTTCTTTCCTTTTTTCACTATTTTATTGCAATTCTGCAGATTTTGCGATTATCCGCTTTAATGTCTTTTTACATTCGTTATTCGGTGTGTGTGTGTATATATATATTGTACATGTTTGTATTTTTCTCATTAAAAATTTTGCAAATTTGTATGGGATTTTCAGCAAGGAAAAATTGCGTGTTTAAAATCGAAATCGGCTGCACGAAAGCGGAAAAAAGGCAGTGTGCAATAAAATGTTTGTGTGTGTGTGTGTAAAGTAATTTGAGAGAAAACTTGACAAAGTTCTTTATACTTTTGAGAAAAGTTCCTCATCCCTTTTTTTCGAATTCAATCACCGATGCACTGGTGTTGTATTTTTCGAAGGAAGAACTTAATTCGATTATGAATGTTTCGATTGTTATTCATCTTCTGAATCATACTCGATGATTAGTGAAAAATTAAATTCAGTTTTCTGTTTAAAACATTACTTTTTGCCACATTAGCCATAATTTTGGATATTTTCAAATTCTAATATACTCTATTCATGCTAGTTCGTTTAAAATTGCCTCCAGAATGCAACTTCCCACCATTGCGGCGGCAAAAGAATAATTAACAAAAGAGTTTGGTGACGTGAAACTGCGCTCAGTTATTTTCTCATCGAACTTGTGCGAAGTGTGCCATATATATATATATATATATATATATATATATTTATATATATATATGCGACATATTAAACATATTAAACAACCAAGGTGTTCTCATTTGTTGTCGGATTTGCTTATATAAGCTTCGTCATTCGTGTCGTCATAGAGCTTAATAGAAACGCCGCATTTTTCTGCGAAAATTGATTAATATTCCTCTTTTTTCAGTGGAGTTGCTTTGCAAAACGCATGTGTTCATTTTTTTTTGAACAGCTGAAACATGTTTCGAAACTACTACTATGTAGCACTTTTATTGGCTCAGCTCCGCCCACTTTGCACCACTTGAGTTCATTTACCGTTTTCTCTCTTCAATCAATTTTTTTGTTTTTGAAGAAGAGCTAATTCATCGCCAGAGCTCATAGAATTATTACTCACGCGCGAGCATCTCATGCCAATAAATAATTGCAATTGTTCCCCGAATATGTGTGACCCGCCCATTTTTTTTTTGCTCATGCTCTCCGCTCCCGTTCTCACACACTTAACTCCGCCCATTCGATTCGAAACCTATCATTTCGGGATTTCATTTTTCCAATTCCTTGTTAGCTTTGCAGATTCGCTATCGACGGAAGAGCGATGATTTGTCGGGCAGCTGCAGCTGAGACGTGAAAATGCACATTCTGCTGGCCGTCCTCGCGATTTGGACAATTCTGGATGTGTTCGGTATTCATTAGCACACGATTTACAACGTTTCTAGTCGGCAAATTCTTTATATTTAAACTATCGTAAAAATTAACTTTTAGTTTTTAAGGACCATCGAATTTTTTCGACGTATCTGTTTCTGATGAAAAAATTGCCTACCAGAATTCACTATTGTTTTCAAAGTTTAAACAAAACCGGAAGAAAATTGAAAGTTCACCAATTCTGAAATTTTAAGTTTGTAAAGTAAAAAAAAGTTTTACGAAAATAGTGGAAAAAATACACAATTCATCGCGAAATTAAATATATATATATATAATTTATTTAAAGTGTGTTTCGGAAAAAAAATCGGTTCAAGTTATTTCAAAATGTACTCAATATCATCATTTTCAGAAATTATTACATTCCATTGGAATTATATATACCTCGAAAGAATTTTAAAAGTAAAAAAAAACACGCACGTGAACCGCAACGCTCCTGGCAACATAGTCGTTTATTTTTTTTATAAACAGACTATACTTCTTTTTACATGAAATCGCTTTTTATTTTTTAATAGCTAGAAACGGAATTTTTCGAAACCTATTCTCTTCTTCTCTTCATCGCATTCTTTGCTGTTTCCCTACAATTTTCTTTTGCTTGAAACCTTATGATTGTCTGATTATACTCTGGAACTATAATCTAAAAAGTCGAATTGTTTTTAACACAATATTTCTTTTTTTTTAATTCCCTTCGAAGAAAAAGGAATTAAATTATAGCTTAATTAAAATATTTTTCCTTCGTCTTGTTTTAATTTTAAATGTGGATGAATGGCTCTATTTTTTTTTTACAAAAATAGAAAAACTCCCCTGAAATCATTAAAAAAAACTGAAACTGCTTAACACTTTAGAATAGATATGAATAAATAAAAATTTGTCAAAAATTTTCCGGCTCTTTTTTATGAAAAAAAAAATCACAACTGCCTGAGTCTGATTTTTGGTATTTAGATTTGGTAACAAGTACGGATTTTGCCAATGACTTGCTTCAAAATCGAATAATTCCCCAAATCAAAAAATGGCCAAGTTTGTGAACGATTGAATGAATTTTAAAACTAAATGCCCGCATTTTTAGACCGATTTCGAATGGATGCCACAAAACTGAAATTGTGCCGATGTTCATTGGCTAATGGATGTGACGGGCTGACAAAAGGATGGCTGCCGAATGTCTTGTATGGGAATATCAGCAGAAGTGACTCGAAATGGCTTAATGAAGTGTGTGTCACCGACGGGAAATGCTATCAATCAATTCGAGCCGGACCTTCGATTCATGCTTTCGGGTGAGTTACACTTGATCTTGTCGGCATATCCGAAATGAAATCAGCGTTTCCGAATTAATGAGAATAATAAACATTCGATTGTAAACAGCAGATGAATTTAAACAATTTTCTCACGATGCTAAAAATTCCCAGGTGAAATACGCTGTTTCGCAATTTTCTGTGAAGATTACGTTGTTGACGCGTCAATCCTTGTGTCGACGTCACTGTATAATTAAAGAAGTGTGTCTACCAAGAATGTATGCACGGTGTTAAAATGGAGAACTCTCCATCTGATTTATGCGGCATTTGCCATTTCTAGCAAAAAAAAAGAATCTGTCACATATAAATCAAAGTGTTTATCACAGATTATTTTATCCCGAAAATCTGGAAGTTGGTGTCGTTTTCAGATGCATCGATGTTAAAGAAGAAAAAGATAAACTGCTGCCCGATATGCCTGGATTTGAAGCCCAAATATGCACCAACTTGACCGATTTGCAATATCAGGAAGATGAATATTGGATATGCTGCGATAGCAAAAATTTCTGTGCGAATCAGACCCTTCTTCCAACCGTGCGTTTCTGACTCTTTGAGAAACAAGCATTAAACTTGGCATTCTTCAGAACTTTCCAACAAGATTCGAATTGACGGTTCCACCAGTTCATGATATTTCGCGGCACGGCTTCTTTGGATATCCAATCGTTTTAGGAATGTCGTTTGTTGCTGTCACTCTTTTGATCGTACGCCAATAATAAATCCAATAAACAAAGAAACGTATTGTTAATTTTACAGGGTTTTGGATGCGGATATTTGGTTTGGTATCTCAAAAATGGCGGAACGTTCACAACGATGTTCAAATCGAAAAACCGAACAATTCTGATTCACGATTCTGATAGGTAGGTCGAAAATCGGATGAGAACAAAACGGCTAATTTTGTATTCATCGTCAGTTGACGTATGAAATTGTGAAATTTGTGCAGAATTTACGCTAGTTACACAAATATTTCATATTTTTAGAAGTGTAATGGCACCATCGACGGATATGACATCAGCCGGAGGAGGTGAATCGATTGAGATGTCTTCGATCGATCATCGGCAACTATCGGCCGATGCGTTGATTAAGCATCAAGTAGTTTTCAAATTGCTCAGTGATTTGGAATCGACGAGTGGATCTGGATCGGGACCGCCCATTCTACAAGAACGCACGATTTCACATCAGATCACACTGAATCATCAAATTGGGAATGGACGATTTGGCACCGTTTATTGCGGTTCGTGGCATTTCGAACAGGTCGCTGTGAAGGTGTTCAATTCGTGCGACGAAATGGCTTATTTGAGAGAAGTGATGATATACGAAACAAAAATGCTACGACATCCGAATATTCTGCGGTTTATCGGAAATGATCGAGCCGGTAGATATTTAAAAAAAAACGAAATATTTTTGAAAGTGGTTTACAGATTATGGAGAAAATTCTGAGTTGTGGCTTGTCACTGAATATCACCCGCTTGGATCAGTATACGACTATCTGCTCAAAAATACCATTGATGTCAAACAATGTTTTGATTTCATCAGATCGTCGGCCAATGGAATCGCGTTCTTACACTCGGAAATCATATCTAACCGAAGTAAAATTTAGGTCGCTTTGTTGCGCACAACCTCGAATATTTGTAGGAACATCAAAACCAGGAATTGCCCATCGCGATATCAAAACTCGTAACATCATGGTCAAAAACGATATGACGTGCGCGATTGGCGATTTCGGATTGTCGGTGACAATTGATCCGAACACTGGTAAAATTGACGTGCCTCCCGAATCGAAATGCGGAACTACAGTAAACACAAACAACATAGAATATTGGTAAAATGCATTTGTCGGATTTCAGCGATATTTGGCCCCGGAAATTCTCGCAGGATCACTTCAAACGAATCTCCTCGAATCTTACAAAATGGCTGACATGTACGCATTCAGCTTAGTCATGTGGGAATGTTTGATGCGAACTGAAGAAGGCAGAAGTATGTGTTTAAGAAAAACTTTTATTATGTAGTTTAATTAATTTCCAGTTCGGGCACATCCACCTGAGGAATGTATACCGTATCTCGGTGATGTGCAAAGAGATCCACCTGATAAAATCATGTGTGACATCGTGTACAACAAGTCGGTTCGACCCAGAATTCCTAACGAATGGATGGAGAATCCAGTTAAACAAATTTCATGCAAATTTCATTCAAGGAACTATCAAAATTTTAGAGTGTTCGCTTGATTATTGAAACAATGCGGGAATGCTGGGCGACGAATCCAACGGCGCGATTAAGTGCGCTTCAGGTCCGGATGAAGTTGGAAAAGAAGCAGAACGAGCTGCCCCAACTGATAAACATAGACGAGAAGGATTTAATTGATATTCATTACTCGCCGCCTCCATTAGTCAGAGAATCAGCAGCGCAAAGAACCTCCAGAGGTTTTATAGTTTTTATATTTTTTTTTTAATAATTTGATTATGTTTTCAGTATCGCCAATTCGAAAACGTGATGAGCATGAACCTTTAATCAAATAGTCGAATTCACCGGTTAATTCAAAATCTACCTCAAAGATCGTAGTATAAAACCTTTTCCGCGCTTGTATTATTTCGATCTTCGTTCACTTAGAATCTGATTGTCTCAGTCTCGTATTGCAATTTGTGAATTCATTCAGGAAACGAGTGTCAGTTGTTTGCTAGAAGATATAGCTTTACATAGAATGCCAGCTTGAGAATTCCCTAAGTCTCATTTATTTATTTCTTGTCCACATTTCATTGTTGCTTTCTTGAACATATTGATCTTCAACCCAGTAGCATTCGATGCTGTTCGTTATCGGTAACAAATTTTCCTTTGTAAAGTTCCAAGCTTTCATCTTGTGATAAAAAACCATTCGAAATCATTATCTGTACATATCACATCTGCCAATTTGTTTTATTGTTTTTTGCAATTCATTATTAATCAAAAATCACATAAAAATTATTTATTGGAAAAAACACCAGGCTTTATAATAATTTGGTTTTGTTTTGTTTGTTGCAGTGGAAAAGTGATTTTGGCAGTTTTGCAAATAAAATAGTCGCGTTATTATTATTATTATTATTAATATAAAAAATTGGGAGATCAAATATGTTGAATAATAATACTAACGAAAAAGAATGATGGGATCACATGAATTCGAATAATTCGTTTTTACAATAGGTCTTCTAGCGATTTCGATGCGTCGAACCCACTTCCTGGTATTGAAGACCGTTTTCGGCGTTCCCAGACGTCGTTTTTGCCCTGCAATTTGAAACTGAGTTCATAAAAATTTGTCAAAATAACACAAATGTTAAATAAACGTTTCTTTTTAAGCCAGTCAACACTCTGGCTTCTATTAAACGTCGTTTTTCGAAAAAAAAACGCTGTTAATTTTTACAGTCTTACCCGTAATTGACTCGGACGTTGCTCTGAAATAGAATTAGTCTTTCGAAAATATCATTAATTGGTTTTGAAGAAACTAATTGTCAAACTATCATAAGAATTAATCTTCTGAAACGATAATATAAGTCGGATCAACAATTTTCCATTTTATTCTTCTATTTGTCATCGTTTAATGTTTAATCTTCACATTTCCCGTATTCGTTCTAATTATTTTTATGCTGTAAATAATTATGTATAAAAACGTTCAATGCTCAATAACGAGCTTCAATTCGACTTTTCTTTACAACAATATTTTCTTGTTGGCGTTAAACGACTGAACGAAACAAAAAATTCGGTTATTTTTTCAAGATGTCTCGATTCAAAGAGAACTGTGCTGCGTGTCTGCGTACTCTGCATTTTATCGTACGCGCAATTAATATTTAGCCCGCCCTTAAATTTCCAATTTCGTTGATCAATGGATCGAAGTAACTGATTATTAAAGTGATTTAAAAGAATTTTCAAAATTTCAAGTGTATTCTTTCACACTTACATCCATTGGTTTCCACGAGCAATAAGGCAACGGCAATCCATCAGGTCCCGTTGGACAAGGCGCGTCAAGTCCCGGAATTCCTTGTTCCCCTCGTTCTCCTGGTGGTCCCGGCCGTCCATCAATTCCAGGTTCTCCGTCATTTCCTGGTGGACCTTGTGGTCCCTATAAAAAATGAAAATATTCATAAACTTAATCATCGTTAAAAATATACCATCGGACCCGGTAGTCCTCTTGGTCCTTCTGGTCCTGGTTTACCCTAAACATTCTTGTTTTTTTTCCGTCTAAAATTGTCGTAGAAATAACGAATATTTTCATATATCACATCTAGATTTACGACGACTAACAAAAAGAAATAGCGAAAGAGCAAAAGTTGGCAAATAGTAAAAGGAGATGTCATGCATACCGGTTTGCCTTCGCCTGGCGGACCACGCAAACCCATCGGACCTGGAGGTCCGGGTAATCCTAAAGCACCGGGTTGACCTGGGAGTCCTGGTGGACCCAAGTCACCCTTCTCTCCTGGTGGTCCTGGAAGACCTGGTGGACCACGGAGTCCTGATGAAAATCCGACATCCGCCGCAATTCCCTACAATTATTTTGAAATAATTGGGCATGAAAGAAATCGAGAAACATACCGGCTGACCAGGCAATCCAGGCGGACCAATCTCACCGCGCTCGCCACGTTCTCCGGCATGCCCAGGCAATCCTTGTGGTCCTCGTTCTCCAGGCGGACCAGGTGGACCGTGATGACCCTAATATTGAAAACTAGATAAATGCTGTTTGGTGTGAAACGTACTCTCGGACCTGGAGGTCCTGGTGGTCCAGGTATTACGTTCTTTCCACGTAACTCTCCTAACTCCGTAGTGAGAACGGGTAAGAGCTCCTTCTTGAGAAGTTTCTTCATCTCATCACTCATCGTTCCATTCAAACTTATCAACGAATGCCCATGTCTTCCCTGTTTGAGGAAAAAAAACAACTGGATAGTTGGAAAGATAGAGAGAAAAGGAAAAGCATGCTTCACAGCAATTTGTTGAAGACAAAAACTTACTCGCCGCCCTCGTTTTCCTGGCGGACCTTGTGGTCCTGGTAGTCCCATGTCCCCTCGTGGTCCGCGTTCGCCCTGTGTTTTGTTAATTACTACTATCCACACGACTTGATTAATTTGCATGGCACACACCCAACAAGCGAGCACTCTATGAAAAATCAATGACTCACCTTTTCGCCCTTTTCTCCAGGTCGGCCATCCCTTCCAGGTGGACCTGGCGGACCGATGAGAGCTTTACCTCCATTGAGCAGGCTTGCAGATCCTGGCATACCAGGTGGACCACGCTCACCAGGCTCTCCGCGATCTCCGCGATCACCCTTTTCACCCTATAATTGAAATTCATTTTTCTAAATGTGATTTTATGCTAAAAATGCTTAAAATCGTGCAGACGTGTGTGGACAGACTCTTCTGAAAGTGCCATCCGCAGAATCTGCGCAAACTCTGTACGGTGTTTCTCGAGAATATATTTTCAAAATGAAAAAAGAAATAAAACATCACTACGAAAATGTTACCGGTGGTCCTCTTGGGCATTGCGTGGCGTGACAGACTCCTGGGGGTCCTGGTGGACCAGGGGGTCCCTGCATTCCTACTCCTCCTCTAGGATAACTTGACAAGAACGCTGTATCACCCTACACCACAATCACAATATTCAGAACAATAATGAATATCAATCGAGCAACTCACTTTTTCGCCGCGTTCTCCCGGCGGTCCTCTTGGTCCAGGAAGTCCGTCTCGTCCGGGTGCGCCGGTATCTCCTTTCGGCCCAATCTTCGACTCACCGTCGAATCCAGGCAGACCTCGGTCTCCTTTCACTCCAGGCCTTCCGTCACGACCAGCAGGTCCCGGTGGTCCCGGTGGACCTGGCGGACCCGGTGGACCTCCAATGAGTTGTCCAGGAATCAGCGATGGTTGTAGGTAGACGCCGCCGCCGCCAGTGGAAACACCTCGATCTCCTTTTGGACCAGGAAATCCCGGCGGACCCATTGGTCCGCGCTCGCCGCGTTCTCCTTTTGGTCCGGGAGTTCCCTAAACAAAATCGATTTCAAAATATTCGTTTTCTTCTATTGAGCATAAAATCGAAAATCAGCAAACAGATGAAGTCGAATTCACAAAAAAAATGAAAATTCCAAATAAAATTAATATAAGAATAAGTTTTTTTGTGACAACATGACAAACGAACCGCAATTTTTGAAAATTCTCCATTTTGATTTCAATAATTTTTGTGAATGGACAACAATCAATTTGTGATCAACGATGTACATAAACATGCATCCATGCGATCATGCGCTTACCGGTAATCCACGTGGACCATCCAATCCAATTGGTCCCTAAAACAAGCAGAATTATTGACAATAAGCGGCAGTGAGAGGTGGTGCAACGAAACGAAAAAAAAAATATATAAAAGGAGGCGAAACGAAAAATAGAAGTGAAACACACCGGGAATCCAGGATATCCTCGTAGACCCTTCGGACCCTGAAAATCAACAATGCGGTGAGAGTGGATTTCGTGTGAAACATCGGCCAAATTAGGAAATGTGTGAAAGCTCGATATAATATTTGAAAACATAAAAACAGACGACGAAATGACTACAAAAATGGAATGGAACGAAAATGGTACCGGTGGTCCTGGTGGTCCGGGCATTCCGCGAAGATGAATCGATTTGCCATCGGGCGAGTACAACATTCCATAAGCTCTCATTTTTCGCGAGAACTTCTCATCGAATTGCTGGAATATCGATTTGACAACAATTCACAAACGCGATTGAAGAATCGTCTAGAGAAGAAGCGCAACAAAAAAATAATATATAATTTTTCGAATAACTCTAGACGATAAAAAATGAAATGAAAACACAACGAACTAAGGTGGTGTACGGCACTCTTGGTCGTCGATAATATGGCGCTGGTAATCCCGGAAGACCCTATAAAGATAGGCAACAATCACAACACTGTTTCAACAAAATTGATCTTATTATGTATATCAATATCACATCATTCTAATTTTACCCACAGGCCAACCATTCATTCCCCGTAATCCCTAAAATCCTATCAATTTTGTTATTCAATTGTCACTTACCGGTGGTCCGACGGGCCCTCGTTCTCCTGGCGGTCCTGAAATGTTTCAAATTGATTGATTAAGTGATTTAATCGGCCAATTGGCTTCGTTGTGAAAATAGCGCGTGGCGTGTGGAAAGCCTCAGAGATAGTAATTTGCCAATCGGAGGTGTCGAACGCGCGCCTGTTGACAAACTGGCAGACCATGGCTTGCAGTGAAAATGCACACGCGGCGCGAAACGCAAAAAATTACGACCGAGGCAGGACTCGAACCTGCAATCTTCGGTTTAGGAGACCGACGCCTTATCCATTAGGCCACACGGCCATATCGGGCCGGCCTCATTCTTCCACTCAGGAGACCTCTGCTTATTTGTCTCTTTCTGTCGTCACTATTCGAATCGCGTGCTATTTCTTTCTCGCTGCGTTCGTTTTACAAGTTCAATGTTCGCAATAGATCATTAAAATAGAAATTGCCGCGAAATCCCTGTCAAGATTTCAAAAATCAAAATTCGTCATGCATATCAACCGCACGCCTTGTTGCTGTCATGTCTACAGGGTGTAACAATGAAAATAAATGATGAGCAATGCCGACATATTCATGTCGGCTCATCAAAAGAGTTTCGGGTCAATTTTTCGTTCGAAATGACGATAATGAGAATTTTGAATTGGAAAAATGAAATCAATAGCAGAATAGAAATTTTGGGCATTTTTTGTTTCTCTTTTTATCCCTAAATTATTTACCTGGCGGACATGTGCAAGCGTGCCTAGTTTTCCGTGATTTTGTCGTTTCCGTCGAATCGGTGTCAAACTGAAAAAAAAGAGCAAAATTATTCGTATTACAAATTATTCTGGTGGTTATCCGCACTTTTCGCTTTTTGTTCCCTTATTCGGAAAAAAAAGAAATGACGGCGACGGTAACCCATAATTTTGTAGCAGCACATGTTACGTGTGTGTGTTTAATTGGCGCCCATCTTGAATGATTGTGACATGAACATTTAACGAAGACACCCATATACATAGTCTCTAATTAAAAACGCATCGGATGCTCGTAGTTTGTCGCCTTTTTTTCGGATTCATTTCAACCGAGAAAATCGCTTGTTTTTCATCGGCCTTGGACACGCCGTATTGAGTTTATGAGCGGCGACGTTTGTGTGAAATTTGTTGGGGAATTGAAAAATGTTTTGATTGAAACTGATTTTGACAATTATGCGACGCCGCCAAATGCTAATTACGGTACGTCGATGCGACGAAAGCCCCCCCCCCCATTGGATATTTTTGTGTGCGTTTCTCTCTTTCCCACTTGGACCACTTTTCTCCGCGTTTCTCGGGCAATTCGAAAATCATCAAAAACGTATCGAATCGAGTTCATTAATTTCCGTCGTGTTTCAAAGGCACCTCCTACATGCTCCGAAGATATATTGGCCCCGCTTATCAATCAGTCGCCACCATCTCATCCGTCGTCTCTCGATTTTTTGCCTCTTCAAAGGTGAATGAAGCAGCTGGACGGCAACACTCTGCGTCTCTCGCTCTCTGACACTTCCATACTCGCTCTCTCTCTCACGTCTACCGTACAGGTGGAGAATATGTATTTACAATCGAGCTGCACCTCGTTTCGCATATACATGTTTGTTTGATGCCCTATTATAGGCTGTAAACGCGCACTCAAGGAATTATTTGGACGCATCTGGACGACGTACGATTTTGGCACCGACTGATTGAATCAATTGGTGCATTCTCGGTTGCAACAATATGCTGTCGGCGCCTGTGGAAAGTTGGCGAAATTCCTAAACATTAATGGAGAGGTCTTGGTGCGCCGTGTGCGCCTTTAACCTTCATCCTTATGCTTAGGTCCGTAAATTTACAATTGTAGTTTTGTGTCGAGACCGCTGTCATTGTTCTTTTTTTGGCATTTAGCCAAATTCCCACAGTCGGCGACAAAAATAGCATTGCACTAATTCGGTATTAGAATCCGAGAATGTTTTCTCAACTGCGAAAGCGAAAAGATTTACATCCTAACTTGCCCCCCCCCCCCACACACACACATCATGCTCATTTTCACGTCGTCTGGCGATCAAACCAAAAACGTCTGGGTTCAGCTGGCCCATCGAGCTGCTATCATATTACTGTACATAAATAAATAAGTGTGCGAATAAGACGGCATGCTCTCAAGAGTCGAGTACCTGATCAATCATCTGGCATTCGATAAACAATAAACAAAAACGCCTTCTGAACGAACCTGTGATACAAGACTATCTAGTTGGGCAACCCTCAATTCTATACTCGATATCCTATTCTGCTGATGTGTGTAGATGAGGCAAATGATGAGAAATGTGAAGACGTGCGGCAAGACGGTGAGCACGAACTTTTGATCGATGTTGATGCTCGGTGGCGAGAAGAGTCGCACTCGCTTCTTCGGCGGCCACTGATCGGCGACGTCGCTGGCGCCGTCTGAGCCGACGACGACCACGTTGCCGTTTGATGAGGTGGGCGATGTCATACAGAATAATTCATCAATATTGACGCGAAACGGTTCTCTCTGAAGTTGGAAACTATAGTCGAATGGCGATAGAAAACGACGGACGATGACCAAATTTATCGCACACGATTATGGACATAATGGCATAAATCATTGAAAAGCGAGGAAAAGCGACGATGAAAAAAGTTGTCTCCGATTGAGAAGACCGAATAAGGAATTCAACCTAGAATAGTGCTCATATGAGACTAGTAGACAAATTAGTTTGAACAACGAGATTGTTCAGAATGTGGCCAATTTCGATGTCAAGATAATTATCAAGTAGAACAATCATGATTTGGTGACTCCATAGAGCTCAACTATTATGTGTTGTTGGTTAGCTTCTGATGGAAAGTTTTGAGAATCTTCCACAAGAGTTTATATAACGAGTTAATGGGGTGGCGGGTAACACTCATTCGGGATACATTCAATAAATAAACAAACAAACAAACAAAACAACAGATGTATGTGGCGGCCTTCAATAGAACTTCTTGATTAAACGAAGGCTGGCGTTGAATGGAGAAAAGCGAGTAGGTAGGTGATGGTACACATTATCGCGCACTTAAACATCCCCATTCGCCATTAAAATGATCGTCCGTACGGTAGGAAAAAAGAAGATGACAAAAAAAAAACGGCAAGTTATAATTGGGCTGACGAAAAATGGAGTCGAGTTTATAGCACGTCCGGTCATCAAGGTTAGATTAGGGAAATGGAGGAAAAAAACAAATATGATTGAGATGTCAGACTATGAGATACGGCGGGCTGCTCCGCTGACGCAATCTGCCGATGGACGACGATGGTCCCCAAGATATTATCAAACGGATTGCATTCATTATTTATGGCTCAATGCTAGTTTGTTTAGCAAGGTTGATGAGTTCATCCGACAAATATATTTCGAATAATTTGAAAAGGGGGTTTCAGATTCTGCGGACAATGTTCCGGGATTGCAAAAAAATTGTGAAACAATTAAATTGACGATAGAATATTTCATATTATAGCAAGCAAAACGTGCTAATTTTCGTGTCAAATGAATAGGAAATGAGAGGCGAAAATCTCGTGGAAACAAGACGGATAAAGTGCGAACAATGGAGGGGGATTACGGTGGGCCGAGATAATTGGCTAATATTAGGTTGACGACTGCTTCATGGGTCAGGTCCCGCCGCGAAAATATTCCATTATTTGAGAAACATACAAAAAACGAACAAGACGAAGAATATGTTCGAAAGTGCGGATATCAGTGTGGCGATTTCGACGCAAGTACGAATGACGGACAGCAGCCACGGCGGGAGCCAATTCGCCCCGCCCACTTTTGGCAAATACATATAGGCATAGTCAAGATGGTAGAATGAGGGGGGAGGGGGGAGGGGAAGAATAAAAAAATGAGGAGGAGGAAGACGAATGCTTAGTTGGAGGAAATGAGAAATTATGGAATATGAAGATTATTTTTGAAAATGTCGCCAAAGTTGGGATTTGCAGAAAACGAACATTTGACCTAATTCGATCAATAACAAAGACTGACAGCAGAAAAGGAATTATATTCTGAACGAAACGACTTCTAAATAGCGTGCAGATAATGTGCGAAACGACATTTTTCTGAATGAAAATTTACATTCAAAAAAAAAATTTTATACACTTATTTTTACTTGTATTACAATATTCCAACTAATTTTCGAAAAAAAAACTATTACAAATATTTTTGAATAAATTGCGAATTAATTTAATCTTAGAGTCCATTTTTTACAATCAAAATTAAATTTTACGTTATGCTAGAATAAACTTTTTTTTGAAAAAAAATTAAACAGTGAAATTTATTCACTTACTTAGGAATGCTTGAGATGATCATAATCTGAAAATTTTTCTATAAATGAAAAAAAAATTTGATTTCATTGTTAGATTTGATATTTGATTGCCAATTCAATGAGCTGAAAATGTCTGAAAATTCAAACACCACATTTTCAAACAAACTTGATTGTGTCTTTGTCGGAAACCAATAAATTGTATAAATAGAAGTTTAAAAGTTTCCACTTTTCATACAGTCCTCAACGAATATGTTATTTATTGAACAATTTGATGTACGAAGACGAATCGGCCAATTACAAGGTCCTAAATCTTGTGGAGAAGATGAAATTAGTTGGTAAATCTAGACAAGACCAGATTTGAACCAACTGGATGTTCGGAACAATAATAAATAGAAAACGGAATGCGTGTTTGGCTCATGGAATCGTCGAATCGCGTTTGGCTGAAGTAAAGTCGAGCTGGGTGGCGGACGGACGGAAACATCGAAATTAAAAAAGTAAAGACTATCAAGTGTAAATAGACACCGGCAAGAAGATGAAGGCGAGAAAGTGAGGCTGATTGAAGTTGACCGATGAGCTTCAACATGAGATATGTTATTGAGGCTCCAAGAGCATCACACTCGGCTTCGCGATGAGTACCAATTGGTTTTTGTCCATTTTTTTGCGAGGCACATAAGAAATTCAAACTTTTTTCAATTTCAACATTTTTTTTTTCGATGATTTTGTGAGATAACGAGAACACTTTTTACGAAACATCTGTTTTCCGAAACACTTTGTTCAGTGTTATTACAGCAGTGTTCAAAAACATTTGGCAGGGACCTCACAGACATTTTCGACACAAATCGTCAAGATTTATGTTGCACAATTCCCATATGTCGCACATTTTTATCAAGAGCTCGCTTCTCGTTTTCGAGAATTCCGCATTTTTGTAATGATGATTTATTGGTGATTTGGAACAAAAAAATCGACGACGACCACATTCGAAATCTCGCCGTTTTAAGCTGATTTATGGCAATCGAACGGATAGGATTCTGAGAGCATCGAATCGTTTTGCAAAGTGCACACAAACATACACATTAAACGTTTTCTTAAAAAAAAAACTAGCGTTGTTTAAATTGTTTTCAAAATATTCCAATATTCGATTGAAATATTCAGTTGATGAAACTGTAAATCAAATATTGAATGAGGCGATTAACGAATAACCAATTAATCGATAGGACCTTTCTAATCATGAACTCTGAATAAAACATCTAATTAAGGTGTTTCTCATTTTTATATTAGTGGTACTTATTTGGATGTTACCGGAAGATGATTGTGCATAAATTAGCCGCTTGATGTTCGTGTTGCGACATGTTGCACAACAAATATGGCGCAATCAAGAGTTGTTCGTCCACCTTCCTTTTTCGGTCACCAACACGCCGCGCGCGCGCATCCACTTGAACACATCAATCCGAATGCTCTTTTTTGGGCATCGAATCGCAACCTTTGCGACAAATCGTTTGACATTTGGGTAGAAAAAAAAACGTTGAGAAGAAGGGAGCGAGACAAACCCAACAGCGATCACATCAATTATCCGGTTGGTCTGACCCAACAGGCAGCGGTTTTTTTGCGGGCGATTGAAACGTAAAACCGCCGACAACCTGCTAATTGATGTCACAAATCTTGGCGAGTACGGAGCTCGAAAAAAATGCATTATTAAACGAGCGCTATTTGAATGTGGACAAGAAAAAAAATATAAAAGTGTGCGAATGTGCGTGCGCGTGCCTACACACATAATCAGCATAATAATAGTGTCCAGAACAATGGTTTGTTTCAACGCGGCACTTCACTTGTTCATTCCTCAATTTTTTCTCGTCCCAGCTTCATTCTTCTAGAACTTGAGCCAAGTTTAGAATACGAGCGGTGAGCCGTGAACAACGCGGGTATTGTTTGGTGCTCGAATATTCACAGTTGTGGACATACGAGGAGTCGGTTGCACAATTATGGTCAGCTGACTGCCGACATCCGAAAAGTGGGGCTTTCGGTTAGAAATCGTTTATTGGATCATTTCAATTATTTGGTCTAAATCGGCGTCTCGCAACGCTTTCCGGTGAATCCTAGATTGCACAAGCATGTGAGCTGATTGGTGGTGCCGAGGCAAATTCCTCGACCATTGCAGTCCCTCGCTGAATCGCATACCGCTGAACATCGCCGCTATCATTCAACATATAGCCGTCTCACTCACTCTCTTCGCAATGTTTTCCGGAATAACCGATCTGACAGGCACATATGAAGGTGTTCTTTGTTCCAATGCACGTTCCCCTGTTGTTGCAGTCGACCGACGCGCACGGCTCGAGATTCTAAAAGATTCGAATCAGAGATTAATCAGTGAGATTGGCCAAACAATGGGATTTGACCGGAATGAGCAGATAATACATCTCGGTTACGGTAGTTACTAGGCTAACATTAGTAAGTATTAATTACGAAGTCATATGTATACATATTTGATATAAATTGTTAATCAAAATATATAATCGGCATATAACTGACTTTTGCAACACCGCTAGCGATTTCTTCTTGTTTTTCCTTCGCAGATTCCTTCAAACTATGAGCAGCTTTATCGAGCTCAGCTTTTACTTCTTCTTCGATGTGATTTTCGGCCTCTTCAATATCGTCGACTGCTCTTTTCACCTGTGCCATCACTGTCGAAACTTCTAGAATTTTGATGTATGAAAATAGTTTCAGAATATTATACCTTCAGTGGAATTCAGAGAAACATCACTGGTTTCTACCTAAAATCATGGAATATTAGAACTATTATGCGTATAGCCGACATCTGGTTTCGTGGACAGATTTACGCTGTGCGCCTTTCGAAAATGGTCTCGCAACATTTTTTATTTTCACGTGTACTGTTTAATTTCTCTTAGCCAATGTGGCGTTTTCTTGAATTTCTACTGTCATTGAAATTTAAGAAGATCGAATGCAAAATAATTTGATGGTCCGCACGAGACCATTCATCCAACCGTAAATCTACCCGCATACAGCAATCGTCGGATGCCGATCGACTATATGAATATTTCTTTTTGGATTTTGAACAACTGACCTCGTCTTCACAAAAAACAGAAGAAATCAATAAGACAACCAAACACGATTTTAGAACCAATGATTTGTTCATTTTTGCTGCTGAAATAAATAAAATCTCGAGTAGAATTTGTTTGGATAAAAATGAATGAATCCGGAAGAGAATCCAATAAATTATATGTTCTAATTGTGTCATAAAAGCCTGCATAACCTATATAATATATAAATTGCGCCGACGCGTCACCCTATAGTTTAGATCGTCTTTTTTTTTGAGAAAAAAAAAGCGAAAATCGAAAGCGCGAAACAAAAAAAAGCGAGGATAAATGGAACAAACGGAAATCGGTAGTGCAATTGTGGATATATATGTATATCGAGTCACAAGGTTAAATAATTTTCCGGTTTTGCGCATAATTCCGAAATATTCTCGATGAGGCGTGTCCGAATTGCTCAACCCATTTCGAATCCCGGCCAAGTGTTGTTGTTCAACAACTCTTTTGTTGTGTGGCCGGTTCTCGTATTGTTTTCTGGCGAATACTTGAGAAAGTTGGATCTGAAGGTTTCTGGATATTTTGTAGACAATCGGAAACAGAATTCGACAACATGAATTCGTTGTTTTTTTTTTCGACAAATCAACCATTTCTACTACATATTAAAACAATCAATTTGTTGTTGTGAAAATCGAAATTAAATTATTGGAATTCTTTCGAACTTGGTTCCATTTTATAATTAGCGCCTCAAAATTTATATTTTCAAGTTTTTGCATTCTTCACTGTTTCTTTTAAATCCAAATGAATGAATTGAACTCCAAAAAGTGTGTGCTGAAATAAAAAAATCCTTGGTGATTATCATTTTTTGCTATTTCTGATTTAAAAAAATTACAATTTCTGATTATATATATATATATATATATATATATATATATATATATATATATATATATATATATATATATATATATATATATATATATATACAAAAAAGGTTTTGGAGAAACTTTCAGGTTTTAGAGAGTAACCAATTTTTTTGGCTGCTCTGAGAACTTCAAAGTCGAGATTTTGGTCAATTTCAGATTCAACGAAATGATTGCAGTGGAAAAAAAAGGATTGAAGCTCGCCGAAACCTTATTTTTTAAGAAAATCGCTTTTTTGTGGACATTTGGAATTAAAATTATATAATAAGCATATATACTAGATTTTTAAGATATTCTTCGTCCACACAATCATGGTCCCCCCACCCCCACAAAGTCCCACAATGTTTTCAGAAAACAAATAAGATTAGTAAATGTTAAAGTTGACCAAAAAAAATTTAAAAAAAACTCGGTCCTTTTCAGAGAGACTTTCAAATAAACAGCGAAAAGGTGTGAAATCCCAAATGATACTACAGTGCTCCACATAACTATATATCCACCCTAATGTCGAATAACTCGAAAACTCGAGTACACCCAGAATTCATTTTTTTTCTAATTGGTTTTAATTAGAAACAAATGTATTTTTTAAATGAACGTACACTCGTGTCAAAAATGATATATGTATACAGAAATTTTGGTTTTTTTTGAGATTAACTTTGCAAAATGTCCTCCAATCTTCATGATAGCTTTTGAGAGGTTTTAGCACGACAATTGAAATACCTATCAGAATTTTATTCAACGAAGTTAGTTTTCCTTGAAAAAATTCAAAGTTTATCGAAAATACAAAAAGCAAGAATATCAACTACAGAACCTTCGTATTCGAATCGTTGTGAACTAAGTCGATTTTGGTCAATTTTTGCTGAGTTGAAATTTTTTAAATATTTCGTAGTTGGTTTTTCATAACTATCCGCATTTTCATTTCTTCGCAATCGAAAAAAAAACAATTATTTTTTTCACTTTTTTTGGGTAGCAATGTTTACCTCAAAAAAATTGTCTGAATGTTTGTAATGCATCAATTAGAGTAGTGTATGTTCTTCTTCTCCTTCAGAATTGTGACCTTATGTCAAAGTGTCATATAGGTAATACAGCGTCCGCCTCCGAATTCGAAGCGTCACCCTTCGCAGTGCCTGCGTGACTATTGTAATTAACCCTTCCTTTGGGGGTTCATTCTCTCATAAATCGCGTACTGTTTCCGCATATATTCCACGACCCGTATACCATTTTCGAAACTCGCAAAACTTTCCAACATGTTATTCATATTTTTGCTCATTTTCAATGAATGCGATGCACAATACGTCACTCCGCAATACGCAGAAATACGAGGTCAGTTCGGAAGCTTCTGATCGGTTTTTTACATTTTATTTTCTTCTTTCAATTCATTGGCAATATCTGTTCAATCAGAAGGTAACTTCCTCCCTATAAAATATGCCTTAAATTCTCGAAAAAGTTCCCTACTAAAAAGGAAATTTTCACAGAAATTTTTAAAGGATTGATTGTTTCGTTTAAAGGGTGTATTATTTTTTTATATTCAATCGATCATAATAATCTTTTCTCCTTCCTGCATTATTTAATATTGTATCAAAAACGAATATCGAAACTCTTCATAATTGCTTATTTTGAAGGCCAAACAAAATTGAATTAGCATTTCAACACCCATATATATACATGCGGATGACGGAACTACTTTTCGAGAATTGTCATTTCAAAATACCTACATTGAAACCCATAATTAAGACTTCAAAAGGTCGAATCATTTGAAAATCAAATGATCGCTTCCAAAAACTACTAAATTGTGATATTAATTCATTATTATAGTAGGGTTAATATTCTAATGTGATTATCAATATTAGCTCTTAGATTTCCAATAAAATTAAACCGATATCTATTTTTGAACTATTTGTGTTTTGCAAGAGTTTTGCCGAATTAATTGATAGGATTATGTTAATTTCAATAAGACAATTGTCACGTTCCGAGTATGCAAACTTCAACGTATTCCGATTTCTGAATCAGCACATATTCGGAACACCCAAAAGAAATTCCAATGATTTTTTGGAAGCATACCGAAAGAAATTAAAACAGTCAAAAATTCGCAGGTCCACGTTCAATTTTGAAATTGTATTATTGGTTAATTCCGAAGCTCAAACAAGATAACAGATATGTGATCGAGGAATTGTTTGCGAACCCATTCTTTCGTTTCTACAAATGAATAGTTTCATTCGATTGCAGCGGTTTCGGCGATGTGCAGCAGCGACGGAATAACGGCCTCGATCGACTTCGACAAACCATTCACTGGAAAGGTGTACTCGCTGAATTATGAGACCGTCAACGACTGTCTCTATTACAACAACATTGACCGCGACACAGTGCTGTTCTCGATTCCCGCCCACATATGCGGCACAAAACTTCAACGAAGCTCTCGGAATGTAAGTGAAACCACTCAATCGCGACCTCGATTCTTTCTCGGCCGACCTCGAGACTGCCAAACAATCGACTTTATAATTATTATAACGAGAGGAGAAGTTATGGCAGTCGGCCAATTACTTTTGTTGAATAGAATGAAACCAAAGTGAATCGTGCGATGACTTACAGATGATCGATCAAATGGAGAATCGGGTGTACGTTCAAATGGATAAAGACACTCAGACATCCGCCGACAAACAGTTTTCTTTCGTGTGCAAGTTGTCGGATCCGCAAAAGACAATTGCGTAAGCTGTTCTCGAGAATCAGAATAAATAAATATTCGACAACCATTGCTGATCGGCGTGGCCTAAATATGAAACCATCTCGATATATTTCAGAGCTCCTGCAAAAGATGATGCAACTTCAACGAAAGATTCGTATCTTCCACTTCCGATCAAACCAGTTGCGAGTAGTATGACGACAAAAATGTCGAATAGTGTGCAACCTATTAAACCGGTACTCATAATTGATCAATTTCAACAAACACGCAAAATTTTATAGTCGGAAGTCCGCCAGGTGGCTGCTTTCTCTCGAGATATGCACCTCGGCAACTGGCCGATTCCTGGCTCGAAACCTTACGAGCCCTCAATGAAGCCTATCTCGACGTATCCGATGGCTCCCCAGGTCCCTGCTGTTCCTGCGCTTGATAAGCCTACGTACACATCGGTACAAGAGTCGGCATATGCTCGGCCGATATCAAGTGTGGGCCACAATGAAGTTTCTCAGCCACTATTCCCACCACCACCAACACCTTCGCCCTTGTTTCCAAGTTTGTTGAAAATAACTAATTATAGTTTTAAGAGCCGATTTTCAAGATCTTCCAACGTTCCCTCCCGTCCAACGTGCGCCTCCGGTCGCTGCCAAAACATTCACCACAATGCCCCCTCCAATTGTACCCAACGTGCACTTCAAACAAGGCGTTGGAGTACCTTTTGTACAGAAGGCGATGAACCCAACAAAAGTAGAAGAATCGAACATTAAGACGATCAAACGATACACTTTTAGGTTGACGCAGAAAAGTGGAATGAGGCGAGCGCAGCATATGTGACACCTCCAGGCTCATCCCGCGCCAGTGCATTCGAGGAGACAACGTTGAAAAATAGCATTCAAATCGATGCGACGACTCCTCCAAAACCGCATAATCATACACATCTCACAGTACAATCAATTTATTGAGTTGAGAAAATCTCATAAATCTTCAGGCAGATGCACCATTTTCGGGCGATAATTTGATCAACACCGAGGTTCTGGATACTACAAAGTAACAATTTGTTTCAATCACAATACAATTCTTCATTGATACGTTTTTCAGAAAACCTGCAACAACTTCTGTTCTCAAAACCACTCAACAACAAATTGAGCCCGAAGTGACACTGGAAATTCAAAAAGGAGAAGGTAGAGTTTTAAGGTCGTCGAATAAGCTTCAGCTTGATTACAGGACCATTTGCGCCGCCTGTTACAAGCCCCATCAAAATTGGCGACAATATATCACTAGTTGTTAAAGCACAAAGTTATTTGAATGGTAGAAATTCGAAAGATGAGCTCGAGTTAAATTAGATTGAATTTAGAATCTGAACAATTTGATATGTTCGTTCATTCGTGTTTTGCCACCGATGGAAAAGGAAGCACGAAAATCCAAATCATTGATGAAAATGGGTTTGAATACTGGTTTGACAAAACGAATTGATTATTGATTATAATTGAAGATGTGTTATTCGCCGAGAATTCGCTTCGCCACTCAATCGCGCCAAAGATTCTCAGCATATAATGTATTATTATGTGATGATAAAGGCTTTCAAGTTCCCAGGACCCGATGACGTTTATTTCTCGTGCTCAATTGAGTTTACACCATTGACTGTCGCACCTGTTAGTCCATTTTTCTGTTTTTGAAATCAATTGCAAATTGCAGAAAATCTGCTCGAAACTTCGCAGAAGACGTGAAATTGATAAGCTCAAAAATGCCGTTGAAATGCGATTATTTGATAATGTCAACGTCGAATTGGAAGATGAAGAGCCTCAAGTTTCCGGTAAATTATTTCTGATATAGATTCCTATAAGGTAATCATTTTTAGAATCAACTACTCTTAAAACAGAATGCGAATCTCTTCAACAACTCTATCAACTATGCATCGCATTAACATTTATAATTCTCTCGATCTCCTTAATTCTTAATTTTTTCCAATTTTTCCGCAAACGAAAATTCTGAAAATTTTTTATTTTTTATGCAGCCTTTCTGATTCACTAATAAAAACGGGTTTATTTCATTCATTTGAACGAACACATGAAAAAAAAAAAACGAAAACTTGTTGAGAATCGTATTGGAAATAACCGCAGAATTCTCTTGTCCTCCAGCTCATTTCTGAAGTGCGACTTGTTTGACCCATTCCGGTGGCAAGAAGTTTCCCTCGGCAATTCGTTTTGCTTCAGACGTTGTTATCATCGAAACGGAATTCTTGACAAAAAGTTCCTCGGATTCTGCAATTCCTTTTTTGTTCAGACCTGCACTACATTCCGGAATAACGGCAGCGAGGAAGTTCAGCCGCACAGCGTCCTGAATTGAAAACGCGCTTCTATTGAAGTAAGTGAATTTAATTTAGTACCAGACAGGTGAATCTGACACAAATGTCATACGCTAGACCCGCGATCACGACAGCATCAATATTTTTGCTTCGAAGAGTTTCCTCGAGCGTGGTTCTGCAAAGAAAGGTATAGGAATGAATATTAAATGAATTTCCTTACTTCGATTGTCCATTATTATCATAAAATGCACTGTATGAATCGAGATATGGATCAACACCTTTATGAATATATTCCGCATTTTCAACGATCTGAACAGTCGAATATGGTATTCCAAATAAATATAGTTTATTACCGAAATGTCTGGATGAATATCGGATCCCCATGATCCTTGAATACAATGATCCGGATATAGAACCTGAAGCTTCAACTCGTGTCTACTTCAGTTCATGATAACTATCACCTGTTCAGTTTTAATGGGTTTCAGAAACTGAACACTGTCAAAAACGGCGAGATTTCTTTTCTCATCGGCTCCATCCATTACACGATCTGGATTTCGGGCCTGACTGAGGAATGAGATGTGATTCTCCGGATGCCAATCCTAGAATACAATAATTATTGCTTATGTTTTATAATTGTTGCATCCGTACCTTTGTGTATACAATTAAATCCCAAGATTCATTGAGAAGCTGGTTGATGTGCGGAATCGCAAGATGTGGATCCTGCTCAGCATCTCCATCCTTAACATTCTATTCTTACATGATCTTTAACCTTTAATTATCACCCCGATTTTCAGCGATCCGTTTACAAAATCGTTTTGGAAATCAACAACGATAAAAGCAACACGAAGGTTTCGAAGCGGGTTTAAGACCTCATCATCGAATTGTGCCGAAGTTGTCAAATCCCATTGACGTTTCTATAAAACTTATCAAATGAAGCGTGAGTAAAACAAACATTTAAAAATCGTTTTCAATCATTACAGAAATCTCAAATTATATTCCTAATAGTTTTTTCAATTATAAAAAATATTACTCCAATCCATTCATCCATAACATGCTCGGTCTCAGCCAACGAATTGCCAGTGAGCTGCGTGAGCTGCTGCGAAATCGATTGCGTCTGATTTCGGAGAATCGTGCTGTTGTCGTTATTATTGCTGCTCTGAGCATGCACCATCTGGAATAAGACTCGAGTTGAAATGAAGTGAGTTGAAATGAACAGGGACGGGAAAATAGGAACATTTGCGAAACTTCATCATTGCATTTAATCTTATTAACGAATTGTCGATTGAACTTCGAAACTCGTTGAACCGTGACCATTTTTGAGAAAAAAAAATGCGACACTGTTATCAGAAAAGCGTCCCAATGATTGTAAGAAATAATAAGATTATACTAGAATTAAGATAAGTCGCATTGTGAAAAATTGTAGCAGTTTGGTCAGCCTACGAGCCACACCAACCGAGTTGGGCGTGCGAAATCCCACGGTTAATCGCCCAAAATGTCGTTTTACATTCGAAAAAAAACGAATATCAATTCTATTCACTTTTGTAAAAAGCCAATCAGCAATCTAGATATTAATAATTTTATATTACGGAAAAAAATAAATTGAAAATAAAAAATAATAATTTTTTTCGGCGTTTAAATCTACTATATTTTTGCATTAAATGAAAATTATAAAAGGCAAATTCTAGTGGTTTGAACATTGAAAATCGCGAGATTTGGAATGGGACTTGAATTTTAAAAAGTCCACTTTAGGACATTTCCTCACATTTGGTTTTGGTATTATTATGATTTTTGGTTGGCTATGCGATTTTTGATGTAGTTTGGGTGGTGAGGCGAAAAAATTGGAAATAAATCGAGCGAAAACTGAAGACGCCCGAATTCCGGCCAAAGTTATCATCACATGCAAACGAGAAAAAAAAAACAGAGTACTGCATTTTTTTTTCTTATTTATTACCTGCTCAAGAAGCACATTTATTATCAGATTGCGCCTTTTTCGATGCGAGAAATGATTTTGATAAAACTTTCGCAATTTTCATTTTCTCACGCCAATTATGGAATACGGTAGAAAATATCAAACGTTGAAAACAAAACACAACAAAATGTATGAGGGGAAATGCATTTGTATTAATTTGTTTTCAATTTCAATTAATAAATTATATAGAATTATTTTTATTTAAAAAAAATCAAAAATATTCAAATATATGGTGTTTTTAATAAATAAAATTATCCAATTTATTAAAAATAGAGGTTCCCGTAACGAATAGTCGTTCCATTAAAAAAAAGTGAATTTGAATAAGAAAACAGAGAATGCTTGAAATATCTGTGGGAAAATGAATCTGCAAGGCGAATTCGATTCATATTGCAAATTATTATTTCACCTGGCAGATGGAGAATGATTCGAAAAAAAAGAGGCCTGGTAAACATTTAAAAATAACATTTAAAAATAAATACAGTGTTTGATCTAGGATCAAAAATTAGAACAACTTTTTCGAAAGCCCACATGTTTTTGTTTACTAAGTGTGAAATTCCCCTCGAACAGCATTCCCGAAAACATTTATTCAAAATTGACGACCTCCCATTTCGAAAATTTTGATGAAATCAGCAGTTTTTGATTGCAAGATGCCATATACTTATCTCCGTGCGGTATCTGCCAAAAAAAGGTCATAAAATTTATAGGTAAAGGTTATTTTACTTTCATTTGCGACGACTTTCGAATCTGCGCTAATCATTTTCATGGCAAGTCATTAAGGCGAAGAAAATTTTTTGTAATTGATGAAAGAAAAAGTTGATTTTGTGGTGCTCCTCTTGAGAACCTAATAAACTTTGGCGATTGATGGGCTCCGTCGGAAAGGTCGCATTAATCGCAACAAAACAAATCTCATATTTCACCGGTGAAAAGAAAAAAAAGAAAATGCACTTTTCCTTTTTATCTTTTGACGGAAAATCTCAATTTTTGCCGCCGAATTGTTGGCAATACTGAGAGAAGGCGATCATTTCCTGTTGCACATATTAAATTCCATTAGAAATTGTGGCGGAAAAAACAACAAAATAGGGAAAATCACGCGCACAAACAAAAATTGCAAGAAAAAGAAAAAGGAAACTCTGCAGATGTGCGGCGCTCTCCGATTTCAGCTCGATATTTTGTTGGCTTTTTAGACAAGCGAATATGGGCAACGAATGAATTTTTCGATTGGCTTCGAGCCATTAAACGCGCGAATCAACCGTTTATGGTAAGGTTTTATTGCTTTTCGCCGCCGAAAAAAAATTATAAAAATTTGTCTTATGACTTACAAGGGCATAGAAACAAAAACTCGCTTTAGAGCAACTCACAATTGACGGCAGAAAACATTTTATATTAAAATACTCAACAAGAGGCGGCTGTTGAAATGTGATATTTTACGTAAAACGACAAACTGATCCGTTGAGTCGCACGAAATTGTCGACATTTGTAATGAGGCGATTAGCAAAATGTTATTCATATCTAAAACCCAAAAATAACTCGATGATTACATGTTGCTTTTAAATACACTGCAACTGTGCTACAGACGAAAAATGGTGAAAAGGTGGATGAAAAATAGATTACTCGGAAAAGTAGATAAAAACTAGGAGAAAAATGGGCGAAAAATAGATTATCTCAAAAATTGGTGAAAAATATACGATAAATGGATGACAAATAGATGAAAAATTGGGAAAAAATAGATAGAAGATAATGATAAGAAATAGACACTGAAAGGGTGAAAAATAGATGGAATTGTGCAGTTGATCGTAATGTGAATGCAGATGGCGCCATGTTAATCACAATTTTTTTAAAAATCAATTTTGGAAATGCCTAAAACTCTTCGCCATCGATTACCCAAAGAAGGTCTCAAATTGAGGAAAGGTAGGTTTGTTTCGTATATTAATATTGCTGATTGTTTATTATTTTAAGATCAAATTGCTGGTTCGCGATGCATGCCGACCAAACGTGTGGTCTTTGCTCGAAAAAACGCCCGGCTTTCACTTCGAAACAAATCGTCGAACAACGAAAATAATGAAAATGATGCATCAACAACATCCTTTCTCATGAGAGAACGATCTGAAAGCGAAATTGAAGAATTCTCCGAAGTAGTCGGGCCGTCATGCGTACCGAATTACCCCGCACATGATCGTGTATCGGAATTGGCCGATGAACTATTATTGTGCATGTATAGTTCGGTACTCGGAAAAGATACAGAAAATGGTAAAACTAATACTTTTCCAAAGACAAAAAATGGTTGCAGGCTTTTTGAGACGACTGGCAACAATTAAAAACTTCATCCCGATTGAAAGAGCCCGCTCATTGTGGTATGATTTCAAGAAGAATATTATGAAGCGTTCAATATGCGAAAAGTGTGGATGTCGAAGAGAGAAAGAATGGTAAACACATATACCACATTTCAAACATTATTATGATCAATTTCAGTTGCGGCGATTTGGCGACTTTTCTTATGCTGCCTCTCACCGAACAAATTCGCGGGATTGTGGAGTCGTCCTTTGACGATATAATGGAAATTCGAAAGAAATTGAAGGAAAAAGCACCAAACTTCACACACAATCTTCAAGGAAGTTCTTTTTCCAGTTCATGGAAATACGAGGATGAAAATCATTGTGATCTGAGCATGGTGCTAAGTCTGGACGGCGTCAATCCCCGAGGACATTTCAGGTATTATTATTATTTGTTTATTAAAGATGTGCCATTTAGAGGAAGTTTGTGGCCAATTACTTTACAGTTAGTGGATTTGCCTACAATGAAGTCGCAACTTTCAATTAATCTTGTAGTCTGTGGAATGCTGCAATTAAAAGCTAATAATCCAACAACCCTTGTTTTGAATACCGTCACGGAAATTATAATGAATCGATTGGAAGGCGAAGGGTCAACATTTGTTGTAAACAATATTTTATTTTCTCCATACCTCGTGTCACTCGTTTCTGACCAACCAGTAAGGATTAAGTGATAAAAATTTCTATAGATTTCAGTTTAAGGCAAAAAGAAAAATTCTTGGAATGAGCGGTTTTTCAAGTCCACAAGCTTGTTTTTATTGCGACTCTCACGGAACTCTGCACAAACCACTACTTGGAAACGGTAATAATCAATAATAATTTTAAACCCTCTTATTCATCGCTTATATTGATTTAAGATCGACGATTGGACAGATTTGGGGATAAGACTCTAGAAGATAGTATTCGCGGTGTTAATGGATTTGGTCCTGTTGCGGCGAAAATGGTGCAATATGTCAAGCCGTACAATACAATCTTGGACACACTTGTTCAGATGGAATTGTAATGTTGATACTAAAAGGTATCAAAATTAAGTGTGACCAAAAAAACGGCAGAAATTCCAGAGCTCATGCCTAAAAAGTTTAGATGTTCAAAGAAAAAATCTGCAATGTTCGAATGCGATGAAACCATGCTCGAAAACTTCGACAAACATCTACAATTGCCAATTGAAGGAGCCGATTTGACTCGATTGCTCACTAACGGAAGGCAAAAACTAGATGTATGTTTCAGATATAATGTTTTAGATTTTTCTTATAGTTATTCAGACTTCAAATTTTCTTGTTTGCTATCTGCAATTCAAGTTTAATACATACATATGTGAACAATGTTAAAAAAAAATTAAGAAGCATTGTTCATTGGATTAGATATTGCTCCAACGACGGATCAAGCTACTTCAGTTGCTGTGCAAATCAAAGAGTCTGCGATTACTTTCATGTAGTTATGCGAATGTTTCACTAAATAACACCATGTACTTTTAGCGATCGCCTTCGTTCAAATTATAACGATCAGAAAGGATCTCACCACGCTAGCAAAGTTATGGCGCATAGTTTGGCTATCAAAATTGGAAAAGAGCACCAACTCAAAAAACTGAAGCCCGATGCCGCTGAATATTTCAATCAGCATTTTTCTATTTAATTGAAATTTGATATTTCTAATGTTAAACAATTTATTGTATTTTTCTTTTTTTTTATTTTGTTGTTTTCCGTTTACTGTTGTTTTTTTCATAAAAACCATCCAGAAGAAAAATAGACGCAAAATAGATGAATAAGAGACAAGAAGTAGACAAAAATGGGTTAAAAAAAGGATGAATCATGGATGAGAAATAGATAGAAAACTGATGAAAAATGCAAGAACGAGGGACAGAGACAAGACATAAAATGGATGAAAAATAGATGAATCCAAGATGCTAAATAGATAGAGAATGGCTGAGAAATAGATGAAGCGCTGATGAAAAATAGACTTGAAAATAGATCTGTTACAGATCCCTCTTTCATCCAAAGTCTGCACTATTTTTCAACTATTTTTTAACTATTTTTCGTCTGTTAGCGCAGTTGCAGTGATATCACCGCGCAAACAATACAGCGGCTGATTGGATGAATACAATCAGAAGCACGTCATCTATTCAATCATTCCACCTTATGAGAATACAATAGCACGAAAAATGAGGAAATCCAATCAAATTGCAAAAATTCCGTCACCTTGATGCCACTGCAGTAGCTATTTCCGGGTGAACATCGCATTTTTGAAATTGAGAATTTATCGGTTGCCATTTTTTATTGTTCCTCCCGAAAAACTGTCAAACAATATACAAATGTTTACATTTTTTGCATTTCGAAGCTCACAATACAAATGTTTTTTTAGTCGTTAGAAAATGGTAACTTTGTGTTCTTGAACAAACAAAAAATGACTCAATAAACGAATTTTAACTTGCCACCTACGGTAATGAGGAAAGATCAAACCATTATGTGCAAGATAGTTTGATCTCGTAAAATTTGCTAATTAGATGAAAAAAGTCCCAATTTTAACGTTGCTCATGCCACGGAAGAATTTGAGATTGCCGCCAAAACTATTTGAATTTTGCATCTGGGTCTCTTAAGAGAGCAACTCTCTATTCTATTCCTAGTAACCAAAGATTTAATACAACGTTTGGTCACATTTTATTTATTGGAAAATTACTTTCATACATATTTAGTCCTAAATTTGAAAATTTTCGACTTTTCTAACATGCCCTTTTTGAAAACCATTTTTTTGATAAATAATAATTGAATCTTTGAAAAATTTCTAAAAATAGAAACCCACCAATGTCGTGCAAAATATGAAAACAAGCATTTTCAGCCGCGAGAAATATTGCACAACGAGAAGCGATTATGCTTCGGTATATTCTAGCAATTCGACACTTCCGCCGAACCCAAATTCAATTCGGCGGAATATAATCGCTTCAAGTCGGTTAGACTGAATGACTGGGGTGTCGTTTTTTGAACGCTTGTTTCGCGCAACTCACCTCACTCATGGAGAACCTGAAAAAATTGAAAGAAACGGGACATTTTTTGACGGCTGACTTGGCAAACAAAACTTCAATACTTTGAGGTTTCGAGAAGAGTTCAAAACTCGACAATTTTTCCAATCTTCTATTTAAAAATGGCAAATTTATTATACAAAAGGAAATACATCGGAATTTTGTCGTTAATATTGGGTTGAGAGAGAAAAAGAGGATTTCTTAGGCAAATAACAATTCAAAATATGCAAATAAAACTGGGAATCTCTTATAATAAAATAAACAATTTGAGCATGCCCATACAAGTTTTTTTAAAGATAAACCATTATAAGTCTCTATAATAAAGCTTCTTCGGAAAAATCATTATTTTAATTAATTCTACCTTAACTACTATGCAGATCAAGGACTAGATAATCAACCGGAATAAAGCAACTTAATGATACCCGTTAGCAGATTTAGATCGATCAAAAATCCGAAACCAAATTCAACGGCACTGCTTAGTTTTCTTTTGTTTGAAACGATGTTTGAATAAAGCACATCTTCTAATCGCAGGTATTTTTGTACTAGCTTCATCAACCCGTTGACGACAAGACGATAGAACTCTCTGCGCAGCAGACACCATCGTCTTTTGGGCAAAGGTTCGTCCCGTAACTATTATTGACCATTCGGCGGAAAACTGAAACTCGTTTTAATTTGCTTAATTAGGACAATACTAAAATTGCTGACCAATTTGAAATCTTTTGTCGGCGTTACAAATATTTTGTCCCTTAAAACCTTTACGATTTGACTAGGTTCTTCCTTTATTGACTTCGTCACCGGCGGATTCAATTTCTGAAATTCGGTACTCATTTTATGGTTACATCGATACAAATTTTACTTGTGGTACGGGTTTATTTGCCTTAATTGGTTCGTCGGTAATGATTGCAACACATTCGTCGTTGATTGTTACGGTTTTCTAAATAAACTCATAAACTTATATTTCTTAACTTGGAATTACCTTATTCTTCATATTAGGATTATAAGCCATTCCAAATGGAAATAAGAGGTTCGAGAACGGTTCTTTATCATTTTTATCCGAATACTCCATGTTGTCCTCGTTCCTATCAAAAACACGGCATATTGATCTAAAGTATATTTTTTAAGAATAAATGAATCGTCAAAATAACTCACCGATCCATTTCAATTTGCGCGTCAGAACAATCATTATCACTGAAAACTGATAGTTCTTTTGCTGGTGAAAGAATCGGAAGAGCATCGAATTCATCGAAAATACCGTTGAATTCAGTCCGCAACTAAAAAATGAGAACATCATGTAAAGCAACGTATTTCTTTTAACAATATTACGTGTTTGCTTGGAGTCTCTGGAATATTCGTCGCAGCGCAAGACGTCGATGGAACGGAAGGATCAATACACTGAACCACCGGTGGAACTAGGCATCTAAAATAAAATATTTTAAATAAATGTACGTTATCCGGTTATAGAGGAAGACGTTTTGTGGCATAAAAAATGTTCGTTCTCCGTTTTATTCAAATCCCATTGACAAAATTCGAAATTACCGCTTGGAGCCGCTCGTTATTCCAATACACCGAAGAACAGGTCTCGAATTGATTTCAGTGATATCTTGAGGTCCAGTGAATCGATAACCAGCCACATTCTCTTCATTCGACAATTTCAGCGGCGTTTTGCTCACTTTGATCTTGATCGATGACGGCGAAGAAATTCCAAAAATGTTTCGCAGCGACTTCGGCGTTTGAAGATTGGCCGAGAACTTCGCTCGCTCGGATGCTGGTGATAACGTAGCATCCGGTGTGTTTCCTTTCAAGGCAACCTTCCGATTCGGAGGAGTTGTGATTCGAGCCCATGTTGCTGGTAATTCCTCTTCTTTCTTTTCCGGTGCAGAAAATATTGAGGAATCACTCAACACCTTAATATGAGACTCAAAAATGTTCCATATATGTATTAGCATCGCAAAAAAACGAGCGCCTTGCATAATTGTCGACCATCGCACTTTATCGAGGCAGTAATTCAAATTCGAATTTAAACAGTGGGATTGGTACCGTACTCTGGATAACCAACCGAGCTAACTCACCGTAAATCGGCGCAGGGTGCTCGTTTTATTGCGAATGAAATAATAATAAAACAAACCAGCGATTCATCCGTTTGCGAAAGTAGCGAATCATTCCCCAAACTAATACCACTGTCCAGCGATAATCTAGACCTTGACGAGCCAGTCACATTCAAATTGCAATGTTCTATAGACTTTTTCGGATCTTTAAAAACATTTATTCATCAATCCTCATGTTTTTTGCTTGTCTTACCGTAAAGTCCATCGCAATATGAGTACATCCCGATTAAAAAAAATATATTCTAAACAGAGGAAGAAGAGCGAATACTAACGCCAATTCTGTTTTGTCCTCCACCTCGCTGGTTTCTGCAATAAAAAATGTTATGAGTAAATTCAGTGAGGTCGAGATTGTAAAATATACGACAACGGTATAATTTACGAGTGATCAACAGAAACGTGGACCATCAATATAAAATGAATGGTTATAAGTTGTAAAGTAGATCAAACAGAGAGTCAGAAAATTGAAAAAAAAAAAAACTTAATTAAAAAGTTCGAATATACAGGGCGAATTAGTCTTTTTTTAGAGTCAAATTTTACAAATCGCGCATGATCGCATTAATAAAAAAAAGACAAATTCGACAATTTTGGAAAAATTTATTTGATCCAAAAGGATAAGGAAATTGGACATTCTCAGTATTCAACGCCGTATCATTTAGTGTTTTAGGTATATAAAGAGGCTTAAGTTTCCAAAAGGTTTATTCCTTTAAAAAATTGTCGTTCTTTCAAACGTAAAAAAAGAAAAAACAAAGGAATTCTTCAAAAAATGAGCTTCCAATTGGTAACATGAAAAAATAATGAAATGATTAAAACGATAATAAATATAAATTTACGCGCATGTTTGGTAAAATTGCAAAATACAAAACAAAAACTAATACATCCCGCTCTCTCTATTCAAACACATAGGTGAAATTCAAAAGTTTTCGCGCCAATTTTATCGCTACGGGAAAATGGTATTGCTTAATTCACAATGACACATCGGTGATGAAAAAAATATGTTTTCTTTAAGAAAAAGAATGATTTTGAAAAGATTTCAATGAATAGATTTGTCCGACAAATAGTTAATAAATCCATTTTTAATACAAAGAAAATTTGATTTCGGGTGTTTCAATTCAAATAATTTCGTAATAGACTGACATGTTTTATTCTGCTTCTAACTGACCCTCAAAAAGACGATTCCGCTTTAACGAGGATCGACCACCTGTCACTCGAGGTTGGTACGTTTTCCGCTCGACGGACACCCGAGTGCAGCGGGAGTGTAGTTAAGAGACCCAAAAAGGACGAATCGAAGGTCTGGCTCGTTGGGAACATGCGCAAGACACACGCACTTATACAGACAATGGTAATGAGCGTTATCCCGACGAGAGACGACGAAAATGTGATCCCCCGACAATCTTTATGGGGAAGCAAGCCGAATATAATGAGCGGGTGACGGTTGCGAGATGTGAGGCGGAGATACAATTAATGCCACAGCAACTTACATAACAAGCCTTTTTACAGGAGGATTAACGACAGATGGCACCATTGTTTTCGAGGTATACAATTTTAGATTCTCGAAAAATTTCCTTCCGACTCTATTTTTCTCAATTTTAACTTCATCAAATGTGAGTCTTTTCTTTCTAAAACTTATATACGTAATATCACAAAACATTCCAATGATTTGTAGATATATATATTAGGAAGAAACTAATTTGAAATGAAGTAATCTTCCATAGAAAAAGCTTATGAGAAATTGAAATGAAAATTTTCGTTTATTATGATATCTCTTACCATTTTAGACTGTTTATATTAAAAAAAGAGATTAGCAAAATCCGGATAATAACCGGCCCAATAATGAAATGAGGTTGACGGTTTCTAAGCGGATTATCATCAAAACCTTAAAATCGAGCCGCCTTATCGCCCAGGAAACTGTGATCGACGGCGGGATGGCAAAAAACCGCGCATGGCAAGCAAACAGAAACAAGAACGGGAGGGTGTATGGCGCACAGATGAGGTATTGGCAAACCACGGCAACTATTTCGAGAGGCTCAGAGAAGCACAGAAAAAAAAACGAGTCGATCTGAAGAAAGGAGAAGACGGTTCGCGGCGAGATGATGGGACAGCCAACCGAGCGCGACCAACACTCGTACTCGCACTGAGGAACAGACGGACGACACAACGTCGCCGGCTTGGTAGGTGGCAGCGCGAAGCACGCCATTTGCGCACTATCGCGTAGAACATGCAGACAGCTAATGACAACTGTTAGTTGGCCAGAAGGATGAAAGACTGACAGAAGGGCGATAATTACAGCTCGTATGGCAGGTGTTGGGAAACTTTAGGAGACCGTCAATTCTACATCAACCCTGGTCGTGAAATATCGTTATGTGAAAAAAAAATTGAGAACCATTTTTCGAAAACTTTAATTCTAACCAGAGAAAAGATCGAAATGCAACAAATAATGAGCGTTTAGGATTTGAGAGGTCAATCCAAAGAGCACTTTCGGTCAAATGAAAGAAGGTGTTATCTGATCTCACACACACGCGCGCATAAACATTACCCGATATCTCAATTACAGTACTTCATCTCTGCGGCGGTCCTTCTTTGATTCACGCGGAATTGCACTGTATTCATATAATTGCGTGGATGACGTAGTGTGGAACTTTTTTTTGAGTCACAAGTCAAAACAATGCATATTAGTAAGACGAAAGAAAAATGGCATGTATTCTGCAGAAACGAATAGTAATGAAATAGACCTTGAAAAAGAGTGAAGTTTGTAGAACAATTTTTAGAAAAAATTTGATATTCTCAAGAGATAAAACTTTAGTCAACCACCGACTGTTTTGAGTCTCGATTTTTCTCTTTTGGAGATATTCATCTCACCAAAGAATTTTGGAATCGGGGTAGTTTTTCTACGTTAAGAACCTCAACTTGATGATATATCAAACGGAAAATACATTTATTTTATTTGATGAGGTTCTTTTACCCTTATAACCTTGAAATGTGAAAAAATCGGAACGTCGGAATGATGGATTATAGTTTTGATGAGAACACAAGATAAATATGTGCTCCAGCAAACACCTTTTACGATTTGAGCCTCAAAATAGTACACGATATGAAGAGAGCGAGACAGTATGACCTTACTTAACCCCATCGAACACCCGGCCGAGAGTAGTAGCCCTTGAAGACGCAATCTATTATGTGCGACATATTCAGTCCAGAAGGATGAAAACTGTCAGAAACGAAACAATACGTTAAAACGGTGTTATGATTGATGCTATGAGTAAATTGATTGTTCCATGATTGGCAAATAAGATGACCTAATAGGTAAACAAAACATGGATTTAATCATTGCGTCTCTCGAAAGGTCATTCGTTCTTTCATTGACTAAACTCACTAATTACCTAAAACATAACCATTACTCAGACAACAGTCAGGCATCATCACATCAGTCATTTACATTTTACGAGCAAACACGACTACCAATCTAGCGGGATTTCCCTCGTCAAAATAATTACGGAGAAACGATTTGATTGAAATTGAGAGGATTCGCATTTGTCAATTGGTTTTCATGCATAAATTAGCATAATTGCTCAAACCAAAATGGCAAACGACACCACAAAGGGGATGATTCAAGCATGAAAATCTATAAAATAGAATGTTACATTTCGATGAACAAATGCAGAAATTTGGCGGATCGTTTTTATCAGAGTATCACTTGTTCTGATAAAACGCCGATAACCATACAAGACATTACAGACAGAGTAGGTTACATCATGATATATTTTACAACCAATAGATATTAACGTTACGGGCATCATTATCAAAACCATGATTTCAGGGCTTCTCATATCCCTGAGACTTAAAGAACTACTTATAACCGATGAACTATAATTTATAGTTATATAACATAGTTTTATTACAATCGCAAGAAACACAAGAATCCTTATTAGGGCAAAAAAATAGTGAATCTGATGAGAACGTAATATGTTAAATGAACTCCCTCTATTTATATTTTAATTTGAATTAGCCCACTGAAAAAAATACGATGTAAATACCCAGGGAGCAATAAACCCATAAAACACCGTAAAAAGTTTAATTTGGTCAATCAAATTTTTTGTTTGTACTCCGATTAACCGATACAATTCTAAATTTTGTAATGTCACAAACTGGCGCGAAAACTATTATTTTTGCGGGCGCCGCACGCGGCCTTCCTGTTCGGCCGTGCCGCCTTCCGTGTGTCACAAACACATTGAAAATGCCTTATGGTTCTTCTTTGTTCACCGGACCGGGCAAGAGATATTTTTGTGGTTAATGGAACGAAATGCGACATTGAAATCGAGACGAGTATCTGCACAATATTTAATCAAATGATTTCATTGTGAATATAGGAACCATTTTTTCCTTTGTTCTCTCATAACGAATTCATTATATAAAATATAGCACCCCGTTTACTAATATAGAATGATACTAAAGAAACAGTAATGTTTTTTTTCCAATTTTGATCTACCGTTTAATACTGTCAAGGGTTGTAAAATCCTAAACGTGTTATTGCACACCGTGGTGGTTAAATTTGCCTGGCCGCGCGCGCGATGACACAATCTCTCCCAGTTAACCTCGCCAAAAAGGCATCTGGAGTTCTAGACCAAAGTGCACTCGTAACATCGTTATTCCTTAAGTCATTTAAATCGGTTGTGCACCTGATAGGTGATCCATTTGTTATTTATTTATGTTTTGCACGACAATATCTAATTAAAGGAATGTTGAAAGTTACCTTCCGACGAGAATTAGCAAAAAAATTCAACGAAAATATTTCCAGGTTTATTGTATGCCGTCGAATTGTAACATTGAACACAACAAAAGGCAGGAGCCGACTGATAACCTAGAGTAAATGACGGTGAAAATACTACTGCTTCATTGATAATTATATTGATAAATGCGTTTATTAACTGCAAACAAACGCAATAATTTCGGATTTTTGGACAATTTCAGACTAATTTAGATAAATTAGAATACAAAATCAAAGAGTAAGGTGGAAAGAATTATTCAGAATCTCACCATAAACGACCAGGTCTAAACTATGCAACACATATTGACCTTTTTGATTAGTACGAAAGACCGGAAAATCGTCACAAAAATTGTATAAAAGAATATGAGAGACTTGGGTAGATACTAAATGCTGGCAAGAAGTCGTAATGTGCTAATTAATAATAGATGGAATTGGGGTATAAAGGGGGTTTGGCGGAATCAGTCGTCACAAGAACAAACTCTTTTGAAACCCGCAATAAGTGGTTTTCAAGAAAATTGAGGATTTTTTGGAATTTCGAAAATATTCTTTGGATATCGTGATGAAAGACACACACACATTTTTTTCGCTGTATTGCAGTGGCCAATTCTGCAGGAAGATAGCCAATTTTTTCATAGTAATATTTTTTGTCTTGTGTCTTATTTTCAAAGTTACGGCTTTTATTTTTAAACTTTCCAATTTTATTTTTTTATTGTCTGCACTTTCAGTCCTGCACCAAGATCACTTCCATTGTTATTTGGCACTTACAAGGGAAGTCACTTTACCTCCTGTCTCTTTTTCTTTTCATAAAAAAATCAAAAAATTGCATTTAGCTTGCATTTTCTTTACATTCCTGCATATTGGCAAAAATTGGTAATTAAAAAAGCTTTTGCATGAATAGGACCAACTAACAAGTAACAAAGTTGTAAGAAGTAGGAAAAAACAAAAAACAAAAATGCAACAAAAAAACTATAAGCCCACATAAGAACAAACTGTCTCATGTGTTTCGGTTTGGTAACAATTGCATTTTTTAGGTTACCATCGCAAAAAAACGAACGATTTGAGTTCAAATTTGAATTTAAGCAGTGTGAATTGAATCGTCGTAAAAAAACCAACTCGAAGTAAATCGTATACGGCGCTCGTTTTTCGCGATTATAATATTGTCGACCTCGGGTGACTGCGGAAAATTTGCTAAATATCAAAAAATCAGGGAGATATGTCTTATTATGCACCTTTAACCTTTTCCGCAGTCGCGTGACTTCGACGGTAATAATAGTGGAAAATATTGTTGTTCACCTATAAATAGCAGGCTGCTTGTACTATTCTAATTAATGTATAGTTGGCGTCCGGCGACTGCTGTACGCGGGTAGATTTACGCGCATGCGCCTTTAAAAGGTCTCGCCACGCGTGAATGCTTATTTTGCTGTTTTCACGTGAACTGCTTCATTTTTCTTGATGAGTTTCGCATTTCCTTGAATTTCCAATGTCAATCGATTAAAAAATTATCGAACCGGTCAATAAAATTTGAAATCTCAGGTAAAGAAAATCAATCGAATTCGAAGAAAAATAAAATATAAATTAACCTGAGTCGATTATAAAATAATTAAAATTCGATGGAGAAAATGTTTAAATTCGATTTGAAAATTTGGTTTCGATTCAAAAATCGATTTGAATTATTTCTCAATTTCAATTTTGAAATCGAAATCGATTGAAATTCTGGAATAATTCGAAACAGATTGATTTATATTGGATTTCGATTGAAAACGAAATTTTCGAATCTGATTGATTTTCATTTACCTGAGATAACCTGTTAGTTCATTCGAAAGACGCATTCCCATAAATCTACCCACGTACAGCAGTCGCCGGACACCGACTATAGAAACCTCTTAAATTGTGTGCTCCGAATCTTCGGAAATTGTTGTAACGTGAATTTCAAAATTGGATTAAGCTATGTACCAATTTTCAGAACTTCTTGTAAATGTGGAAAACTTTATTTGTAAAAATATATCTTCGTCTTCGGTCGAGCAAAATGAGCTCATTTTTAAAGATCCATACATTTCGTCACGTGAATCATTAATGATCGATGTTGTGCGGATTTTTAAAAATTACCAATCGGATCCGAAAATATCCAAGTTTCCATAGGAAAACCAAGTCAATATTCGCAATCAGAATAAAACTAGGATAACTATAATTTCCGAAGCACTACCAGCAGAATCATACCGTTACAATCAAAATTACATTTAACGACCCTTAATCTCCCTATAATTATTACAATCGCAAAACAGCATCTTCGTGAAATAAAGTCAACCACGTTATTGATTTTTCTCTCATTCGAATGACTGACAGGGTGAAACGCAAATGGAATTCCAATCATTTCACATAATAGGATAAGTAGAAATCGAACTTAACAGTATTTAATAGATCGGGCACAGCTGAATGTAACAATTATTTATTGGAACAACAATAACAAGATATTGATCACTGAGCTGGGATCTCAACCTCTCCGTTGGCGATGGATTCAATAATATCGTGTGGGTGCTGGCCATCGATTGTGCAACCGACAGATTGGGCAGTTCCTGAAGAACAACGATTTTATCAATTATTTTGATTTATATTTGTCACCAAGAATCTCCTTCACGGTTCCTTCAAGTTTCTTGGCCATAGAACGCGGTCGCATGATCCTGGCGATTTTAATGATGGTGTCAATGGTGAGGTCACCATTGTGCTTCACTGAAACGAAAACGTGCAATCATGTTGCCAAAAACCTGGTGATCTAAATTTTCTTCGAAAAACACGACACAAAGAACTTAAGTGAAAAGTAAACTCACGCCTTTAGAAAGTCTCTAAGGGGGTTACCAGTCTTTAAATCGTGAAATTCACAAAAAATCAAGAAATAAAAGACCAGGGGATGAGAGCATATCGACTCCCGACCCAACGCATAAGATGCGTACCGTTCTTGACCTTCTTGCGGTCACGTGGTGGCTCTTTAAGCTCCTTTACGATGAGAGAAGCTGCAGAAGGGACGACGTCGATTTTCGCGACACGGTTCTGGATCGTGAGCTTGCAAGTGACCTTAAGACCTTTCCAGTCCTGGGTGGCCTTGGCAATGTCTTCTCCGATCTTCTTTGGTGACAATCCGAGTGGACCGACCTTTGGGGCAAGAGCGGAAGTGGCTCCAACCTCTCCTCCGACACAACGGAGGTACACTGAAATTTACAAAGATTAAACCATTGAAACCATGATTCACGTTACGTCATCACATTGTAGATGTTAATATATACACATGTGAATAATAGTCTCACTTACCGATCTTGATCTCAGTTGGGTCGAACTTTGGAGGCATTTTCAGTAATGTCTACCAACCTCACGGGGATGACAAAAGTGGAAAAAACGGCCAAAAATCCCACATTTGAATTTTAGACTGCGTATCACAGTGCAGTGTGAGTTGCTGCGAAGCGGATTTCCCCGCGTGGTTTGAATGTCAATGGTTCGATAGAGCGCGATTCCTGCACTCGGTTCCAAACAATTCAAAATTTTTATTTTTTCCAAGCGACGCACGAATTATTTCAGGAATAAGCAGCCCGTTCATCTTTAAAAGCATTCAAAAATATTGTTTCAATGAATAATTTTTTTAGACTTTCACTATTTTAAAATGGACGAAGATGAGCACATGGTATCTATTTTAAACTCAACATTGAGAATAAAAATGTGTTTTAGGTGTATCGTGAAGAAGATAGTCAATATTTTGAAGAAGGAGATGAAATGTATGATGATTTTGAAGAAGGACGAGAATATATCGAGGTTGATGGACAATTCGTTCTTCATAATCCGGTAAAATCGTCAATTTTTTTCGTGGAAACAATATAAAATTAAGCAACTTCCATCAAGTCAAGAACCACGTCAGCAGACATTTTCAAAAAACTCTTCTGTTGAATACCAACAGACAGCGCGACAAATTCGCCAATCTATTGCAATACACAATGCTGCACAGGCATCAAATTTTAGAGAAGGAACAATTGCAGCTACTACAAGCTATACAATCCGGACAGTGCCTACATCTTCGGCAAATGTAGAAATTAGTTAGACAACAAATTTTGTAAATATTTGTATAGGTCGCTCCAAATATGAAAGAAAATAATGGATCCCTAGGCGAATCTTCTTCCTCACTAGGTGAAGTTAATAACATTCGACACCATCCTTATAAAGGAAAGGCAATGAATGTGACGACCATTATTCCAGATGGAAATGCATTTCCTGACCCGAAGTTACTGAATGCGCCAAAACCAAAGCCCAAAAAGTTTGTAAAATTGAAATTGTCTCGAATAAAAAACTTATTTAGAAAAAATATTCAACCAGGGCAGCGGAAACCATGTAATTGCACAAAATCACAGTGTTTAAAACTCTACTGTGACTGTTTCGCTAATGGTGAATTTTGTAAAGATTGTAACTGCAAAGTGAATTATTTGTTTGTATTCATTTTCAAAATTTGCTATTACAGGATTGCCATAATAATATCAATTTTGACAGCGCACGTACGAAGGCAATTAGGCAATCGCTCGAAAGAAATCCAAATGCGTTCAAACCGAAGATTGGTGTTGCCCGTTCTGGAACAGCCGATATTGAAAGACTACACCAAAAGGGATGCCACTGTAAAAAGAGCGGTTGTTTAAAAAACTATTGCGAATGCTATGAGGTAATTTTTTTCGCGGGGTAAACGGAAACATCTTCGTGGTATCTTGTGAATAATTATGGTATACTTTATTTTAGAAAAAAAATATAAAAAATCTAATGGTATGAAGATTTTTCAACAAAAAACTCTAAAAGCCCCATGCAGATTAACCTCATTCCTGAAAGTCTAATTTTTCGATTTTTAAAATTTATCTTCTCAAATGGGCATAGTACCATGAAATACTACATAAATTACACGAAAAAACAGGTTCTTATAGTTTTTTTCAAAGTTTTTCCATAATAGTCAAATACTAAAAAAAAAAGTAGCGTTAAATGTCCTTTATATGCTTATTCTCAGTTTTTTTTTAATTTGATCAAAAATATATGGATATCATTTTCTCTTGGCATAAAGCGGTTTCCCTTTACTCCTCTTCGAATGATAAATTACTTTTATTTCAAATATATATCTATTCCAGGCGAAAGTTCCTTGCACTGATCGATGCAAGTGCAAAGGATGTCAGAATACGGAATCAGATCGTCTCTCCAAGTTTAAAGATCGAGGAGCTGGTGCCAATGCGCTGATGTCGATGGCTGCATCATCTTCACGAAACTCGGATTCTCGTCCAAGTAGTGTAGTAACCGATGATATTGCCGACGATTACGAAGAAGGAACGCCAAAGGATTCTAAACGCAACGAGCAGGATCCGAGAAAGTAAGTGAAATTTGTTGAAATATATTTATTTAATTTTAATAATTTGTTATTTCAAACGACGACTTATAGCTAAAGTGAAAATTTTCCATATTTCTATGTTTCAACTAAGAATTGTATTACAGGTTCCCATGGTTCTACATGACCGACGAGGTTATTGAAGCTGCTACGCTTTGTATGGTGGCACAGGCAGAAGAAGCTTTAAATTCAACTGTGGATAATCTGACCGACCAACAGAAAATAGAACAAATGGAACAGTTGGTTCTTCGTGAGTTCGGACGATGCCTTGCACAAATAATAGCCAATGCTTCTGAATCTTCTACGAATGAAGCAAAGCTTGAACAAGTTCCTCAATAAAATTAATAATGATAGTGTCGGCTTCAAATGACCGATCGAAGGCTTAGCTTTCAATTTCGCGGAATCAGCGTAGATTTACATACGGGTAAATTTAACTGAATCTGAAATGTGCGTACGAAAAAATGCACCGTACGATGATACGTGCAGGTCTCTTTGAGACATCTCAGCACATGGCCAATATGTTTTTGCTTCAAATTTTGATCAGTCGTTTGAATCTGAGAATATCACATGTTTAATTTGAATCGATTTTTATTCATTTTAAACGATCTCCTATTTGCAACGATTCGTCTTTTTCCTCAAATGCCTTGTCCGAAGAAACTAGTGTCCTTCACAATTTATACGCCTTTTGACTTATATGAAACCTCGCTATTGTGGTATTTTTGTAAATGATTGGTGCTAACTGCATTTACCTTGTTTGTAAAATGTTCGGATGTTTTAACAATAAATTATTTTTTTCCCGTCGCGCGAGTTTTTTTTTTTAAAGACATGTCTCAGTTCTTTTCAATATTTTTCACACTGTTTCCCACATTTTAATTCATTTAAATTTTCAGATATGTTAATCAATGTCTAATGAAGATCAATTAAGTGAAGAAGATCGAATTTTTCTTGGATTAGCTTTTGAATTAGCCGAAGAAGCGCTGCAAAATGACGAAGTTCCTGTTGGATGTGTTTTTGTTGTCGATGGAAAAGAGGTATGAGAATACACACGTATCTAATACATTTTAAACGTGACATCAATGTATTGTTGAAAAATGACAAATGTATCCAGGTGTCGTAGGATCCTGCGTTTTGTACGCAATGCCAAGAGACAGTTACCGTAATCCTCGCAGCAATTTACGGGGACATTTTATTTAATTTCGCACATTCATTTTTTTATTTTTTGTTCAATTTTTTAATTTTCTTTCGAAATTTTTTAAATTAAATTTTTAAATTTTGCAGAAACCGAGTTTAATAATGTATTTAGCAGAATAAGCACTTTTAAACGATATTTTTTGGTAAAAACAGCAGAGATTTAAAAGAAAACATTTTTGTCGTTAATAAAATTATTTAATCGTGTTTTGCTTTTTGTATGCGTTTCTATTATCTTTTTTTGTATTCTTCATTTTCAAAATAATTTTTAGAGCGTCAAAATCTTCACAATAATTCCCAACTCAACTAGACAAATGGAAAAGTGCATATTCTGAAAAATAAATAATTAAACTCTTTTTTCTACAGGTTTTAAATATAAGATTTCTAAAGAAAATTAGAAAATTCAGCAAAAAAAATTGAAAGAAAATTTTTTAAAAAAATCTCCGTAAATCGCTGCGAGGATTACGGTAACTGTCTCTTAGCATTGCGTACAAAACGCAGGATCCCACGACACCTAGATACATTTGTCATTTCTCAACAATACGAAATAAACTTACGGCCGATGCGATTTTAATTGTCGGGTAACACTACTTATAGACCCACCTGGAATATTTGAGAAAACGTAAACTAAAGATTCAAATTAGCAAAAAGAATGTTATTATGAATATTAGTTTTAAAAATGTGTCACTGAAGATTGGTCGTGGACGAAATACAGTAAATGAAGTAGGAGATCCAACAAGGCATGCCGAAATGGTAGCTATTCGACAGATTGAACATGATTTTGGAGAAAAGTCCAAAGAAGTAACGAATTTTATGATATCCTATTGAAAAAAGTGCAATTTCGTAGATTTTGAAACGTGCTACTTTGTATGTGTCATTGGAGCCTTGTATTATGTGTTCTTCGGGAATGTATCAATTAGGAATCAAACGAATGGTTTATGGTGCTGAAAATCCGAGATTTGGCGGAGTTCGAAGTGTCGGATGTGCCGAAAAGTATAAAATGAAGGACAATATTGAGGTATTCAATCACATGTCTAGCTGGAAATCTGATTCTTTCAGATTGTTCCTGGAATATGGTCTGATAGATCAATCTCGATGCTCAAAGCATTCTACGAGAAACAAAATCCATTTGCTCCACCTGAAAAACGCAAAACTAAAAAACCAAAAGTTGATCAATAAACGCTTTATCAAACAGATGATATTCATTCATTTTGATTCGTTTTGTACGATTTTATCATTTTTCTTAAGTTTTGCTGGTATCTTTGTACAATAATTTGATCGTTTTCAGATATCAATGTCATTATCAAGATTATGTCGGCCTTCATTGTTCCTAATCTCTTCTAGCTCTAAAATATTTTATTCGTCTGGAATATTGAGAAGATCCTTGGAATTGAGACCACAGGTTTCGAATGTTATTCGACAGTTTTCGAAGGTATTACCTGGACAAATGTTTTTGCTTCAAAATTGATATTTAGAAGTTGAACAGTGGTAATAATAAAAGGGCAGATGAGAAAAACTACACATATTATGTGTTGAGTTTGATTGTCGTAGCAATCGGATGCACATTCGCAGCAATTCCCGCATACAGAATTTTTTGTGAACAGACTTCATTTGGAGGGCTAACACAAGTAGAAATTACAATAATTGAGAAGATTGCCATATAAGATGATATAGGTGGCGAAGGATTTTGAAAAAATAGCAAAAATGAAGAAGGTTGAAGATCGTTTGATTCGTGTTCAATTCAATTCAGACGTCCCGTCGAGTATGCAATGGGAATTCAAACCCCAACAACACGAGGTATGCTAGATCGAATGTATATAACTAAAAATAAAATGTTTTGAGATTTATGTTCACCCAGGAGAAACCGCTCTCGCGTTTTATACAGCGAAGAATCCAACAGATAAACCGATTGTTGGGATTTCGAGTTACAATTTGACACCATTTCAAGCAGCTTATTATTTTAACAAAATTCAATGCTTCTGTTTTGAAGAACAGATTCTGAATCCGGGCGAGCAAGTCGATCTACCAGTGTTCTTCTTTATTGATCCTGATTATGTCAATGATCCAGCACTTGAATATTTGGATTCAATACTCCTTAGTTATACATTCTTCGAAGCCAAATCAGGATTGAAATTACCTGATCCGTTTGATCCGAAAAATCGTCCTTCGAACATAAAGTCAGCATAAACGTGTATTTCTTTAGAGTAGAATTAGGATGATTTTTTTGTTATTGTTTTTTAATATAATAAATAAAACAAATTGCGTGTGATAATTGCATATTATTAAATTTTTTAAAATATGGTTTGCTTCTCCACTCACTTTCTAAAAAGCCCATTCAATTTCATTGCACTTAATAATTTACTTATAGTATGCCACCGAAAACGAGATCGGCAAAACCTCTCCAAGAAAAAAACGGACAAATGCCAAATTTGAAGCGAAAAAATACTGAAATTATCAATGATTCGAAAAATAAAAAGTGTAATCGCTTATAAATATATGTAAAATTGTTTTTTTTAGCTTGAAAAACACTGAAATTTGTGCAAAGTGGATTCCAGATGCAGCCACTTCGTTTTTTGAAAGAATTGAAGATTTAACTGCTTTTGAAGGTTACATTTTTTTCAATGGTACAATCCAATATTCGGTGCCCAGATATGCCTTCTCGATTGTTGAAAAATTGATATATCTTTAGCTCTAAGTAAACAATATACTTTCAGAATCTCTAAGTAGTGTGTACAAATCAAGATTAGTAGGCCCATTCCGTTATTTGAAAAAAGAAATTGGTATTTTCCCACAATTTTTCCAATATTATTTTCGATTAATTCAGAATTGAGAGACAAAAGCGACATTAATGTTATCCTAGTCGATCACAATCTAAATGATTTACCCGAAATGCAAACATTTCTCGAATGCGAAAATGGACGTTACGCATTTTGGAAGTATATTGTTTTTGATTTACGAAAAAACATGAAGTTATTCAGAGATTTCCCTTCACAGACTTCTGCGTTAATTGTTCATTGCTCAAATGATGAAGCATTTCCGAAAATTCGGCCAATCGGCACATCTGTTGAGCATGCCGTTTTAGATCTTTGTGGTAAATTGGAAAAAGCCGAAAAACTTCTTGGATATAGCAATAATACTTGGGAACAAGAAATGAAAGAAGTGCTGAAAAAAAGAAATAAAGAAAAAGTAACACCGTTTGTCAATCAAAATATATGTTTCTTTTTCAGATTGGAAGTCCGCCGCATGATGTTGGAATTTGGGTGAAAATGAAGGGATCTATTGGATATCGAACACTAACGCAATCTTCTCGTAAGTGTCTAGAAACAAAATTAAATATTCCAAAAATTGAAATTTTATTGTTTCGATTTTTGCTGTTTCAGGAAAAATGAGAGAAACCTTGAATTCTATTCGAAATGGAGATGAAAATCTGCGACAGAAATCTATGAAATGTTTAGAGGAAGAATTACGGCATTTACAGGTGTCGTTCTTTTTTGTTATAATTATTGTCGGTTTCAAACGACTTGTTGAAATTCAAAATCATATTAGCTGGGTGCAATGGTGTCTTGAGGCAAAGAGACGTGTATGTATGCCTCATTAAAAATAGAATTCTACTTGCTGGAGGTTAGCTAAAAAAAAATTGGAAAGTGAAAACAATTTCCAAATGGACCTATTCATGTGAAAAAAAATGTAGTGGTTACTGAAATTCAATGATGAAGAAATCTGATTTAAAATTAAATCCACGCCGCAGTTTTGGGAGTGGTGCATTTCTGCTTGTAGATTTACGTGAATGCGTCTTTCGAAATGGTCTCGCAAGGACTAAAAAGTTATTTCAAATTTTATGGACCGGTTTGATAATTGTTTAATCGAATGACGTTGGAAATTCAAGGAAATGCGAAACTCATCAAGAAAAATGAAAAAGTTGACGCGAAAACAGCAAAATAAGCATTCATGCGTAGCGAGACCATTTCAATGCGCATGCGCGTAAATCTACCCGCGTACAGCAGTCGCCGGACGCCGACTATACGCATAACTCAAATTTTCGGAAAGCATATCTGCATCAATCCAATATTATATTTTGTCGATGACGGACGAATTTGATAAACTTGAGTAATAAAAGGTGTTAGTCATTTTTGATCTTAGCGCGAAATCACCAAGTTTGGGCATGCGCCTTTGATATCTACTGTAATTTTCAATGCATTTCACAAGATAAAATCGAAAATAATTACAAGACCATAGCGCCAAAATTTGAATAATAAGCAACGCTTCTCTAAATTCGTTCGTCCTCGGCAATAAATCGAGTTGATAAATAAATGGATAGAGAATGTGTTTAAAGATATATTTTTGATATGGAAAAATTGTTTCCTCATTCGCTTCTGCTTTTATAGCAACTCGACAAATACATCGGGCGAAACAGTGTGTTTTCTCGGATTTGGCGAAACAAGCAGGTTGCACTACATAGTTCGCCGATTTTAGGAAAACAATACATTTGTTCTATTTTTACAACTGTTTCTCCTAAAAATGTGACATTGTTTCGTCGAACCGGAAAAACTCGTATTGCCCCAATGAGTTTTCAAAAAATTTGAAAGTTGTGCATACACTGTCACCAAAAATGGACCATTCCAAAAACTGCGGTGTGGATTTAATTGTAAGTGAAATCTGCGAGACTCATGATGACAATATGTTGCCGTGCGTCTTTTTTATAATTAACTCATGGATATCGCGTGTAGAATTAGAACTACACTGATTTTGCGAAATCGAATTTGCCAATTAATATGTCGACTGAGACTGACAGTAACTATTTTAAAGATAGCCAATGATGAATGTGATTTTGGAATGGGACTCGAATTCGGCCATTGGCTTTTTCTGGCAAATACCCCGTATGTCGAATCGCTTACGCTTTTCTCTCTGAAAATGGCATATACACTTCTTGGAAGAAGCGAATTCGTTACGATTCTTGAAGATACATTGAAAAAACGTAAATTGTCCATTTGAAACTGAATAAACGAACTGTATATTATATGCTTGTCACGTTGCTCTGGTTTAAACTTCGCCTATTTATGATCTCATACTCTGTAAAATTTTTTCAATGAATCATTGCTCAGACTACTGTATTTTCTTAATTTCGAAGCGGCATAAGCTTTATTTAGCGAGCAAAACGAAGCGAGTTAATGGATTAGAAATAATCGCGTTCCTCTTTTGGGAAAATGGTCTCAAGATTGAGAACTCCAATGTCGAAGACACGTTGAGCACGACCTCCAGCCGAGATGTACGAGTCTGGGATGCGGAATTTGACCTTGCGCTGTCCAGGCTGAAATCAAATACTTAATTTAATCTCATGCAAGGTTTTTTTTACTTTGATTCCATCGTCGCAGTCGTGGTAGACTTTGAAGACAGGATCGATGTTAGTCAATTCGCGTTCCGATCCCTGAATATCCATAATGTATACCTCTAGATAGATTCGACCTCAGATTACCGCGAGTGAGAAAGATCCATCGTTTCGGGTGAATCCTTCATCTAGAACGTCATCCGGATCCGGTCCGTCATCTTCATCCCAGAGCTTAACTTTGACTCCGGAAGCCGGCTTGTTTCCGCACATGAGACGTCCGGAAATCGCAACTGCCTAAATCCGATATGTATCAAGCTGGGTCGGGTGAAACTATATGAACCTGTTGACGCATTGCGATGGTGCATCCGATGAGAATGCACAAGAAAGCGATGGTCTTCATCCTGAAAAATGGACGAATTAAAGTGAAGAATATGGGAGCACATTTATAGGAAAACGAGCAACGTCACATGAGCACCGATTGCGACTAATTAATCTCGTCGAATTGGCCCCGATTTTGAGGAAAAAAACGTATTGTCAACAACTGTCGTCGATTAGGTGCCATCAAATGGGAGCAGTGGTGTTTTGAATGGCACGTATGATCAAGGAAACATCAATATGACTCAGTTGTTGGATCGCGGAATGAGAACGAATTGAAGTATTCACAATGATTCTGAGTCACCATTTAAAATAAATTTCTGGAAAAATAGAAGTGACATCAATATGATGACATTCATTTTTGGTGTTTGAATCAAGTAGTCAAAAACAAATGGAACGAAAAATGAAATTCTTTTCTGAAATACTGTTGTTCCATGGATCAATTAACCATATTAAAATTGAGTAAACCTCACTGTTTTGGGGGGTTTCGATTATTTTAATTGTTGTTTCATCGGTCAATTTATTGGCCGGTTTGTTGATTTTTTTGTGTCTATGTGTGCGAACAATTGTTGTGTAAAGTAGCGAGTCGTGTTGGTGACAGTTGTTGCTCAATCCGAGTGTTTGCTCCCTCCCCTCAATCTGGTCATTCCCATACGGTATGAGATTCATCGTTTTGTGCGCCTTGATCGGAGTATGTCTTGCGATGCGCGATCAGTCGATCGCCGTCAAGGTTTGTGATTTCGTGCTCACCACGGTCTCAATTTGAATTACAGGGAAAATTGGTGTGCGGCAACAAGCCGGCGAACAATGTGCGTGTTAAGCTTTGGGAAGAGGACTCTGGTCCAGATCCAGACGATCTTCTTGATCAAGGATACACCGATGCTAATGGCGAATTCAATCTCAAAGGAGGAACTGCTGAATTAACCACTATCGATCCAATCTTCAAAGTCTACCACAACTGTGACAAAGGACTCAAGGCAAGATTTTCGATGTGAAAAACTTGATTATTCTCTTCTATTCAACTAAAATGTGTTATTTTATGATAAAATCAATATAATTCAGCCTGGAAGCAGAAAAATCAAGTTCAAGCTTCCATCGTCTTACATCACCAACGGAAAGGTCCCGAAGAAGACGTTCGACATTGGGGTTCTCAATCTTGAGACCGTTTTCGCCGAAGAGGAACGAGAGCTGATTGTTTCGAAATAAGACAATTTAATAAATTTCGTTTTTTTCTCGTATGTTCTTTTTCAATAAAACAGTGTGTGTTCCAATTGAACAAGCCAAGCCGTATTCGGTCGACGTTTGCGGATGCGAGATGCGCGGCTCCGATAACGGTCTCGTTTATCCGCCACTTCGATCTTCTTCCCCCGATTTTCTTCCCTAAGCAAAATGTCGATAAATTGCATTTTCAAGTTGCTTCACTTCCAAACTTTCTCGTGTAACATTTTTGCGAATCTTGTTAATATATCTCATCGGAAATCCGCATTTTGTATGCTAACCAGTCTTCGTCTTCTCAAACCCTAGTAGAATGTCTGGTCAAATTTTAAATTTCAAGGTAACTTCTTGTATTTCTGCTTCCTCTTTTGGATGAATAATCTGTACTTCAGTTTCGTCGATTTATTAATTATTTTTGTTTCTAAAAATGTAACTTCTATTTTGAATATTTTAAGGTTATATGGTAAGAAATTATGAAATAATGCTTTTGGCTTGAAAGAAAAATTAAGCTTCAGCTGAAATTGCAAAAATGCGGATTTTCGAAAATCTAAGCGCATCATAGTCAGAATTATGTGTATTATTCCTGGTATTTCAGCTCCTCATGAAGGGAATTCAAACAAACGTTAAATCGCTGAAACGCACCGGTGTCAGAAGGTTTCCACGTTCGAAATTCGTCAAAAATGTGCTAAAAGTGAATTTTACAGTATGATTTTATACGTATTCGCCACTATTTTCTGCTCGCTTATGGGAAAAGTGACAGTTACTCGATTTTTCTTTGACTATCCGATTGTGATACTGATGATGCAATCCGCTGCCACTCTGTTTATTGTGGAGGTGTTCCGAGTTCTGGGCATCATTAAAATTGCACCATATTCGTTTGAAAATGGACGCCAATTGGCGGTTCCGTCGTTGTTGTATGCCGCTGCTCAATGGATTTCGGTCGCTTCTTTCGAAGGAATCTCGATGCCAAGCTTTGATTCCGTCAAAAGGTGTCTTTTTTTCGAATAACAACATTTTAAAACATTGTTTTTTTCTAAAGATTTACTCCGTTATTCATCATGTTCGGAATGGCAATTAAAAACAAACAACAGAAAATGGATGCGAATAAAACGTTACTCATTCTCGGAATCTCGTTTGCTACCGCTGTCACAGGTATTCGACATTATTCTTCAGACGATCATTGAGATTGCAGTAAACCTTGATCTTTCTCTTGATCGTTATTCGTTCCTTTTCGGCATACTCGGATGCTCACTTCAAGCTGCTGCGTATTTGCTGTTTGAGGAGAATTTCCAAATATTTTCGGTTCGGATTTCATACAATTCTCCCACTAAATTTCATTTTTTAGGCTCTAGAAGTGCTTTATATGTATGCTTTCAACTCGTTGATTCTTTACATTATGGCCGATATTGTTCAGGTTTGATTTGAAGAAAAAAATCGAATTATGCGACGTCCAATTTTAGGACGAAATTCGTGATGCCTTCATGTATCTCATCACCGCCGCTCATCCACTTTTCATCGTTTATTTCAGTTTGTTACCTACTTAAAACAAGTCAGCTGATCAATTTTGCAGTAATCACGTTGATTGCGAGCATTGCATTCCATTGGGCCACTTTTGCGTGTTTGGAGAAGAATGGGGCACTTAATATGCAAATCGTTTCGAATGTTCGAGCAAGTTTGGAAGTATGATATTCATTTAGACAGCATTCGTCTGGAATGAACTATTATATTGAAATGATGAATCAAAATTCGATTTTTCCATCCTTTCATGATTTCAGATCTTCATCGCATATTATCTTTCGATCTATTTGTTCTATGATGTCTCGCCAGGAATTTTCAACTGGTCTGTTCAAAAAATCAAAATCCTATCGAGTGCAAAATGTTCTCAGGTTGTTCCTGATCCTCACGTTTGTTGGAGCAAGAGCTCTTTACCATCGAGATGTTGAGCCGGAGATTGTCCAAGGACCATGGATGACAAAAGCATAATTGTATATTGGAAATAATAAAATAATTTATTGAAATGTTCGATTGGGTTTTCAAAAAATTGGAAATTTCCATAATTATATATGAAAACGACATAACTAAATACTATAAAAAATTCAGTTAAAATGGCCGAGAACTCCTCATTTTCAATTCACTTCTTCGTCATGTTCTGTTGGTTTTCGCTCACTCTTACGTCGGAAACTCTTTATAGAATGGTGCTTAATGCTCTTTATTTCGAATTTCCTGCTCTTCTCATCATGTTTCAGTCATTGTTTGGCCTTTTGATTATGCAAATTCTTGGGTTCGTATGTTTTGATTTTCATTAAATCTGACGATATTTCCAGCAAAATTGAGACTCCGTTTTTGAAAGGCTGCGCGGATTCCGTAGATTTGCATGCTATTCCGGCTTCATTCGCACTGTCATTTTCTATTTTCACAAATTTGATGGCATTTTACAAAGTTCGCAACTCATGTGCATGACCATGATATCAAATTGATGTTCAGGAAACATCAGGATCATTTCTAATTCAGTATACGATAGCTCCTTTAACAACGATCGCAATTTCACGATCAACATTCAGATCGCGAAATATTTCGCATTTCAAGATTTTCTGCTCATTTGTTTCTTTCTTTTTTGCGTATAGAACAAGTAAGTAAGCTTTTTGCAATCCATACATTTCATATTTGAATTTTGAAGCATCAATGGAAGAATTATCAACTGATGGAATGGCATTCGGATTGTTTCAATTATTCTCAAATCTTCTCTGCTTGGTGTTATTGAAGAGTTATTTGAAAAGGTAGGTTAGATTTGATATATATTTCGTCGAAGCTTATTCAAGATAAAGCCTGCGCTTTATTGTTTGAGAAAAGATTGATATTTTCAAGTTGTCTTGATAACTCAGGACTGCAACATGTCCGCAGATTCTTTCAATCAAATTTCTTTTTTTAATATTTGAAAAAAAGTGCCCCCGCGTTCACGGGGGTCCGCATAGGCCCTTATAATGCCGTACATTTTACCCAACATAGGAAGACATCAAATCGTGTTTTTTTTTTTTGCAAAATTGCCAGCAATTCAAACAAGCGCTCTCCGGGGGTTTTTTTTTTGACAACCTTAGTGTAGGAAATATGAAGGACTAGGATCGAATTTGCCGATTTATTGAGATGAAAAGATGACTTGCAGGAATTCGACGCGACGTTTCTTGTTTTCTCATTTCGCATATTCGACCATCGTCCTATTTATCTATGAGCTATATTGTCGGCAAATTCACAATGCAGTGTTGTATGTGATGGTCTGGCAAATGCCCAATTTTTATCCCGTCATTTTTGCGTTTTCACTCAGTTTCATATTGTTCATTGTCTCGTTATGCTATGTTGTAACACATTTTGAAATTGCAACAATTGGGTTGGCACAGAATGCGATTGGTGCTTGGCAGGTGAGTTGAATTTAAGCGAACCACATTTTGAGGTTAATCCTGTTTTCAGTTCGTACTCGTCAATTATATCTACGAACATATTGCAATGAAATCCTATTACGAAATGCACTACAGCTCCATATTTGGAGCATTCACCTCATTCGTTGCTGCTTTTCTCGTTTTCAGAATCGACGTGAATCGGCGAGTGAAAAACGAACACAAATATTCGGAAATAGACAAGAAAACAATATATAAATAAATAATAACTTCATTTCTACATAATGGGTTCTTGACACATCACAAATTACAAAGAGAATGACTAGAATACGGTAAGTAAGTGACATTGATGAATATTTGACTAATCTAAAATTAAATCTACCTGATTTTGGTTTATTGCGGAATTGTAAGTGTCGTTTAAAAGTAAAATGTTAGACGTGTAATAAATAAATAAATAAATAAGAACCTAAAATCCTTTTGGACGTGGTGGAATAACCGGTTGTTGAGGTCTCGGTGGTGGAGGTGGTGGTGCTCTTCGAGCAGGAATCTCGGGCGGATTCGAAGACACTCTTGGCGGTGGGGCTGGTGCGGAATGGGTGAATGGATTGAATAAACACGCGTTTTTGTTGTTATTATTGGCGGTTGGTGTCATTTGGTGAAGAGCTGGAGGTACGAGTGGCGGAACATGCTCAAACCAAGAACTATTGGCTAGAGAAGCCGATGAAGCTCGGGTTGGCATGGAAGTAGAAAGAATATCATCCCTGAATGACTAATTTTTAAACAAAATGTGATTTTTTAAACATACTTTTCCTTTGGCCAATCCAAATTTGCCATACTGATCGCTTCACTTCTAGCAGATGGAGGTCTTGGTCGCTCAGGAACTGCACTGTTCAATGTCAGATTTTGTACACTGATCGCGTCTTCATCGTCTTCTGTAATATTTTGTCAGTGTGCAAAAAGCGAAAAAAAAAACAAAACCATCAAAATCAAAAACGGCGCCAACTGTATTGTTTTCAATGATTGTGTCAAATGTGTCAAGATCGAACTCGGATAAATGTGGTTTCAACGAATAAATCCAATCGGGCGATCGAAGACGAACTCGGATTTTCTCGTTTTCTAAATTAGACAAATTAAATTAATGTTACAGCCTGTTTTTCTACCGATTGTCAAACCATCCATACTCAAAGCAGCCAATGCCATTTCGCCACTATTAAGGATAATCCATAGCTCGCCGTCTTCAAACTTGCTCAATTGCACAACTGCTCCAAGCTCCTTGAGTTTCGCATGAATTGGAACAAACATTGGTGGTGGGAAACGCTGTTTTCCAATAATGTTCACAATTATTGTTCCATCAGGAGGACCCATTGATCTATAAATTTCATGTTCAATTGATTCATCTACATATTCCTTTAAAATCATACTCGACAACGTCTTCAATCAACTCCACACATTTTTTGCTATCAACTTTGTGAGTTCGAACAACAAACAGAGCGCCGACTGGACGATGATCAGACGTTTTGAGTTCAGATCGATCATAGCTCAAGAGTTCAGTGCACACATTTCCCGGCTTTCGCTGATCTTTCCACAAAATTCGGTCAGTCCATGCCGGTGCTCGACATTTTTCGCTCGTATCGTAATCATCACTAAATGTGTCATACTTGTAAGTTGGTGCAAAGTTCAAAGTGCCTTCGCTGAATCCAACGAACACCTGAAAATAGAGCGTTATTGAAATTTGCACAAAGAGATCGATATACATTTCCCTGTGAGAGTTGCTGTCTCAATTGATCATTTTCAATAAGTTTTGAATAATCTCCATTTCTGACAGCTTGTTTCACTTCATCTCCAGGAAGATTTATTCTATAATTGAAATCTCCAAGCCAAAATATGACATCATTCGATTCGACGTCTCGTCCTAATGGAAATCGAATCTTCTTCAAAGCGGTCGCATAATCCTCATTTCGATCTCGAATCTAAAATTCAACAAATAAAAAGACACACACTGAAATATTTGAAAAAAAACCTCATTTTGTCCGGCTGCAAAATGAGAACAAATAAAGCATATAGAAGTCGAATGAACAACTATTCTGAACGCAACCGATCCCTGAACAAGCTAAATAGGTTCAGAAAATCCATGTGAAAAAAAAACCTTATTTCCTGTTGCTCCTCCCATTCCGGTTTTCACTGAAGCAACCGAGAAATCTTTAAGGAACGGCGAGATTCGGGGTCTTGCGAATAGGAACAGACAAACGCCGACAAGTTGTTCGGACCCGATGAGATCATATTGCGATTTCTCCGACAATGTTTTCCTAATGCTTTCACACCAAAGACGTTGATTTGTGGTGCTCGCTTTCACCATATTGCTTGCGTTCAAATCGACGAGTTCTTCGACTCCGATTGCCACAATATCAGCAGCTTCTTCATCTTCAACCGACACGAGTTTCATCATCGAATTCGCGAATATCCAATGCGACAAATTCGCCTCGTTGCGGAATGCAACGTTGTGCACATTTTTTCCACCATTCACGTTCCATGTTCCGACAAAGATTTTTATTGTTTGTGGTTCAGCAATTTCTGGTCCGCGCTCGACAATTTGCGCAACGGCATCCGCATATTCTAAAATCGAGTATATTTCAACGTATGTATAAAAAACAGAAAAAAAAGACAAATCGACGACAAACCACATCGGGCGAATTACGCCAGCGACGCTGTTTTGTCGCTTAGAGTTTTTTTTCCGACTAATTTGCCAAAATTATGAGCAACAAATTTACAAATCACATTACAACATTCAAAAATTTACCGTGATAATAATAATTTTCTGAAAATCTTATGAACTATAAGGATAATTAAGTGTCACCAGACTTGCCTTGTATTATACTAGGAGGAAGCAAATTACAAGCTCTGTCGAATAATCGAGGATCATAAGCAGCACCGGTTAGGAAAAGATCAAAAGACTCTTGTTTCGCGCCGTCCATTAAATTATTCTGAATAGTTCTTGCTAATGATCTCGAAGCATCTTTGAACTGAAATAAATAACTCCATTGAATTATGAGAAGAATATGCACACCTTGCTCTTTCCATCGAGTGCTCCAGTTCCGGCATAAATCGTCGAACACTGGTCTCCATTTTTTACCCACAAATCTTTAAGAATCTCCTCAACTCTCTGCTCGACATTCACTTTTCCTGCGTCGAGTTGAAGGAATGCCACTTGATCATGTGACATGAGTAACCCAATGGCTGTCTGGACTGAATTCGTGCGATCTAAGCAATCCAAACAATTTGTTCGAATAACACCGGATTGTCTCCTTTAATTTCAAATAATACAATCCAAAATACTGAAAATAATTGACATACTTGACCACTTCTCGGCCAATTGAAAAATAGAAGCCATGCTTTTTCAGATGAGGTTCAAGTCTTTTTTTAAGTTGATTAATCGCATCTTTGGATATTCTCATTTGGGCGTGATAATCGAAATCGATAAATTCCACAGAATCTCGGAATTTCGAGTTTTTGTGTTGCGTCTAAATTTATGAGAAAAAAAATAATCAGATGAAAAATGGATTACCTTGAACGCTTCTCCAAGAATTCGTTCGCCTTCTTTTCTTCCTAACAAATTAACAATGGCAAAGTCATTATACCTGTATTTAAGTTGCGACAAATGCCTAAAGAAATAAGATAGATAAAATTAAAATTATTAACTGCGAGTACCTATGGTATGCAGGCAAACTAGTTTCAAATGCTCTGAGTTTCACTTTGTGAGATCCAACTTGTACACCTGGTTGTTCCCAAAACAATGGAATAGAACCACGAATCTGGAAAAAAATTAGATGATATTTGTCGATGAATATATATAAATGATTGACCTGTAGTAATGAGCATTCCTTTTCGTCAAAAAGAAGTAATTGTTCGGTTTCGACAAAATTTGCAACGCATCCTAAATAATTGGCACCGCGTACATTAAACCTGAAAATGGTAATTTAAAATGCCCACGTTTTCTTTCTTTTTACCTTGTACCAACTCGTTCACAACTCAATCTGGAAATCAATGCAACTCTTCCAGTATTGGCACCAACATAAACTACGCGAACAAGGACACTACTGAAAATAAATTAAATGAACGGCTCAAATCAAGATAACGTACCCAGCCATACACTTTAAGAGCCATTGGTCGACGTTTATTGCAAATCGGTTAAAAGCAAAGTGTAAACTGCGATTCCTGAAAAAGAAGAGAAATTGAAAAATATATTTTTTTATTACCAAAAAAATCTTGCATCACTTCCATCATGGGAATCTCTGTGTTGGGCAGATCTGGTTAGATCATAAGATTGCAACGATGAAAAGTAGAACATATGAGAGGCTAAAAGCCTTTGGAGCTGGAAAAAAAAATTAAATTTGATATTAATGACGCATTAAAAATAATTACATCAGCTATTCTAGGATCCAATGATTCGACAGATGCAAAAGTGCGTAATGAAATAAACTCGACATTAGTTATTTTTAAAATGTCGGCACCATACAATTGACCGACGGAAAGAACACCGGTTACGGCGACAAGAACAGCCTCATCTATAATTTTTCATTTACGAGAACGCTCGAACCACATAAGTAATACCCTTGCTTATGGAAAGAACGCCTAGTAAACCATAACAATCAACGACTTTCGCATATGTTCGCTTCTCAACTTCTGTCGAATCCGAATCTGCAATATATCGTTTCAGAGACTGAAAATATTTAGAAAAAAGAAAAAGAGCTTCTAAAAGTATGTTTTTGTGACGAAGTGCGAAAAAATAAATTCGAAGTATACCTAGTGTGGCAATTGCTCCTCCTTGAAATAAAAGTGATCCGTCGATGCCATTTTTTTCCACTAAGATTGATGGTTGCAGTCGCGAGTCATTTCTCCTCCATATTCGAATTCCCCGCACTGACATACTCAGAGAAAAACTTAACAAAAAAATATATTTACTCGTTTAAATTATCGATTATGAACCCGACACCTATAGCAGGTGGTCAAGTGTAATGAACACAAAAAAACTTGATTGGCAGGTCTTAAAATATTTTTTCTCTATTGAAAAATTCTCACACATAAAAAAACCAACTAAAATATATACATAAAGGAAGACATTGGAAAACGAGTCGCGCACAAAGATGAAAGAATAGCAGGGATGCCAGTGCTGTGAGAGAGCGGGGCCGAGAAAATCGGAGACGAAAAGCTGAAGACGTGCCAGCTAGAGAGGAGAAGCAGACAAGTTTGGAAGATTGCGCAACCGAAAACAACGCACATTAAACCTTTCATATATCTTTACATTGTTCTTTTTTTTTGGTTTTAAAAAAAGCAATGAATTTAAACATTCAAGAAATACTCCATAATACGTAGTTAATACTTCATAACTGATATCAGCAACATTTAAAAGTGAATTAATTCAGTTTGTTCATAGGTGGATAAATACACAATAATGTTATTCAAAAAGTGAAATAATTATTGTCACTATCCTTCTTTTCCTTTCAAAAAAAAGATTAAAATGGACATGAGCTAACAAGACTAATGATTTTTGAAATTTGATATATATTCGGACATAAATTGATATTCGCAATGCGGAATGACGCTTCGAAATGTGATCTGATTCTAAACAAAATGGCAATAGTTTATAGAAAATCGTAACAATGGAATCATTTGACACCGAACAAAATAAATTAACAACAAAAACAAAACAGGGATTCGAATCAATGCTCCATTGCGTCGAGACCATCAGTTTCATTCGTATTCATCGTCACAACCTTTCTCATTTTCTGTGTCAACTGTTGTAGGACATGAGATGTCATCGGATCTTCAGAACTCTCGTCACCAACTGGAACAGCATTTTCTGTAAATGATGAATATATATATTGAAAATGACACACGAATAGAAACCATATGCAGGCTCAATGAGCATCCTCCGTCCGTCATCTTCGAATTTAACCGTCAAACCATCACTAGTACTCACGACCATCGCGTCATCACCGCAAATCTGCAAAAGAAAACTCTGAATTATTTCATTCTTTGATAAACACACATCTTTAACCATTCCTTCAATTGCAGTTTCAAATGTCGGGAATTCATTAACAGTTGGCAGGTCTAAAAAATATCAAACCATAAAAAGTATATCAAACATCTCAAAATTCATACATTTATCAGGAATTGGGTTAGTTTCAGCGTGCATAATCGCCGCAGATGTTGCATCAGCGTACATATCATTTACTGGATTTGATTCCCACTGAATCACAGCAACATTATTATGTTGATAGTATTGAACAACGACATTTCCCTACAAATATCAAAAGATTTCAATTTAAATTTCTGCAAATCTCACATTGAAAAGTTGAATCACGTGTGTTGGACAATTTTCTTTCGAATCTTTAATTTTAGCTTGATGAACCAGAATTGCGTCGTCATTGAGTTGCCTAAAACGAATTGAACATTAAAATTTAAATATAATTTTTAACCGTAAGTTGAAAATGAGTAACGGAATAGTCCCCGAATAAAATATCGATTGTTTCTGATTCAAATTCGATATTCTCAACGAAGTGTATGCTAAAAAAATAATTTAGAAAAGAAAATCGATTTAATGGAAACCAACCAACAAGATCTTTCGGATCCATAATAGCGTATGCGAAATTTCTTTTAACCAAAACTCCACTAATAACTTCATTGTTCTGAAAAAATACATGTAAAAAATAAGAAACGAGAATGAATTCTCAAAAAAATGCCTCTAATTTTATTGATTAAATTCACAAAATGTTAAGATTCAAATATTTTCGCAACAATACCTCTGGTATTCTTTTGGCCAGTCCTCCAACAATTTTTGCGGTTTTTTCTCCTCTAAATTGCAGCTCAATTCGTTCGGTGTTCCTCGGATTATGAACTTCAATAGGAATGTTTGAATCTTGGAAGTGGCGTTCGATGTTTGCTTTCAGTCTACTCATTTCGTGTTGTTCACCATGAACAAGCACCTGAACACTACAGAATCAATCAATTTCGATATGATTAAATATACCAAATGCGGTGGACGGAGCTCTTTGACAAACGTAGATGTCTGCAGGAAATCCGTGTGAGCAGAAAATGAAACATATCCAACTGGAAAAAACGAAAAAGTTGAATGAAAAAAAAACCGAAAAAAACTGGTTACTTTGCATTCTCATGGGTAGCCGATCTCCATTCATTGCAACAATTTCTTCCGGTTCAGAAAGAATGTGTTTGGCAAGAGTTCCTTCGACACAGTAGCCCGCAATGATACATCCATTCTTCGAATCGGAACACCATTTTTCGAACAGCTCGCGACTTAATCCCGTTTGAAGCATTCCCGGTGATGCGAGAATCACACAAGGGCCGGCATCTTCAAAGTGTTCGATTCCCTGAAACATGATATATATTGTATATAAGGATAAAGACGCATCCCCGTAAATCTACCCGCGTACAGCAGGTTTAGTTTTAATATTTCAATGATACCTTTAGATTAGATACATGTTTGAAAATAAACGGATTTTTGACAGACATTTGCTTTTGAATTCTTTGATTCATTCCGCTAACAAATGTTTGATAAACTGCCATACACTTTTTAGCCAAAGATGAAGCATCTAAAATGTGTGCAATAATGAAATAGTTTAGAACATTTCATACAATAAACAGGGATATCGTGCAACTCGGGATGAGCCTCCCAATATTCGTCAAGAATGAGCAACAACTCCTGAGCACGACCAAGGGCAAAAGCAGGTATCAAGCATCGCCCGCCTCGACCAACAATTTCGTGAACCATTTTGGTAAATCGCGCTTCACGAGCATCACGATCTTCGTGATGTTGAGTTCCATAAGTAGACTCCTAAAAGATAGCCTCGTGCTATTTCGATGGCAAAAAAACATGTTGAAATTGGTGTTCGGAACTTACACAAATCAGAACTTGTGGGGATACCGGCGGAATTTCGGCAGCACATAAGTGCCTATCTTCGACGCACGAAAAATCGCCAGTGTACAACGTGCGAACTCCTGAAAATAAGTTTTTTAATAAAATTTTAAAAAATGAATCAGAGAAAATCACCAGCGATTTCAATCATAAACATGCATGCTCCCAACACGTGTCCAGCGACATACGGCCAAAATTTGATGGCATTCACTTCTTTTTGCTCGCGAAAATCAATTACTTCGATTTTCGCCATACTTTTTTCGAGATCTTCTTCAGTGAATAATTGATTTTTATCGTTTCCTCCGCCATATCTTGAAATCTTCAAATTTCGAGAAAATTATAACAGCAGAGACAAAAAATTCTACCCTTATATAATCTCCTAACATCATTCGATAGATCGCTTTTGTAGCGTGTGTCATAAAGCATTTCCCACGGAATGCAGTTTTTTGAAGAAGCCAAGGAAGAGCACCACAATGATCGATGTGATAATGTGTTATCTGAAAAAAAAAAATAAAAAAATAAAAAATAACCTAAGATTTAATAATACTAGTAACAAATCGATATTTTCGATGTCGACAAAATCGACAAATGGAAGGGCATCGACTCCTTGAAGACCCGGGTGTACACCACAATCGAGCTGTAAAATTTTTCTTTAAGATGGGGAAAAAATATTATTCGTTAATTTTAAGATACTGTAATTGTGATCAATCTATTATATTTCTATTACTCACCATAACTCGTTTTCCCTTGTACTCTAGCAAATGACATGATCGGCCGACTTCCTGTCCGGATCCTCTGAATTATACATATGAAATACAACAATATATAAGTTGGAGCTTACAGAGGCGTAAAATACAACGAATCTGAATTATCCGAAGAACTATCGGCACTTGCCATATCTGCAATTAATGATGGACTGTAAAGTACGTCTGACGGACAAGATTCAAAAGATATATAAGTTTCGGAAAAATAACCGACTAATAATGATAATAAATGATAACGAATAACGCGTCAGATGCAGATATCTAAATTATCGAAAATAATTTATTTCATTTTTCGTAGGAAATTCATTTCACGGAATAATTGAGAATAAAGCATGGGTAATAGGTATCATCAATATTACACGATTTCGTTTGGATTAAAAGCTGAAAGTTTAAAACGGGACACCCAGGTGAAGTACACAACACAATGTAAACAAGAGTGATAAAAAGAGGATAATAATGGGATTTGTGGAATTACAGAAATAAATATTACGATTGAAGATCAATAAATAATGATGACGAGTAGTAATGCATATATCGGAATGTATTTTAAAAAAAATTGGTTATATACATTTTGACTTTAAGAGTTTGCAAAGCTTTGAGACGCAGCGATCTGTTGTTGGTCAATTTGTTGCGGCTGCGGATCCTGTTGCGATTGTTGGAGCTGTTGGATCTGTGGCTGAGGCGGAAGTTGCTCCTGCTGTGGCTGAGATTGCAGAAGCTGTTGTTGAGGCTGTGCTTGCGGTAGCTGTTGAACAAGTGGTTGCAGTTTCTGCTGGACTGATTGTTGTGGTAGCAGTTGAGGGGTCTGTGATGGGCCTAATGGCATTGGTTGTTGTTGCTGTTGAAATGTTTGCGGCGACGGCTCTTGCTGGGGTTGCAACTGCTGTTGCATCGACTGGCTCGGGCCTTTTGGCAGGGGCTGTGCATTCTGTTGCGATTGCTGCTGTACAGTTTGACTTTGTCCTTGTTGAATTAGTTGCTGCTGCAGTTGCGGTTGCTGGATAGACTCTACGGATTCTTGTTGTTGCGGAAGTTGGATAGACTGTGATGTCGCGAGTTGCTGCGGATTCTGTTGAAGCTGCTGAACAGGTTGTTGCGCATGTTGTACTGGCCCTTGCTGTTGTTGGTATTGATTAACCGTATGCGGTGTCCCCTGCTGCTGCGGCTGAATTGATTGCGGTGTTCCTTGCGAATGTTGCATTGATAATGCGCCTTTCTGCTCAACAACTACATTCTTATTTCCGTGTTGAACAACTGTATAAGTTCCTTCGACATTTCTGATTTGATTCGGCATCGTGCTTGGCCGGGTTTGAGCTGAAAATTGTTGTGACGGGGCATGTACGGTTTGGTGTTGCGATTGTTGAATCTGCTGCTGTGGCTGATTTTGCGGTTGCTGTGAGTGCTGAATTTGAGTCTGCTGTTGAGGTTGCTGCTGTTGCTGTGACTGCTGCTGTAACCGCATTTGTTGTTGTTGCTGTTGAATTTGTAGCTGCTGCATCTGAAAATATCGAATTCATCGAATATTGGCCAATAATATTAAACTCTTCGCTGTTGTTGCATTTGCATTTGAAGCATTTGCCCAGTTGTTGTTGTACTTGATAAAGTCGTCTATACAAAAATCAATTTTTTTTAAAATATCATTTTATTTCTTACCGGCATATGCGGTCCAGAAAACCGCAATGGTTGAGAAGTGGTCGTCACTGTAAACGATCGAACATGATGTGGACCAGAACCTGGTATCGGAACCTGCAAATCGAACCATCATGTAACTCAACGATGTAATTCTATCTAGAATTTACCGATTGTGATGGTCCATTATTGGATGCATTATTATTTCCAGTATTAAAATTTTGATTTTGCTGTAATTGCTGCTGAACCGCTGGCGTGGTAACGGCAAGGGACACCGGCATATTCAACGACCGTTGTTGTGGCGATGGTTGATTTAGTTGTCCGTTTGTCTAAACATTATTAGAATGTTTCGACGTTTTTAGTGTAGATGACTTACGCCTGGCTGTTCCTGCTGTCGGTGTTGCATTCGGACGTGTGATATAAGCTGCTCAACGACCGCTGGCGTTGGGGAATCTAAAAAAATATATTATAAGATAAAAATTTCATAAGAAAATAAAATGTCTAAAATCAAATAATCGTCAATTTTGAGGCAAAGAGACATACGCTTTTGATGAGTCGTCATTAAATGATTCGCCAATCCGGTATGTGTTTTATATCTCTTATTACAGTGGGTACATTTGTGAGGCCTTTAAGATAAACAGGTGAGTACAAATTAGATATTAGATAATGATTACTTGGAAGGACTCGACATCGTCGTAAGCCCCACAACTTGTCCAATTGGGGTATTCGGAGTCAATTGTAATGGTCCAGAAGCATTGTTCATCGCTGCAACTAAAGCACTGCCAGCAGAAATTTGAAGACTATTTGCCAATGCTCCCCCATCAGAAACTCCTGAATAAACAATTAAAATCGTTCGTTAAAAATCTTTAAAACCTTGAATTTGAATTGATGGTTGTTGTATATTTACATTATTTTGCATTTTTTGCAAGTTTCTTCCGTCATCATTTCCGCCACTATTATGAACTTCCTCGCCAATTGTGATATTATGGCTAGTTTTCATATGTATTCTGAAAAAAAACACAGATAATAAAATTAGTGAAATAAAATACCGCAATCCGATATAATTCTTATATCTCTTCTGGCAATCAACTAAATGACAACGATATCGCGTTTCGGGGTCACTAAATGAACATAATTAAAACTTTATTTTTTAAAATTATTTCAAACTTGGGATGGCATTCCTCAATATCATGTTCATTAATAGTCCGCTTTGGCTCCTCATCGTGATGACCATGATTAGCAAAACGCATTTGATGATAAGATTGCTGATGATGTTGATGCTGCTGCTGGTGTTGCTGTTGTTGTTGCTGTTGATGCTGCTGTGCCTGCTGCTGCTGTTGCATTCTCAACGCGGCTTGCTCTTTCAAAATGCGCCTTTTATAATGATTGAATGAAACTTTCAGAGGTTCAGGACGAATAGGATTCGGCCTGTATGCAGTCCGAAATACCCTAAATATTTGGTTGTCCAAAAAAAGCTATTCGTAAACACGTACCGACTCATAATACTCAACGGCATGTTCGCTGCGGCCGTGCTTTTCTCCTCAGTTGTTCCATTCGATGATTGTAATGTTTTTCGCTTCATATCTTCTTCAATTAACGCTGAAAAAAATCATACAATTTGTGTAATCGAAAACAATATGACTTACGAATGTGAGTGTATTCAACATGAGCTATGAGATCATATTTATTTGCAAAATGAAGACCGCAGTTTGCGAATGAGCACTGTAAGATTCTAAGATATCTTCTATTTTTAACGAAATTAATCCATTAGTCACCGCAAATTCATGAATATTCATTAGTTAGAGAATATCTTAAAATAAGAAAAAACAAATTTAGAATAAATAATTACATATTTGGAATAAAAAATAAGCTGAGAACTCTACAATTTTACCTGATTCACTTGCAGCAAGCACAGCGACATCACGGACCCCTTTGTCGAGATCTGAAACATTTTGCCCGTTAGACAAACATGGGTTATGAAAAACGTAAGATACTATGAGAAAAAACCAACTCTCCGGTTATAATCAATACATCACGAGTACAATACATATTTATTCGGTCGGAAAATATTTTAAATAAATTATTAGACAACGAAGTGGATTAAATAATTTGATTACAGGAAAGAAACAATGCAATATTATTTTTTATTAATATTGGCCGTATAATAGAGGAACGAGTAACAACTGAGGCAATATAGCTTACTGCGGTGGTGGCGGTGGTTCATCTCCAATAAAATTATCAAATCCATCATGCCCTAGAAAATGAGGAGGATTTGGCATCCCAAAAATAATAAATAATACTTACTGTTTCGATCTTGATCGGGGGCTTGAGCGTTTCTTCCAAATTCTCGCAAATCGCGAAAATGACCAATTGTGTTAAAAACCTGAATCGAATTTTTTAAATATAATTTACGTTGAAATTATATAATCGACCACAATATTCCAAATTTCATCAAGCTTCTCAATCTCTTCCCGAACTTGCTCACTTGGCACATTTGCTCTAAAAACCCAATTCCAATTTTGATATTATTGGTATAGTCGGGGTCCTGCGACTGCGAAAAGTTGGCTAACCGCCCGAGCATTTGCTGGAAAAGGTCTCGGCACACAGGGTGAGTCTTTAACCTTTCGTTGCTTAGCCCGAAACACACTCAGTTTTGCGCCAAGACCTCTTCAATAGTTTTTTTGCATTTAGCCAATTTTTCTACACTCGCTGTCGAAAAAAAATCTCATACTTATTCTTTCTAAGGAAACTTAAAGCTTGAATTGCCATAGCCCGATTTCGTGCGGCACTTTCAAAAAAGTCTAAATTGTCGAATTTTCGAAAATTTTCCTTAAAGATTCATGTTGGGAATTATATAAAATATTATTAACTACAATCCCATCAACTTCATGCAAAACATTTTTATTTGAAAAATCGATATATGTCGAAAATGTGCGACGAAATCTTTGAATCTCATTTAGTTCCTTCAATATTAACCTAGAGAATTGATATAATTGGATAAAAACAACCTCTAAATCTTTTAATGCTTTGTTCAGTATTTTTAGACGTTTTTCACAATCCCTTAAGTCATCAGCAGTCAGTGAATTATTATTGGTTGAAGTGTTCATTTCATCAAGTATACTATCGCTGCAATTTACCAAATATTCGAAATGGCTATTTTTTAATATCACGTAAAACGGTCATAAAAATTGACGTTTTCGAGAAATCGACCACGATTCAAAGAAAAATACTTGAGTATACGCTTTTTGAGCGAAACCAAGATAAAATATTGAGAAACTGAAACAACTTACTCTAGGAATGCAGCTTCGATACTGAAATCAGACAATCGATTTATAACAAACGGAATTTTGAGTTTCACCTTGAACAAATGATTTCGATTCAATCTAACCGGATAATCCATTTGCAGCTTAATTTGGATGCCGCGATTAAAAATATCATTGAGACGCTCATTTATCAGCTCATCCGTTTCTTGCTCCAAAAATTTCATAATAAATATTGGAAATGATGTTGAATATTGTAGATCAAATTTTTGCGTCCACGACAATTTCTGAAAAATAAGACGACAATTGAAAAATGAAGACCTTTATACGTGTATTCTTTGGTGAAGATATTCAAACATTGCCCATCTCTCCATTTTTGGAGGGCAAATGAATGCGTGCTGTAGAACATTTGTACGTGTCCAATTTTTCTCATCAAGAACACCGCCGAACACCAGAAGACATCCGTCGCTTGTAATCGCTGAATCGTGAAAGAACACCGGCACTTTAAGCTTGAATGGATATTTTCGCCACGTCATCGTGTCCAAATTCAGAATCCAAACATCATCAAGAATTTTTTGTCGCCCCTAAATTATATAGAAACAGAATATTCAAAAATAAAACATTCTCGTACAGTTTCTGTCGAGTGAACTCCACCACAAATTATCACATCACGTCCAAATCTTGATAAGGAATGGCATCTGCAACAATAATTTAAATCTTTGAAGGTGTTTCCAATTATAACTTTCTGGGCAATGGATATTCACCATTTTCGTTGCCGTTGCAAATAGCACGTTTGTTTAAATTCTTTTCTAAATCAAATGCCTCAAGCTGTAATTTAACCAATTAGAGAAAAAATATTTAAAAACGATTACAGTTTCAAAACCAAAAGATGTTTCCGATTGTCCGCCGCCAAAAAATAGTAGCAACCCTGTTTTCTCATCTAATGTTGATTCTAGTCTATACTTCCCCTCAAACTGTGGCTGGAAATAATTATTTTTGAGAAAAGTACAAATAAAAACGGCACCATATCCTTGTTTAGATGTTTCCATTTCCATGAACATTTTGGATTTTCTTCGGAAATCTGAAAATTCAAATAAAATAATTTTAATTTAAGTAATCACCTGATATTGAAGAGAATAAATTTCCATATCAAAATTGATGCCGTCAGACCCTCCAACAACATAATAACTTCCAGGTTTACCACCATAAGCAAAAGCCTAAACCAAAAACATGTTTATGTTTATTATTGAATAATTACATGTCCATATTTCGGATTAATTTTATCACCCCCAGTATTTATCTTAATAGATTCAACTGTACAATCCTTAGTATTTACGCAAAGTCTGTAAAGATCATTGGATGAAGTGCGACCAAAACGTGGTCCAGATCCTCCAAAAAATAAGACATCCGAGTGATGTGGCTCAATTGGGACGACTAAATAAAAATTATTTCAAGAATGGCTTAATAATTGAATGTGCTTACGTGAAAATGAAGCCAAACCGGAAGGAGCCTGATTGAGAAATCGGTATCTTCTCCATTCTAGTGTCAGTAGATTGAATGCCCAGAGCTGAATTAAATATTTCCGAACTACAAATAACTAGTATGTATCAAACATCGTCAAAAACATAATGATTGTCTGAATACTTTGCGTATCCTCCAACGACAAAAAAGAAATTATCGTCGGTGTAGCATCGATGTCCAGATCGCGGAATAGGAACTGAATAAGGTGAAACTTGAGGTAGAAATTGATTACTTACAATCCGTATTATAAGTTAATTTCTCCTCGTACCAAATTGAAAATGAATCCAGAGGTTCCCCGTTTCGATAATTTGGAAACTAAACCTTTACTTTTTTATATTTATTATTTCTCTAGTAACTCAAAACCAATCGGATACGAACTAATACATATAGGATATGAAAATATCCAAATAACAAACTGGATCTTATTCGGAAAATTTCGCGTCGGATCAAGCCGATTTCGGAGCCGCGTTTTGCCGCATCCGATTAATATTAAGTTACCAGAGATTTTACATTAAATAATTACCACATCTACGGGAATTACCGATTCATATAAAGCCTGATCGCGTCTGTGCATTATTCTGAAAATATCAGTATAAACAATTCGTAATTATTAATTCAAAGACTCAGAAAATTTAAAAATAAATAAATAAATAAATCATGAATTGAATGTTTACTGCTATGGCAACAAAAGTAGTATATACGGTGCGCAATAACAAATGCGTCTAGTCCGCAATGCACACATCCGCCAATACCGTATACTTACTATATTTTCTATATTCAATCGTTTTTATTTAATTTTCTGATTATTTTGTTTCTTTCATTTATTCAGTAATTTTTGTTTTAGATGTTTCGATGCTCAAATGAATTAAGAATTAAGTTCACGCAAAAATCGATGCGAGTATTATTGCATCGTACTGTTTCGAATCAGCCCGTTCCCGGTGGTATGGCTCATTTTTTTTTCTATATATGTGCAATAAAAATGTAACAAAAGTACACACTTTTTGCAATGTAAAAAAATATTAGAAATTTAATATTATTTTTTGAAAAACAATAAATTTCATTAAAATAGTCCATAGATGCTTTCTTATTCAGATTCATGTTCACACAAAAGTGATGGTTTGAAAAAAATTAATCCAGTTGAGGAATATACCGTGCTAGGGAATATTCGGAATAAAAAGGATGTGTTCCACTATACGGATAGGTATTTGTGGCCAATTTACCTGATAAATAAATAGAGTTGTTGAAGGGAAAGTGGCAAAGGATACTCGCATTATTCTAATACAGTTTACCATCATCGACCGTATATTTGGCCACCTCTTCGTAAATTGTACTATTGGAATTACGTTTTTGTAATTGTAGGAATTGGGTTTCTCATGCTAGATCACGAATGGTAAATCTAATAAGTTTTATTCTCTCTAAAAGAACGATTAAGGCTGTTCGAGCAAATTAAATACACGATTGCTCCATTCAGACCTGAAGCTTCTCAAAAAATCGACAAAGATGTGAGATGATATATCTCGTGTGTGATTTTAGTTCAACTTGATTTGTGTGTTTTACTTTTCTGTTTTATTATTACGCTTAAACAATTTATTTGTGTTCTTTAATGCTCATAAATTCAATTTCTTTATAATTATAGAAAAATAATGGTGATTCGAAAGAAGAGGAAACAAAAGAAAAACCGAAAAAGAAGAAATTGGGATTTCGCGAGCGACGAATCATTGAATATGAGGATCGACTTCGAATGTATTCAACTCCTGACAAAATCTTCAGATATTTTGCAACTTTAAAAGTAATTTAATTATTCGTATTGAAATTGAAATTAATGTAATTGTCGCGTGACTGCCGTAAATTGGCTAAATGCGAAATTTTTCAGGAAGAGGTCTTAGCGCGATGCGTGCGACACAGTCTTCTAACTGACCTATCCTTTTGTTTAGGGAGAAAATGCACGCATTTAGTTTTGCGCCATGATCTTGTCCATGCGTTTTTGGTGTTTAGCCAATTTTTTGTCGGCGCACGACAATACTTATTTATTTAAGATTCTCGACCCATCCGACGAAACAGGAAGAAGTTTTGAGGCATATATGACACCTGAAGATTTCCTTCGTTCATTTACGCCTGGTGTAATGCAACCGCGGAAATGGGGTCTTGATAGTTTTAAAGTGTACAACCCTGAGGTATTTTTTATATTTAACATTTTATTTCTGTCGCACAAATGTGAAAATTTGAATAACGTGGGCAAGCTACCGTACTCATTTTTTCTAAGAAATCGCTTTATTTGAACATTTAACGAAAGATATTTATCGATTTTTCAAGTTAGTTCACACCATAAGAATTTCAGACCTAATGACAATTCGGCTTATTTTTTTCTTTCAGAAACACAACAAAACGAACTTCAGTGATCCAAATAGTATCTTCCAAAAGTTGGGTGAAAATGGATTAATCAGCTTTAAAGATTATTTGTTTTTAATGACGCTTCTCTCAAGTACTTTATTTAAAAAAAAAAGAATTATATATTTTTTTCCAGCGTCTAATGCCGATTTTGCTCTTGCTTTTAAAATTTTTGATGTAAATGGAGATGGGGCCCTCGATCGTGAAGAATTTACCAAAGTTAAAGTATGTTTCGATCTGATATAAATTTCGAAGTTTTTGCATTCAGCAACTTGTTATGTCTCAAACCACTGTTGGACAAAGACACAGAGATCACGTCACCCCGATTAGTTCATATAGAAGTGAAACGAATTCAGCACTCGAAGCTTACTTTTTTGGCAAAGATGGACAAGGACGACTTCCCGCGCAAAAGTTCATCGAATTCCATAAGAAGTTGCAACACGATATTCTAGCAATGGAGTTTGCTCGAAGAGATGCTCTCGATGGTGTCGATGGAAAAATTACAGAGGTTGTTAAGAATTTTGATGAAGTTTTTAAATTTCCGCATGTTCAGGAAAGTTTTGCTCAATTGCTCCTTCTTCATGCACAAATTGGGGAGAAAAAACAAAAACACATGCTGAAACGAGTCAAGCGAAAATTCAAAGGATCGAAAATCGGAGTAGATTTTGAAGAAACAAAATCATTTTTCGAATTTCTCTATCACATTGATGATGTAGATATTGCGCTTCATTTTCACAAAATGGCGGGAATGTCGATCGACGGAAAACTCCTAAAAAGGTAACCCAGTCAGAAAAAAAAGACCTAATATGCGTTTTAATTGGATATTTTAGAGTTGCCACTAAAGTGACTGGAGTGCCGTTGTCGGATCATGTTGTGGACATTGTCATTACACTATTCGATGACAATCTGGTAAAAAAAGTCAAAAATTTCAATTAAAATGCACTTTTCAGGACGGAAAATTATCACACGAGGAAATGGTATCAGTAATGAGAAGGCGAATGAGACGGGGGCTTGAACGGCCAAGAGATACTGGACTTTTCCGTCTTTTCGATGCCATTCTTGAATGTGGTAAACGGGCTTATCATGCTAGTCCACTTCCGTTCTATTAATTAAATATGTGTGTACATACGATGAAATTAATGTGAAGTCGCCATAAATGTTGCCGTTCTTTTTTTTTATTAATTTATATTTTTTTTATATATTGTTTTATCGATATCATATCTCCATTGTGTCGTTCCTTGTTTTTTTTTAAATTAATTTTTTTAACTAATCAGATGCAAAAATCATCGAAAGCCGGAGGTTCTGGCAATTATATGAATATTCTGGTACATCCATTGGTGATTATGCAAATGTCAGAACATTATTCGCGAACTAAAGTCCAGCAAGGAACATCGGTTGAAGCTGTGAGATATGAATCTTATCAATTTGATTATTTTTGATGATTTTTATAGGTTTATGGAGCGCTTCTTGGAAAACAACAAGGTCGCAAAGTCGAGGTTATCAATTCGTTCACATTTCGAATGTATGCCGACGAGGAAACACGAACGAAAACTTTCAACGAAGAACACATGATTGCGCGAGCTGAGCAATGTAACGAATAGACATTTTAAAAATATAAACGCGAAACAAAATAATTATATTTTTTAAGACTCAGAAGTTTTCCCAGAGCTTCAAGTTGTCGGAGTTTATTGTACAAGTGAGAGCAACGAGATGTCGCAAGAAGAAAAAGCGATTTTCTTGAAAATGACAATTTCATTGAGAAAATCCGAAAAAATTGATAATCCTCTTCTTCTTAAATTAAATGCTGCTACTGCTGGAGTATCAAGAAATGTAATCCAATATCAACCAAATTTATTTGCTATTGTACATACTTGAAGTTGCCGTTGTATGCGTTCGAAGGAGATGTTGTCGATGTTGATCGATATTGTCCAGTGGAATGGTCATTGGTTTCAGAGGAGAGTGAGCGAATCGGTGTTAATCATATTGCAAGGTTCGAAACTAAATTTATTTTTTTATTATTATTTTTATTGCTCAGATTGTCAACAAAGAATGGAAAAGATGAAGGAGCTGTAAATGAGAAACACAAGAAAGCGCAAGCAGCTGCTCTTGATATGCTTCTCAATCGTGTTCAGGTTTCGCATCTTCGTATCCAATGTGCAGTTGCGTATTTTCAGCTCATTATGCACTATTTCAATGAAGTGCAGGCTGGTAAACTAGAACCAGACATTGAAGTTCTTCGCGAAGCCAATTTGCTCGCTCAAAAGCTTAACGCAATCGATCGTTATTCAGTTGAATTCGACAGAGATTTTGTGGAGGTATGTTTAAAAATGTTCTTTTAATTTATTCTTAGTTGATTGAATTCAGGAGGATAAGGAGATTGCGCTGTTTTCTCTCCTTCCGAAAATGACGGAATTAGTCGGTAACCTTTCCCAGGTATTTGAAAGCAGGTTAGGAATCGAAATTAAGTATCCATTTCAGATTTGGGCAAAAGTGTCTACTCACCGATTGGAACTCCACAGTGATGATCCTTATGGAGGAAAAGGTGTTTAATGCGAAATTAAAACATGAAATTAAATTACCTCTTGAATGTTCAGGTCGCTGGTTGTATCAAAACATGGAAGCCAGATCAGCTAAGTTTTACTCTAAATATCGCGGAGACGTATGTTAAGTGTTCAAATTTTTAGAAACATAATATAATTTTCAGAACGATGAAGATTATTTGGATGATGATGAGTTTGAGAATGAAATGAGCGGACCACGAAGAAAAATTCATGCAGCGGATTCTCAACAACCAGGCCCCTCCGGATTGCGATCTGCAAAAAGGGACAAGCGTTTTAACGTGCGTAGATTCGATGGATCAAGGCGACGTATGTGTTTTTAATAGAATGAAAAAAATTAATATCATTTTTAGAAACCCCGAATCGCGTTCTTGAGATCAGTGCGAATAACTCTGGACAAATGTCGACTGATCATGAGATGGATACTGGAGCTGCAAACGCATGGGGTCCTGAAGATATGGCTACCGGCTATGTTCCTGAAGTACCGCGTCCTTCGGCATCCAACGTCGTCTTGGAGGAAAACATTGATGAGCCGCAGTAAACAGCAATCCTAATTATCTGAAAAGACGTACCGGTTATTCATTCGTTTTTTTTTCACGATTATTTTTATTGAGTGCATGCCGCTGAGAGGAGTTTTCTTTTTTTTATTTATTTCTCTCCCTTTTCAATTCTGTTTTATTTCATCTATCGACTGTTTCTAGCCAAAATAAATTGGAATATTTTGTCGAAGCCTCTGATTTTTTTGAAAGGTAAATAACCCTAATTATGGCTATGAAAGAATTTTAATGATAAAAATGTGAAGTTTTGTTTAGATGCTGAAGGTGGCCTTAAGAAGTCGGACAAGTTTCAGGCAATTTTTCAATAAAAGTGGGGCTAAAACCGCGGTTTCTGAAAAAGAAACGGTAGAAATGAATACAAACTGACTTATTTATTTATTAAAAATTCAGGGATTATTTGATTATGCGGAACTAAAAACTCCAGAAAGTTTGCGTGAATTGCCAAATTGTGTCAGAGCGGCTGCGACAAGACTTATGAAGGTTTCTTATAATAAGAAAACACGGGTTATAAAAAAATTCAATTTGTTTAGGAACTTCTTGAAACTTCCCAACCTCCAAATTCTCCAAGAAAAGCTTTAGAAATTGTAGATGATTTGTCGAACGAAATATGCAAAGCAGCCGATTTGGTAGAAACCTGAAATTGATTTAATTAATTAGTATAAGAGTTTAAGGCAGAATGTGTTCGTCAGCTACACCATGATCCGAAATATCGAGATGCGGCTGAAGACGCTTCTCGAGATTTCTGCGAAATTGTTGAAAGGCACAGTTAAAAATTGTTCGAGGTTATTTGATGATTTTCAGCTTGAACACGCACACTGGATTATATCAAAAATTGAAAAACTCAGAAGTCACTGACGCAGCTCGTTTAGACGAAATTGATAAGCAAACCCTTACACTTTTGCTTGACGATTTTGAGCAAAGTGGTGTGCATTTGCCAGCAAATCAACGTCGAGAATTTGTTGAGCTTTCTTCTGATATTTTCGAAGCAGGTTCTCGATTTCAAGCAGCTTGTGATCGAAATTCTCCAGTTAAAAAGTTTGAAAATTAATTTTTTGAATCGGGAAAATGTCCGAATTTAGAATCGATCAGGCGAAATATAGTTTGCCTTCGCAATTATACTCACCAGTTTCGAATTCATTGGATCGTTCAAAGCGGAGAATTGTGTATGACACATTTTATAAACACGACGATGCTCAGGTGGAACCGCAATTGATATTTCATAATAATGGTTCAATATTAAGGAAGCTAATTTACGCAATCTTATTGCTTCTCGAGATCAGCTCGCTCGGTTAACTGGTTTTGAGTCATTTGCTCATCGTGCTCAGCGCAATTCTCTTCTTGGTGATTATGAAACCGCTCGAAGTTTTCTGTGGGGTGTTGTCGAGGTTTAGTTGTTATAATTTTTTCCATTATCAACGTTCATCCTTTTTTAGCAATGTCATGAAGCTTGTCAAAAAGAACTTGCAGTTCTTGTCGATGTCGCTGCTCAATGCCATCAGCAAAATGAAAATGAAACGGTCGAAAACGCAATGAATACAATGGTTGCAGAACACGATTTGTCATTCTTAATGCATCTGTACCGAGTGTGTTTTTTTCGGTTTTTACTTAATTAATTTTGATATTTATAGGAAAGCGCGTACGATATTGGCAAGCATACACGAGAAACATCCTCATTCTTTACGATATCATCTATCCTGAATGGATTTTCCTCTCTTACTGAACGTCTTTATGGAGTTCGGCTGGAAGAAAGACCGATTCGAAGTGGTGAAATGTGGAATGCAAATTCCATTATTAAATTTGTAATAATTTTAATTTGATGCATAATTCTCATGTTTTTTAGGAAGCGATTGGAGAAAATAATAATGACTTGGGCACGATCTATATCGATACATCCGTTCGGCCGGAAAAAGCGATTGGAGATTGCCATTATACAATTCGATGTTCAAAATTATTGTCAAACGGTGAATGGCAATACCCGATTCTGGTTCTCTCGCTGGGTCTTCAAGATGAGTATGCCAGTTCGTGGAGAACGGCAACAGTAAAACCACACGCTGCTGAAACGATGTTCCACGAACTTGGGCACGCAATGCATAGCATTTTAGGAAGGACAAAATATCAACATGTTGCTGGCACGCGATGTCCACAAGATTTTTCAGAAATTCCTTCAAATCTAATGGAATACTTTTTCAATGATTTACGAGTATGTTTTTTTTCAAATGAAACTAATTATGACATATTTTTGAAAGGTATTGCGAGAAGTTATTCGTGATCAGGAAAATCCATCGCGACAGCTATCTGTGGATGCAGCCGCCACCGTTCTCGCTTCTAGACATTCATTTACAGCTATTGAAACAGTTCAGCAAGCGGCTTATGGGCTTTATGATCTTGAAGTTCATGGTTTGTTTCGTACGTTTCATTAGACTCATATGTTTTTGCAGGTCCAATATATGCTCCAAAAATTGCATCTGGCAGCTTAACAACGACAGAACTTTTTCACACGATTATGACAATAGCAATGCCAGATATTCACCGAAATCCTGATTCTGCTTTTCAGCATAGGTTTACAGAATTATTTCAAGAGAAAAACCTATGTTCTATTTATTAGATTCCATCACTCAGTTCAATACGGTGCAAAATATTACTCCTACTTAGTAGCCAGAGCTTCGGCCTCTCTTATCTGGCAAAAACGATTTCAAAATGAACCATTTTCTCGCAAATGGGGAGAATGTTGGGCTGAAGTAAGTGGTTTGATTACTTAATTAGAGTAAAATACATTTCTTAAAGGTGCAATCGTACGGAGGAGGACTTCATCCATCTATATTACTTGAAAAGATTTTGGGATCCAAATTGTCTTCTATAGATTTGACAACAGCATTATCAAAAGAAACGAGACTTTTGGCAAATCTCGACGCCGTAACCGTTTGACACGATTTTTATCTGAAATTAGTCAAAGTATAGATATTGTTAGAAGTTAGAAAAATGCGGGAATTATAATTAATGTAATTGTTGTTATGCAGATAAACACTATTTGTTTACAGACGTTGTTTTTTTTTACGTGAGAATACCTATTGTGGTAACTCAAAAAAGAATCGGATCCGAATTTAACACATTTTACAAGCAGATGGGATAAATTACCAATTCGAGAAAGTTTAATTCAGATCAAAAAACTCTGATCGAATTATAGGATTCGAACAATAACTAATTGAATACAAGTAATGGTCCTGGGCTATACATGAAATGTATTTTTTTTACAACATGTTGTTCTCCGAGGTATTTTTGCCTAATATTAGGCAAAAACACCTCGGAGAACCGTACGTGAGAAGCAGGAGAGTTTATAACCAGGTTAACTACTCTAATAAATGAAATCAATCGTCTTCTTTTTTGGTTTTAATTGAAATTGACAAGTAGGCGAGAAAAACCTTCGCTGATTATTCACATCACATAGAACACCACCATTTCTCCCACCGCGATATAATGTTATAATGCAGAAAAATTAAAACAAATAGAGAAAATTACAATGTAAAAAGAAAACGCCGAAAAAAAGGAATTTATCGGTTTAGGCGCACATTTTGCATAGGCACCGTTTCGTCGTTTCAAGAAAAACAACTTAATTTTCTTTATTTTTCGCTTTTGTTTCTTCCAAAATTTGTCAATGTTTCACCGAAAGCGAAAATAATCGTCAGATGAGTTTGCCGGTCAAAATCGAAATAAACGATTTCTAGATATGTTTTCATCTTAATGGACGCTAATCGTTCCAAGCACACTGAATATAAAATATTTATATATCTTTCCCACATACAAGACCTAGCAAGTGTATGGAACAAGTTAAGCCGTGACATTTCCTAGAATTAACGAAAGCAAATTTTGTGTAGTTGTGCATATTGTCGTCACGAACCACACACAATTTTCTAGATCGCCACGTATTATTATGTTTTTCTTGCTTGATTGATTTTTTCTTTCCAAGTCATTTTCGGGTTTTCTGTTATTATTTTGGACTGTGTAGATTTTGAAAAAAGACTCCAAACCCTGTTTTTGAAATACCCTAGAAACTCTAAAAACAATATATGCAGAAAGAAATACTCAATAATAAACTCTAAAATATTTTGCGAAAATCTAAAGTTTATTGATGTTTTCTAAAACTTATTGAGAATCGCTAAACTTAAAAACATTTTTTAAATCTTTTAATATTTTCTAAAATTTATTGAGCAAATTCAAAAATATCTCAATAAATTCTAAAATCTTAAATATAATAATTTCTAAAGTTGATTGAGAAAATTCTAAAATATTATAGAGACACGTTAGTTTCTCAATGAATCTCAAAATATTTTATTCGATTTACCTGAGTATTTTCAACTAGTCTTTTATGTTTTTTCTCCAAAATCTGCATAATGTCATAACTTCACGTTTGTTTTTCACTATGCCCTATCTTTCAATATTTATTGTTGAATTTTAAATTTTGAAATGTCGTGTCGCCGATTTTCTTTGATAATTGGATGACAATCGCATTCGACAAATTTTTGACTTCGGAATCGACACCTTCCGTCTGGAAATTCTTGGCGGTTCGTAAAAGAGACAAATCCAATTTGGCATTGCGCCAAGAGTTTTAGTTTTTCTGCACTTGCGAATTTGAGAAATTGAACGCGGAAGTAAAATTTGGTAATGCGTTTAATTAGCTCGCTGCATTTTTGCTTATGATTAACACGATTAGGCAATATAAATTTTGATTCGATGAACTCATCAAAATCGTTTTCTATCCATTCCTTTTAGAAAACATCATCAAAACGTTTTTTCATGCATCGTTCTATTTCGCACGGAAAGCCTTCCATTTTCAAACATCACCAGTCATTGCACCATTTTTTGTCTTTCTTCTCTCAACTAGTTGATGGATAGCGGGTGCTTGATTATGTGATAGATTCGAGCTAACAGACATTCGATGAAAAATCAAGATAGTGTGTCCGAAGATGAGACCGAAGATGGACGCCGTGCAGAAGGTACCCGCGGTGCAAAGTGCGGCACTCTATTCATTAATCGTTTTTTGGGGGCTAGCGTGTTTGGCCTATTTTTGTAATTTGTCGAATGGGTTCTGATGTTTCTTATGTTCTTTTTTAATATTCCATTCGAAAAAAATTTCTATTCCATCATTTACCAGATGAATTCGTTTTTTTTTTCTTGAAAAAAGATGATATCAGTCGTTAAACGTAACAAAAACTGAATGAAAAGGTGGCCTGATGTCCCGTGTACTTTGAAACGGAAAATGAAGATAGGAACATTCCTCAGTTCTCCACAAGACTCACAAATCCCACTGGACCGACCCCAGTGAAAGAGTTTTCTTTTGTGGCCAACAAAAATGATTGAAGCATGCATTTAGCATTCGTTCTTTTTTTTTGCCAAACTTCCAATTCTGACGCATTCTTTTTCTTTCATCCCCAGTGAGAATTCTTTCATTTCGTTTTTTGTTCATGGTTGTTTGCGTTTGAAAAATAGCTTTTTGAGTAATTTTCATATTATTCGTAAACTCACGAATTCATTATTTATGCGGCGAAAAATGGTGATTTGATAATCAATAAACCAGGAATTGCCTATCATTTCTCCCTGTAAAAATTTTATCAGCGTTGTCGAATTGCGTCGACGTTGTTCGTTTCGACGAATTCGTTCTTTCCCACCTTTGATTACGGTACCTTATCGGCAATTATTAACGTTTTCAATATGATATGCTAGGAAAGTGGAAATGGCACGCAATCGGATGATAATTTATTAGGAAATGAAGCGAAGATGTTTGTTTCGTTAGTCCCAAATTGTATCACAACAAAACGCAATTTCTCAGTGGAGATTGTATATTAAACGTAATACGCAACGTAATTGTAATGGATTTATTTTTTTTACCGATTTTGCGAATTCCCTCCATGATAGGTCACTGATAAGTCGTTTGTCGCCGAAAATATTCAAATACTGCGTCGCGCGACTGTGGAAAATTAGCTAATTTCCAAAAAAAGTATAGGTGCAACATTGTGCGCTTTTAGAAATCTCTATACGTAGGTCCGTAAATCTACACAATTAGTTTTGCACCAAGACCACAAACATTGTTTTTTTGGCATTTAGCCAATTTTTCGCCGTCGCGCGACGCCGACTATAAGTTTATCTTCGGTTTTGAATGATTGGTAATGATATATTTTGCAATTCCAGAGGGCATCTCCAAATTTGTAAATTGACGTTTTGGTAAATGCGCGTACGCTGAAATGCTGAGTACGCAGGCACGCACAGTTCTCATCGCCTCGAGACACCGTGGCACATAGGCAATATATTTTGCATTTTGGTCAGTCGTTTGACGCTGGCAATATTGCGCGTAAATATAGTCGGCGTCCATCGACTGCTGTACGCAGGTTATGCGCATGCGCCTTGAAAAGGTCTCGCCACGTGTGAACGCTTATTTTGCTGTTTTCACGTGAACGATTTATTTTTTCTTGATAAGTTTGGCATTTCATGGAATTTCTAACGTCATTCGACTTTAAAATTATCTAATCGACCCACAAAATGCGAAATAACCAGTTAGTCCGTGCGAGACCACGGACTCGCACGGACGGAAAAGAAGCATCCCCGTAAATCTATCCGCGTACAGCAGTCGCCGGACGCCGACTATGATTTTTTTGTATGGAAAATATAAATATGGTGGAACCGATCAGGGGAATCAGCCTACAAACGTTTTATATATGTATTACTAATCAGAGAACGCTCATTGCGATGCACTGATTGTCAAGATTACACGATGTGGCTTTTTAAGCGGACGTTAACTTAAAAATCGTTGAAAATGATAAGCTCTTTATTCTGTGCCCTTCATTCTCGATATTAATATAACAACTTCTATTGTCGACGCCGTCAAGCGACTTATCAGTGGGGGGGGGTGGGTCTTGAGACACCTGGAAAATAGCCAACCTTTTTAAAAATTTCGTTCAGTCGTTTGACGAAGACAATCATTTCTTGAAATGTTTTTTTTTAATATATTTAGCGAAGATCAAAAATCCTCGAGAGGGCGGTCAACTATCGCGTTGTTCTTCCCCTGACTAATATATAAGAAAGGATATTGAAAACATGGACAGTTTTATTGTGGCAATCAATGAACTGGTATGGCTGTTCGATGCCATCAATCAAGTATTTTCAATGAATTACTTCGATCCAAATTTGTCTGATTTTCTTGTGGCCAATTTCAAAAATTGAACTTCGATCTCATTTATTTGTCAATTCGAACCGATATCGCTCAAATCATGATCGGCCTATTATCATTCGCGAGCTACTGCTATTCAATTGTCGCACATAAGTTGGCTATTTTGACATTATCAACGAAACGAAATAATGATAAAATTATGGGGCAGCAGCAGCACAACCACCCGATAAGCAGTGCTTTTTTTTTTGAACATTTTGATTGTCCTCGCTCGTATAAATATGAGGCCTAGTGCATTACCAACGGTATTATTTTCATATTTGAAGGTATGGTTGCGCATTCCTCCGAAGGGTTAACCGCCACGACAGCTGATCCAATTGTCAACGGCGGAAATGTGAGAGTTTCGAAAGAGCAAGAAGCCGAGAAGCCACAGGTTTGATTGCATCATGTCGTTATATTCTGATTCTTTATGGTTTTCAGAAAGTCGTTCTTCCAACTGTCGATGATTTTCGCCGTGCTATCCCGAAGCACTGCTTCGAGAGAAACTTGGTTACTTCTCTTCGCTATCTCGCTCAAGATTTTGCCGCGCTCGGACTTCTTTACATGCTTCTTCCTGCCTTTGAGTATTTCGGAGCCGTTGGATACTTGGTCTGGAATTGTCTGATGGGTGTGTTCGGATTCGCGCTTTTTGTTGTGGGACACGATTGTCTCCATGGATCGTTCTCAGACAATCAAACGTTGAACGACATCATTGGTCACATTGCATTTGCTCCACTTTTCTCGCCATATTTCCCATGGCAAAAGTCACACAAACTTCACCATACCGTAAGCTGGTTGTGTGTTGTTATCATATAAACTTTGATGTTTCAGTTTACCAATCACATTGACAAAGATCACGGGCATTTCTGGGTGCAAGACAAAGACTTCACAACTTGGCCAATGTGGAAAAAGATGTTCAATCCATTTCCATTATCTGGATGGATTAAGTAGTTCGAAGAAATAGGATTGTAATAAGCTGTATCTCATTTAGATGGTTCCCAGTTTACACATTGTTTGGATATTGCGACGGATCCCACTTTTGGCCTTTCTCGAGTCTGTTCGAGCGCGATTCGGAAAGAATTCAATGTGTCGTGTCTGGAATCACCTGTGTTGTCAGCGCCTATGTAGCCCTTCTTGTAGCCGGATCGTATTCGAACTGGTTCTGGTACTATTGGATGCCGATCTCGTTCTTCGGACTTATGCTCGTCATCGTCACATACCTTCAACATACCGATGATGTTGTCGAGGTATCGTATTCAAATGAAATCAATTGCTGCAATTGATTGTTTAGATATACGAGGCTGACGAGTGGAGCTTTGTTCGCGGGCAAACTCAGACCATCGACAGATACTATGGGTTTGGTCTTGACACCACAATGCATCATATTACCGATGGTATTGCTCATCGTTCATATTTGTGTGTTTATCTTGAGTTTTGAGGTCACGTCGCTCATCATTTCTTCACACGCATTCCACACTATCATCTCATTGAAGCCACGGATGGAATTCGAAAGGTTCTTCAACCATACGCTGGGGGTCAATATGGCTACAAATATCAAGTCAACTACGATTTCTTTGTGCGCTTCCTTTGGTACAACATCAAACTCGACTATCTTGTCCACAAAACCAAGGGAATCCTGCAATTCAGAACGACAGTGGAAAAGAGCCAATAATGTTCAAAGCTCCGTTTCAAATACACACACACATTTCCAGAGTGTGCGTTTATACCGATTATTTGTGTATTTCTTTTGTTTTTTGGTTGTATAACATCATAAAATTATTAAAAGGCACGTGTAGCCAATTGGATATTTCATTCCATTTCAAATCTACTCATTTCTACTCGTTCTTACCCACAAATTTCTTACGTTTCTTTCATCGGCGGTTGGTGTGCTGCTCGGAATAGCTGATTATTAAATTGAACACTTAAATGCCACGCTACCGTACATCTGACGACATTATCGTCTCGAGACTTGATGATGGTAAAGAGGTGAGTTGAGAAGATAAAGAAGGAGAAGAGGAGAAGGATTGTTTTAGACAAGAATCCAGCTGGAAGACATGAATTTGTTCGCCTACGGGGCATTCAGCAATGTGTACAAGTTGGTGTAAATGTTGGGACTGATGCAAGTGATAGTTGTTCAGAGGTGTTGCTCGAACCGAATCCATGCATCGTGCCGACGTCGTCATCAAAAAGACGTGGCCGCGACATAGAGGTTCATCGACGGAAGTGCGAATTCTGGCGAAATTGAATCGTCTCAAACACAAAAATATTGTCAAACTGTTATACAGTTACCAAAAGGAGCACGAAAGCAAAGTGTGTTTGGGTCTCGTATTCGAATATATTCCCTTGAATCTCCACCAACACCTTAAAGCCAATAATCGTAAAATTGATATAATCGAAGTTAAATTGATTGCTTGGCAGTTGTTCAGAGGCCAATATCATTTGCAAAGGGTTCGTCTATAGTCCGTGCATTTTGTATGACTTCTGATTCAGATGGACATTTGTCATCGTGACATCAAGCCGCAAAACTTGTTGTTCAACGATGAGACAGGCCTTCTCAAAATTTCCGATTTTGGCTCGTCAGCTTTAGAAGCGCGAAAAGATCCGCAGCCGAGCTATCACGTCACACGATATTATAGACCGCCCGAATTGTTGTTTGGGGCAAAGATTTATGGATGCGAAATTGGTATTATTTCTTGATTATGTGATCTATTCGAATCGATAATATTCAGACATTTGGTCGTGTGCGTGTGTATTCGGTGAACTCCTCAAAGGATCCGTTTTTCTCGCCGGAAAAAATGCAACAAATCAAGCTGAGGTTTGAATCGTCAGTATTTTACCGCAATCGTATTGTTTAGCTGGTTCTCGATCTACTTGGCTTACCTTCAAATGAAGATCTTCGAAATATGCGCGTCAACGAATCAAAGTATAGGGATATTGTCTCAGTAAATAACCCTTAGATTTTATTCGGCTGACATTTTTTATTCAGAAACATGAACCTGACTCGAATGGGCCATTCCCTAATTTTTCGTTTATGACTAATCCAAACCCTAATATCCGAGATCGTCGATATTATGTATTCAATAGTGTAGATGACAACGGATGCTTCGAGTCGCCTCATATGATATTTCAGATGATTACCAAATCGGAAATGACCGAATCGGTTGACATTCTGCAACAGATTATGGTCTACAATCCATTCAAACGACTTTGCGGACACGAGTTGCTTATGAATTCATATTTTAAGCAAATCTTCAAAGAAGACGTTGTCCGTATGAATGGCAAGAAAATTGGATGCCTCACAATGGCGGTAGTGTTTTTGATCCGTCAAATCGAATTCGGTTGGGTTTAGGATTGGAATGCTGTGCGTAGTGGAGACAAGACGATTACCGGAGAATCGACTGACGAATAAATGTTTCGAGAATACGCATAAAGCCTTTTTGGAACTCGACTCTTGTTTTCTTGTCATGGATTATGATCTTATCTTTTGCATGTTTCTACTTTGCTCTTTTGCGGAAAAGGACAGTTAATTTTCATGTGAATTAGAGATTTTTTGTGTGTTTTTATCAACTACATCGAGTCCCTCTCAATGCACTTGTCTAATTATTCGAATATTTTTCGATATTTTATTGAAAGGGAAACGTGATTATACTATGCACGTTATCATAGAAAATCTGAAAATTGTTGGTATATATATATTTTTTTTAAATCAAATCTCCTAAACAATGAAGGAATCGCGTGTATTCTACGGAATCCTTATTCTGCGTGACCTGAAGAATTGTCCACGTGGAAATTTTAAAGCAAAATTTTAATGCAAAACTGATTTTTTTTTATGTATTTCGAATAAAAATCACTTCTCGAATTAGTCGTTAATATCGGAAATCTAATGAGAGATGTCCCACTTGGGGGGCGTTTTGTATGTTTTGGAAGTAGCATCAACTTTGGCCATTTGAACTGTTGTGATCGAACACGTACACGCATTTCTCGCTCGATGTTATCACAAACATCTGATTGGCGAGACTACACATTTTGAGAGTGGTTCTTTGAGCTGCTCGTCGAAGTTCAATTAATATCATACGATGCGTTTCTCTTGTTCACAGTGTCTTCAACTAGGACAAAGTGCAATCGGCGAGGAAATGAGAGAGAGATAAGAGCCGAAGGAGGCAGCGAGTTTCGAAGAATAAATCACGCCATATTGAAAAGTGTGCGAGCGTGTATGTGTGGAAACACATACCGGCCAATCTTTTTTTTTTGTTTCGCCTGTTTCGCTTCTCTGCTTTCGTCGACTCGCCTTCTTTTATCATTCGCTTATTTATTCGACCCCCTAAAACGGTTCGCCTAGATTTACTCAATTTTCTCGTTACAGTAATTTGGGAACCGGAGAGTCAAAATGACTATTGCGACAAAAGTGAATTCCGGCAAAAAGGGCAATGAACTGCCAAAGATCGAGGTGCCGAAAATGCCATCGATTAGCGAGATCAAGAACGCGATTCCCGAGAAGTGCTTCGAGAAGAGCGTCGTCAAATCCATCAGATATTTGATTCAAGTGAGATTTTTTTAAATATATTTTTAATAATTCCAATCGAAATTATTTTTAATTTTTAGATACACACACGAAATATTTTTTTTTTAAAGAAATTGTGGATTTTTAGGATTTTGTCTTGTTGGCCGGATTGTATCTCATCGTCCCATATGTAGAACAATATCTCGGTTGGATTGGCCTCATCGCTTGGTATTGGGCGATGGGAATCGTCGGCAGCGCTCTTTTCGTTGTGGGACACGATTGTGGTCATGGTTCATTCTCCGACTATGAGTGGCTCAATGATTTGTGCGGCCATATCGCACATGCTCCAATTTTGGCTCCCTTTTGGCCATGGCAGAAATCGCATCGACAACACCATCAGGTGATTCTCTTACGACTTTCCTTATCACACAAAACAATTCGGTTTACAGTATACATCGCACCTTGAAAAAGACAAAGGACATCCATGGGTGACTGAAGAAGACTTCAAGAACCGAACATGGATTGAGCAATACTTCTCAGTGATTCCAATTTCCGGATGGCTTCGATGGAATCCAATTTACACTATTGTCGGACTTCCAGATGGATCCCACTTTTGGCCATGGTCCCGACTTTTTGAAACTACTGAGGATCGCATCAAATGTGTTGTTTCTGGACTTGCGTGTGCTTTGTGCGGATATGTGAGAGCAAAAATAATAGAAAAAAAACGCATAATATTTATAATTTAGGCTGCTTTCGCTTTGTGCAACTACTCGTGGTTCAACTTTTTCAAATACTACTACGTTCCATTGTTGTTCCAAGGATTGATTCTCGTCATCATCACTTATTTGCAACATCAGAATGAAGAAATCGAGGTTTATGAACCAGAAGAGTGGGCGTTCGTTCGTGGCCAGACCCAGACCATCGATAGATATTGGGGATTCGGATTGGACACCATCATGCACAACATCACCGACGGACATGTTGCTCATCACTTCTTCTTCACCAAAATTCCGCATTACCATCTTCTCGAGGCCACTCCAGCCATCAAAAAAGTTCAAATTAATCTCAACGAATCGGTTTTTAAATTTCGACTTCAGATTCTTGAGCCACTCAACGGAACAGCATATGCATACAAACGCGAAACAAATTACAATTGGTTCTTCAAATACCTCTATTATAACTTCAAGCTTGACTATCTGACCCACAAAGCCAAAGGAGTTTTACAATACCGAACCGGAGTCGAGAAGTCCAAATCGCAGTGAGGAGCTGTGCTGTACAAATTATTAATTGAGTCGCTCTAGTTTTCATTGTTTTCCTATTATGGGTTCCATCGCTAAATTGCCTTCCATGCAATAAAACGTGTCTCCGCCCAGATATGTACAGTGTTATAAGCAATTAACCTAGAGAGATATCATCCCGACGAATCTTTATTCATATGCATTATTCGAAATGATCAGATTTTCAATTCTACTTCTTGTCGCTTTCTTCGTTGTCGCTTCGAAATCCGAAAGTGTGCATTGGCGTGAGTTAAAAAAGATTGCACCGACCGGGAATCGAACCCGGGCCGCCCGCGTGGCAGGCGAGAATTCTACCACTGAACCACCGATGCGTTGCGAACGACAGGCTTATTTGTAATTATCCGTTTGCAGAGTGGCGTCTAGTGACGTGCAAAGCAGCAGAGACACCACAGCAGAAAAAAGAGGCTTCGACGTGCAGAGTTTCGCTGCTAGAAAGCGAAGACGACACGAACCCGCGGCCAGCGCCATTCGACCCATGTTTCGAGGTTTGCAAGACATTAATTAACCATCCCTTCGACTCCAACAAGGTGAATTCTGACATTTTGAGGAACCGAACAATGGAAAACAGCGAAACTACTGCAATATTTTATGCCCAGGCGCCGATACGGCGTACCTCATAAAGAGATCGTAAGAGAGCCAAGAATATCGAAATACTTTAAATCACGGCTCACAGTACCGCTTGTGTGGCCTAGAAAAAAGTTCTTAAAAATATGCTTCGGCCACGAATACGTGGTTCATTTAATTAAGTTTAACTAAATCAATATGTAATCTCATTTCAATCATTGAATATAACAAGACAATGAAAACTTATGGGAAATAAAATAAAATCAACAATAAGAATACACATCATTTTAAAAAGTTTGGCAACTGTTGTGTGCCGCACTTGCATTTTTGGTTTTTGATAGTGTCGGCCAATATTTCTAGGCCACGCTAGCGCAATATGGCCAATAATATTTCTAGGCCTACGGCAAGCCGTAAACTATACATTACCGAAATAAAGGTGATCGATCAAATTTAGGCCACAAAACCATCGAAGTTGTTTCGGGCATTTCACGTACAAAATCGAAAAACGATCACCAAACTTTTTCATTTGGAGGGATGCAAAGTATGATGATACAAATGTAAAAATTAGAGGAATGCTTTAAAAATTGTTTTCAGATGTCGCTCATCAAATGTCGAATTCCTTATTCGGTGTGAATTCCTTTTCTCACGCGCGTCATTTCGTTCTGACGACGAGGTGTTCTCGGAGGCCAAAAAAATATCGGATGATTTACGAATTTGATTCTCATTTCTAATTATTACACTAATAATAATAATGATTCAAAAATTATTTGTCTGCACTATTCCGATTATTTTCATATCAATTGTTTACGGATTAAAGTAAGAAAGATTCGAATAAATTTTTTCTATAAAAATTTTTCTGTTTTTGAATCCAGTTCTGATAACTATGATTATGAGAAACAAGTTTGCGGAAACAACGGCTGCTTCTTACCGGGAAATGTCACTTATACCGATATTAAAGAGTTCACCTTAATTACATTTCGACACAAGAAAATCCTCAAATTTTAGTTCAGTTCGAAGAATCAAAATAGAAAGGACGAATAATACCGAAAGGTGCGAAAAATCTCGCGATGATTGTTATAAAGTGAGTTTTGAAAATATTTGGAAGTGCTGTAATACAGCGTGCTCCTTTAAATATGTTCATAAATGAAAAAAGATATTTCAGTTTCGATTATGTGAACGGTTTTGCACAGTTTCATCAGTTAAAATTTTGCCTTACGAAGATGTTGACAAAATTGTAAGTAATAATTTTCTGAAAAAAAAAACTTCTATTGTCGACGTCGCGCTATTAAATGCCAACAAAATTTAAAAAGAGATCTCGGTGTGCGGTGTGCGCCTTTAAACTATCCTTATATATATAGTCCCGTAAATCTACACTTTCAGTTTTTGCGCTATGATCACTTCCATTGTTTTTTGCCAATTTCGCGACGTCGACAATATGTATTAACATGAAGTTTTTTTTTCAGTTTCCGATACTGAATCCTTGTCTCGTCGTGCTGGAAGAATGTAATTTCAAATATCTCGGAGTTGGCACATTGTCACGCGTTGAAAACCCATTCCTTTTCACTTAAATCGAAATCCAATAAATTGATGTGTGTATGTGTGTAACCCAATTCGTCATATCTTGGCGAAATCGACACATTACATAAGAATCAGTGAAATTTTTTGATTTGATTCCAAGATAGCATTCGACACGATGAATGTTTAATTGGATTATATTATTGTTATTATGTAGATTTTCCCGTTTTTCTCGTTATTGCGGAGTACCTTGAAAGAGAAGGAAACAAAAAAATAAATGAATGAATGATAACAAAAGATGTGTCTGGATTGCAGTAATATCCCATTAAACCTCAACATTATTATCATTGTACGCCGAGTGAATGCCGTCTGAATCAATTCTAAATAAACTGTTTTTCATTCAAAATGTTTCATTCCTTTTTCTGTTTGTAGTTTCATTCGAAGATTTTGTCAGATTTCGATTGGCATCGTCTTCGACAAATGTATAAACGACCTGTTTTTAAGAGGGATCAGCCATCTACTCGGAGAGTTTTACTAGAAATGCGAGTATTTCTATTGTTGAAAACAAATATCTTAGCAGATAAATTGAACTATTCGATTTTTCTTTTGTTTCGCAATCCCTTGATGAAAAATTGGAAATATTCCATTATACCACGATTTTGTTTATTATCATGATTACGTAATGTCGCAAAATGGAGGATGCGCGGAAAACGGGATTCGTAATGCGAGATGATAAATTTGAAGAAATTTATTTTTTATAGTTAAAAAAAAATAAATTTCTAGTTTTAATTCTAACAACATTAGAATCCAAAAATCAAGTTAATCAAGACAAATTAAACAGTTTACGTTAAAAATCGAAAAATAAGCGTACGCACGTGGCGGGGAAAATTTTAAAGATCTGAATATGCGAAGAACATATTCGATGGAGTATGGATTTCAAATCCCATTGACAAGGCGGGATGTCGGCTGCCTCAAATGGGTCTTCATCTATTTCTCGGTCATTGTTATTCCCATAATTTGTCTTGGTTCCAATTACCGACTCTTAGATGCCGTTTTCATCCCGCAAACTGCATATTCGTCGACTCGTCGCAACATCAAAAACAATCGAAAGGGTGACCTCGGATTGTATAAAAGGTGCCCACCGGTTTCGTCACCTGTCGAGCTCAGCCACCACCACCACCCTTGTTCTTTTTTTCGCCTCCTAATATGGTGAGGTTGTTGGCGGGGCGGAGTCGGGCGTCCAGTTGTTCTCAGCTGGCGTTTGAGGTGAGGTAAATGGCGGCGATGGATTGAGGTGAACTGAAGAGACTCTACAGAAACGCGACGAAATCTTCTCCGCGCGGACGACACGTCCAATGCGCGCGCATTCATACCTCAACTGACTGTCAGCTTCCGCACACGGTTCTCTACTTTTTCGCATTGTTTTTTTGTTTGTTTGTTTATTTTCGTATTTATTCGATGAGATCACCACCTCCTACTCAATTTTTGGAATTCAAAATTTCCAGTTTCGCGCGTTTTTTTGCGATTCGTTCTTCCGCTTTGGCTCAAATGTGCAGTTTGTACAAATATTTTTCGATCGGTTTCGACTGGTAACAACTACTCGAAACTTGCATTCTCCACATTTATTCCTTCTGGATTCTCGGCTACAATTTCGACGGCTGTGTAAACCCATTCAATTCTTTGTTTCACACGCTTCCTGTACATTTGAATGAGTTACATCTGCAATTCTCGTCTTCTTCTTGATACAAACCAATCATTCTCGTTTTCATTCTGCAGTGAATTCAAAAGAAAACGCATTTCAGACTCATAATGGGTAACCGAAGTTCTTCGCATTATCCGCCGCCGCCTCATTGGATGCATCAGCGCACTTCCTATTCGACCAGTGCCTCTCCTTATCCAGAAGTCAAGCGTCCGATTGCTCCGGGAGCTTTCGCCGAGCCCTACATTGTGCCAAACACAAATCCAATGCGCAGATCCATGATTTCTTTGAATGCTGACTCCGGATATGTTGCATCTCCCGCTGACACTGATCGAATGCGAATGAGAGGCTCTCGAATGTCACTGAATCAAATGGATTTCGATCCGATGCCGCATCACGTCATGCCTCCGCCACCACGACTCATAATTCCGCCCGACGCGAAAACACTGAAGAAACTCGAAAAAATGGAGAAGAAACACCAAAAGCTGATGAAGAAGCTCGGAGCGCGCGGAATTCCGATGCCGCCGCCGCCGCCACTTTCGCAAATGCATCCAATGTATTCGAGAGCACTGTCTTTTGACGATTTGAATAGCAGGTTGGTGTTCATATGCTAATTGTGACCCGTCCGTCCTCAATGATCAACGCATTTTGATCGGTTTCGTTCTTTTTCGCACAAGGTTAATGGATTCAAATAATCGAATCATGTTCGATTAGGCACATTCGTGGGAAAGTTGCCCTTTAGCGGGATTGTCTTGAGAATACACATGATGGTCAACCATTCATTTTTTTGTCATTCGTTTAAAAAATATGCGATCGAGGTCTTTGACATAAAAAAAAGAGACTTGTGAAAAATCATTGATCTACCTAGACTCTTCATTTAAAAATCGTTCCTAGACCCTTCGAACAATTAGTAATTGTTTTAATAGTGTTTTTCGCGTGTGCCTCGTTCATCGACACCTTGTTCTGCGACGTTGTAGAATACTTAAGTAGCCCATACATGTATAATACGATATGAATGTTTCAAGAGGTTGCATTCGTCTCCTCAGAAAAGGTCGTCGTCTCACGGTCGATCGGATTCTCACATTCCAGTTCATAAGCAATAATCGGTCGGTTGTCGCAGTAGTTGTTGTTATAGCTTCTGCTTTCTGCTTTACACCCTGGGTAGACATAGATACATATTCGAAATGTGATACCGTACCACCAACACAACCCTTGTCCAAAAAACTTGTTATTCTACTGGTGTTCATTTGATACGCAATTTTCCATTTAGTTTTGGCAAAAGATTAGGCAGAATTGAGAGGAATGTCAGAGGAATTGGCATCATTTATCATTAGGCAACAGATCAGATGGTTTATTGCCTTATATCGGATGATTCGACGATGCAGCGATAGGCGGCGGATGGGTTCGAAACTTGAATTTTTATTGGGTGTAGATAAATTTGATTAGAAACTTATTGCAATTAACTATTATGTGCATTGTTTAAAAGAAGATCGAAGTAAGACAATCCTTCAGTGGAGTGGCATTCAAATAAAATCATCGGAGGCCCAACTTAACGTGGAATAATGTTCTTAAAAGATTATTGTGGCGTTGATCGACCTTGACATTCTCGACCCGTCAATCCATCTTCGCCTTGAGTTTTTTGTTCTCAAATCCGACACACTACTCATTCGCTCGCTCGCTTAGTTATTATAATTATACGACGACGTCATGACACATTATTTCACCAAATACGGCGCAGTTTGTTGACCGTATCAGCTGTCAGGAAGCAGGAATGAATGAATGAACAAAACAAATATGGCCACAAATGATTTATTGATATTGATACGTGTTGAGAGCATTTTTCGCCCAAGGGATGTCTGGAATCGTATTTGAAATAAGAGCTGTTAGCGAACAAAATATAATTTTCAACGACTGGCTGGTCCATTCATTTCCAATATGATTTCGTACCTAGTTAATATAATAATTCCACATATTGACATGCGCGTTAAAATTGCAAACTACATATGAAAGTGTGTGTGTACATGGAAATTTGAATACAAAAAGCCGTGTAATTATGGCATTTCGCTTTCATTGGATTGATTCGAGTCGCAAAATCCGAAATTGTTCACTTTCACACCAGGTGTTCGCACACAAATAATTAGAATGTCGTTGTCGCCGATCGAATGTTTCAAAAACACGGCATCGCCAAATATTTGCGAATTACCACTCTCGGACGGTGTTTACTGTCGTCGCGGCGCGCAGAGAACACAATTCAGTAGCGCGTGCATAGTTTTGAACCATTGCCGGTCGGGAGCGCCGATACATTTCCGGTTGGGTGTGTGAAATGCTCGCTGCGACGAATCGCGCGGAGACCGCAATTTTTTGATAAGATTATTGTATTAATGATGCGGCGCATGAATCTCAAGAGTGAAACAATGAGCGAAATGAAGATGAATGAGCATGATGCTCGCTCGCGCGGTGCTCGTGAGCCCACTTCACTCATTTTGATGGTTGCGAATAGAGCCTGATTAGTTGCGCATCGGGGGACCGTCGGCGACAATTTCGATTCGCTTCGGTGCCAGTTTGACATTGATCGTCGCCGGTGGTTAAACGCGCCATTTCGGCCAACAATTTTCAGAGGGCAATTATAACGGATGGGTACGAATTGGTATGCGAATACGATATAAGGCAGTCGGGAATAGTTTCCTCAAAAAAGAAGCCTGTCGACGATCTTGCGGAACTAATTAGTTGAATAAAGCATTCTCCAAATGAAAAGTGAACGAAATCATCGGAATGGTAGGAAAACTAGGGGGTCTGAGCTAGTTGATTATGATGAGAAATGAATTCGACAAAATAATCGAGTTCGAACTACATTAATAATTAATCACTTTTCATGTATTACATTTATGATTTTGCCTACAAGTTGGGAATTTTTTCCCTAAATTTATTATTCAAGGTTCGCGAATGATTTGTGTGCAAAATTTTTCCCTAGAAAACGAAATAATTATAAGTTTTTTATAAAATAACATTTCATAAATCTTATTTTTGAATCAATCACTGATCGCGTGTGCACCTCGCAATTGCTGGTCGGTCTCTTTCCCATGCCTGTAATTAACTTTCCATTCATGACCTCTGACCCGTTTTGAATTAATTGAGGTTGGGATTAGACTGTGAGCAGGTGCATTGTTCAAGGGCCCGAGCAATACGTTTTTTATTGTATCACGCATGCGCAGTATTTTTTCTGAATATGCATATTCTTAACGGAAATCGACAAAAAAGTTGTGTACGACATCGCCATAAAAGTGGCGATGTTTGAGGAAAACGGGGTCAAACACGCCGATTAATGGATTTATTGGCAAATAAACACAACACATTCATTGTTTTACAGAATTCACGAGGCTGAGATCGATGCGGTACGATTGCGGCCAAGGGATTGGCGAGCCCATGGAGAAGCTCGAGCAGCTCCGAGTAGGCGTGAAACAACCCATTCTCAATATATCAAACAAAATTTCTCGTCAGTTTTTTTTTGCTAAAATTTGATGACAAGAACAATTTTAATAAAATAATCGATTTGGGACAATTTTAGAAACTTCAGTTCAAATTCGACAAGACGAGCTGAAATTAGTGGATCTCTAGCTTCTTCTTCTCCGATGACATCCTCTGAAGAAAGTGGACATTCATCTGACCCATGGAATAACTCGAGTGTTTCAAGTAGTAGGAATCAGAATCAAAGAGGTCGGTTTTGCGCTTTAAAAAATCATCTTGAACATTTTCTAGAAATGATGTCGCCTCCAATGTACACAAGCACACCTCATCAGCACATGTCTCCACGACCAACCTCACAGGTAGTCGTTCTCTTAATTCAGCATTCAGACAATAAAAATCTCAACGTTTAGCCAATATCAAAAACAATTGAAGTTAAAGTGGAGCGAAGCGAGAAAATTGAGCACACAACTCAGAAGCCGTCAAATGACGGAAGAAATTCTAGCGGACCAACTTATGCGCAACCAATAATTCGTGGGCAACCATCGTATGGCTCACGGACATCTTCTGTCGCCACTTCACAGATGAGAGGCGATCAATCGGAAATTGATTTTTCGTGGGTTAACGAGGAAGAAGACAAGTTGAAGAAAGAACACAAAGGTTCGATTATTCGATTGAAATGCGTTCTGATTCGAACATTGCTAGGTGACGGCGGACCACAACGACTTCCGGAGTTTTATTTCGGAATGGATCCTCCGACAGTTGAGGAAAAGGAAAATGACGAAGAGAAGAGGCGTCGGCAACAAAGTGTTCTTGCAAAGACGGCCGCATTCGAAGCAGAAGCTCGACAAAGAAAAGAGCCGGTGAGATATCGTTTAAATTATAGATAAGCAGAACATTTGGAAACAAGTTTGTCGGTAGTCGGCATTTTGCATCCGATATACGCCAGTTGATTTTCCTCTTTCGTACGGAGTAACTTTTTATTTCACATTCTAGAGTTCGTTTTGATATAAATTTTAGTTTTAAAAAATGGAAGTAAATGAAATTCTGAAAAAAAAATGATCTGAAAAGTTTCAGGCATTCATTTCTCGATCAACACATCATTTGACAGAGTTGCCGAATCCTGATTATTCCCCTCTTCAAGTACATACCCGCGAAATCGGCGGTCCTGCAGAAAGAAGAATATATCGCATTCAGGTATTTCGGTTCGCGCTCAGATATTTCAATACATGCGCAATTCTTTCAGCGCCAATCCGACAATCAACGAAATGACGATCGCCGATACCGAAGCAGTATCGCATTTTAAGTTTCACTTCAAATTGTGCCTCGACAAAAAGCTCAACAAATTAATGTGTCTATTCCATTTGATATTGCCAATAAATAAAATAGATTTATTAGTCTAGATTTAGTAAAACAAATGATAGAAGAAGCAAATGGAATTTGCATGTGGGGAGGTGTAGAAATAAAGTGAAGGAAACCGAAGTGCAGGGATAGTGCGACGAATAGATTTTAATTCATCCTACATTGTGATTTTGATACCGCGTACCAATAAAGAATGATTATTATTTGAGGATGATCATCGGATTTTCAAGTATTAGGTGCAAATGTATCGCATTCCAAATTCAAATAAAGGTGGAACATATAATAGAAAGGCTAAACCATATCTATAACAACCAATAATATGAACAAATACATGGATAAATTAAAACAGTTTTATCTTTTTAGTGGGCAATTCCGATATCTTCTACTCGGGCCTTTCCATTTGCAAGTTTTTCTTTTAATTCAGGGGACACCTTCAATTGTCTTGGCTGCTCCCATGGGAATTCGTTGTGTCCGAAATGACCGTTTTCGGCAGTTGGCTCATAGATTGGTCTCTTCAAGTCAAGCTCGCTGTAAGGAATTGGATTTACATCATCATCTCCAATGGAATTCTTACGAAATAATCTTTCCTGGGCGAAGATCGAAGTTTTCATTGACAATCTGGAGAAGTTCCGCCTCAGAGAGAGGAGATGTTCCGAAAGAGAAGACCATGACGGAAAGTGGTTTGGCCACTCCGATGGCGTACGACACCTGGACAAGGCAACGACGGCAAAGGCCGGCCTTTACAAGAGACTTGGCAACCCAGCGAGCGGCATAAGCAGCAGAGCGATCGACCTTGGTTGGGTCCTTTCCGGAGAAGGCACCACCTCCATGAGCTCCCCATCCTCCATAGGTGTCAACAATGATCTTACGTCCAGTAAGTCCAGCATCTCCCATTGGACCTCCAACGATGAATGATCCGCATGGGTTCAAGTGGAAAACAGTGTTCTCATCCATCAAGTTTGCTGGGATAACAACCTTGATAACCTAAAAAATTCAAGATAAAATTTATTTTAAAAATATTAAACATACCTTCTCCAAAAGTTCCTTTCTCAAATCTTCAAGAGTGATATCAGGACTATGCTGGGTTGAAATAACAACGGTGTGAACACGAACTGGAACACAGGCTCCTCCTTCAGACGAATATTCAATAGTGACCTGCGACTTCGAATCCGGTCTGACCCATCCGAGTTGTCCGTTGCGGCGAAGCTCATGAAGCTTATGGTTGAGTTTGTGCGAGAGAAGAAGAGTCAATGGCATAGCCTCTTCGGTTTCGTCGGTGGCGTATCCAAACATGATTCCTTGATCTCCAGCACCAACATCATCACTGTCCTTATCGACGTGAACTCCAGCGGCAATTTCTGGAGATTGTTGCTCCAAAGCAACAAGGACATTGCAGGTTTTGTAATCAAATCCTAAATAAAATAATTAAGTGATTGAAATTTTATCAATGGCGGCCGATAAGGCATCGCGCCATGATCTTGCAACTGAATGAACTTTGCGGCGCCTGAAGGACAAGTAGGCTACTCACTTTTGAGATGGCCAGTGATAAGATACAAACATTCAATAAAACACACCTTTTGAAGAGTCGTCGTATCCGATTTTCTTGACAACGTTGCGAACGAGTACTTGATAATCAACGACAGCTTTCGATGTGATCTCGCCGCACAACATGATCATACCCGTTTTAGTTACCGTTTCTGTAATCAAAGTAACCGATAAACGGGTCTTGTCACACGAGTGCGACAAGACTCTTCATTGAGAGTCCTCTGAGTAGACTCTGTAACAGACATAGATTAAGGCGAAAACGCGGCTGGGACACTAGGCCCAAAACCGCTGACAACTGAAACAAAACCACGACACAATGAAAATTTCTAGAAGTGGAAAAACTAAATATCTACTAATTTCATGCAAAGTGTCAATGGTCTTCGATTCCGTTTCAAATCGCCTCATTCATCCGTCTGTCGTGAACCTATGAAAAAAGAAAGAAAATCATGCAAAAAACTCACCACAAGCAACCTTGGCATGTGGGTCTTGAGCGAGATGGGCATCAAGGACGGCATCGGAAATCTGAAAATAAACGTTGGATATTTGAAATCATTTGCCCCAATATCCTCGTAGTTTTTATAATATTTATGGGACCGATTCGTGAAATTATTGTTTATTGCATGAATATTTTTTTCTAAAATTTGAAAGAAACAAGTTGTTATCTAATCATATGTATCAGAAAAACAAATATAGCCATCAGCCTCAGTAATACGAAAACAATTTTTTAGAAATCTACTCAAAACAAAAATACATTTTTGGCCTAAAATAAATGCTTACCTGATCGCACATTTTGTCCGGATGTCCCTCGGACACGGACTCAGACGTGAACAAGAAGGTGTGCGGGGCCATTTTCAGTTAATCCAAATGAACGATTGAATTGACGCGAGAAGTGTGTTCTGCAAGAGAATCGAAAAGCTCGAATGACGAATGAAGTCGGTCGACGCGGGGTGGGGCACGCAATAAGGGGCGGAGTCAAAAAATGCGTGCCGCAAAGTCTGCTCACGTTGCCTATCTCTCACTCGCGCACGCTATCTAACATTGTGTAGACACGAAATAATTGAAAATTGAGATGGGGAAAACTAGAAGATTCCGCAGATATTCATCGGCTCTACACTTGCAAGAAAACTGGGAACCACATCAAAGACAACTAAAACGTGCGAACTGGTGGAATATTGGGCACAATTCGTTCCGTAATTAGGCAAACACGTCGAAAGTTCACGCTTCAGCTTTTTAACAGAGAAAACATAAAATTATCTCCAATCATTTGATAAAACACAGTTTCAGCATTAGAAATCCCAAATAAAAAAAAAATTAAGGCGACATTCTATAGAAATATTTTCGTCTTGCAATATAGATTTCATTGGCAAATAACCGATTTTCAATTTTCTAGATAAATGAATTTTTAAATTGAAAACTGTCATTTTTTATTGGTTTTCTCCAATCGATAAAAAAAACGAGAACCCTGCCTATTTGCGCTTGAATCGCAGGTTGTCTGTAGTACGGTACCCGTATTCCAACTATTTAAATTGAAATTTGAATTACCGCCATTTGAATTAATACGACAGTCCACAATTGTTCGTTTTTTTACGATGATAATAATTTAAATCGGTGTTTCATTTCTTATTTAAGTTTTATATATTTTTTAAAGTATTCGATTTTATGGAAAATGTCTTGCAAGTTGTTAATTTGTAACGGAAAATTATAAACACCTGCAATCTCTTAAACATCTAACGAATTTTTGAAGAAGTGACCGTTTTAAAACGTTTGACGATTTTCTTGTCGCAGCGATAGGAATCAGGCAGATACTATCGTAAAGTTCTCGAAAAAGAAAAAAAATCATCGACTATTTAGTCGTTTCGTCATCCACTTATCAGTAGTTCGGAGATGATAGGAATCGAATCGCGCGATAATGGTACGATATCGAATAGAGAATGTAGAGACACTGAGTGGTCATACTAGCTCTAATATGTCGTTCCCACATATTATTAATGCCATTAGTCTCGCTATTATCGGCACACCCACTTCGAGAGTAAATGTTCGAGATAACGAGTACTGCAATGATTGCACATTAAATATTTAATGCGACGAAAGGCGAAACCAATAAAACGGTTTAATTTGACTGATAACATGTTTTGCAAATATGAAAATGTTGTACAAAGAGCAGAAAACGTCTACAACTTTAAGGTGGCTGCCGTTATTCCCGTTGTTAACCCACTGAAACAAGAATATATTCATCGCAATTTCGAAGTTAACATTAAAATCATTATGTATGCAAGATGAATATTTTGACATGAAACGTCATTCTGTCGAAATTTTGTTTTGTTTTGCTGAATTTAAGCAAATCATACGAATTTAAAACAAAGCAAAACGGGAAAATAATATTTTATGTTTGTATAAAATTGTTGCTACGCGAGAGGGTCCCAAGATATGGTTTCTCCATGGGAACGTGTATTACGAATAATGGAATTGGCATGTCATTTTTTGTGTCACATGCAAAACAATTTTTTTCAAATATCTATCAAACTTCTACAAATACAAACAATTAACCTGTCTCGATTAATTTTATTTATTTTCATCGCATCTAATCTGTCGATATTTCCGCCGAACTAGTAAACTTTGTTTTGTTGAAGTCAATTTTTATACTCTACTTGAAAACAGTTATATACGTGTACAGTATGTCTTTATCACATCGAAATCGAAAAATTGCGACTAAATTCCTCGTTCTCCAACTTGTCGAATGATTTTGAGGAAGATCGTTCGACGTTGCGTAGTTCACTTCGAGATGCTACGCTTTTTTAGCCAATTTGTGTCTGTCGATGATAACCGATTTCGAACTACTATCAAAGAGACCACAATTCGATCGTCGTCGTCTCAATCAGCGTCTTCCACGTGGTGGAATTTGATGATGTGAAAAACCTTGTAATTTGGTCATCGAATTTTTGCGCCAAAAATGTATTTCATTGCAAAAGATGATGATGATGATGGTGGTTGTGCGGCGATATAAATCAGACGATTGTGTCTGTCGCGACATTTTTCGGAATTCTTTCAAATTTGCCACATCAAGACAAATCTTGAAATCAGGTGAGATTCCTGTTTGGCGTCGGGAGGACAAAGCAGCACGAAGCGGGATCTCTTGACGACATGAGTGTTGCATTATCATATCTTCTGGACTCTGACTTCCGATAAGCAGACGATGTATGTTTTGCCTGCTACATTGAACTATAGTCAACGATTACATTATTATTGAGGGAAACTTGCAACATTTACTGGATATATTTGCCCAGCCGTAATGTCAATAACCAACAAAAAAAAAGGATATTAGCTTTTCATCGGCCTGTGCGCATTTGAATCAAAACATAGCGGCATTTCAAAGCCAGTGTTTCATATTTTGACGAAGCCATTCGGCTGATGCAATCCGATCAAAATGAAGGCAATTATTTGGATGATAATAATAATAAGCCAAGGGATGTTTTAGGCATGCGCAGAGAACGATCATTGCGAACAAATTGACCTTATCTAGAAGCTACATATGTAGGTCAAGGTTTTGACGATTTGTACTTTTAGGCCTGTTGTTAAAGTTCTTCCTGCTTGATCATTTTTTGATGTATATTTTAACTGTTAGGAGCAAACGTGCGATTTCGAATAAAATTAGTCGAATGGTGTGTCTTGTGTCGATTTTCTCATTGTTTGAACAATAAGGAACGTTTATTATGCTCAATATTCGTTTTTATTCAACAAAAAGAATGTGATAATGATGAAAGAAAGCACCATTGCTTAGAAGCAAAGAAAAGAAAGTCGAACTAAATTCGGGCGCCTAAAAGCACACACCAACTAATCAGACTAATTACAGGATTAATGGTAGAAGATTCAGACGAAGCTTGAGCTACTGCTTGATCACTTGTCGAATTCTGTTCTTTGGTTCCATTCAAAATTGTTGGAGTTGTGATCTCAGAAGTCTTAAGCTCTGCAATCGGCTCATTCAAATCACGAATTATGTCATCCAAGCCATCCTCATTTTCAGGGTCTTCATTTAAATTTTCCTCAGGGATGTCATTCGATAGTATATCGGGCACCGCTGAGCCTAAGACGACAGCATATTCTGTAGTCGTCGTCGTCGTCATTGACGATTGTTTGTTCTCATAACGGAAAAATGATTTTGAAGGGGATAATGTTGGAATTTGATTTTTTGTCTTCTTGCTACTTGCAGCGGTTGGTCTGTTTGTGCTCGATGTCGGATTTGGTTTTTTGATTGCTGCTGCAATATATGTTTTATTAGCTGCGACATCATGTGGGTGTATTGGCAAACCAAACGAGGGCAGCGAACTTTTTTGAAACGTCGACTTTTGTATCAATCCGATTTCGTATGTGTAGCTGGTTGAAAGTAGACAGAAAACCTTGTCCGGTTGATCAATGTTCAATATATTGAGGGATGTAGTTGGCGGTTCGGTCTGCAAAATGTCGAGCGATTCGATAGCCCGTTGAGAGTTTCATTACCGATCTGTCCGATTCCGCGTACAACATGATATCGCCATCCACAGAAAATGTGTTGAGCATTGATCCGTAGCCTCGGTTCGGGCTTGCAAAACTCTGCACTTTTGTATCAGATGATCTTAATTAATTAAAATTTATTGGTGATTCGTGATCAAAAACCTAAATAACATATTAAAAGAGCATTGATAATCGAAGACACGATCGAATCGATTCCTTCGGAATAGTTTGTCTCTTTCAGAATCGATTGAGATGATAAATTCATTCGCTGGAGCATTTTCTGAGATGAGCAGAAAGTAATAAATTTAAAAAAAGAATGTTTAAAAATACCATTTGGGTATTGATTTGCGATTGTTAAATTATTCATCATGCTTAAAATTCCAGTGTCTTTCAGCAAAAATTGGAAAACTTTCCATTTCGAGCCTATTGAAAGTGCATCGACCATATATAGAACATCCTGAAAAAAATAAAAATGCAAATATTAAACGAAGGGATTTCTTACGCTGTAGACAGGGTCCATAAAAGACAAATCTGGTTCCAGCTGAAAACTAGTGTCCAATGAATGCGAGCAAGACGCGTACGGTAAAGAATTTAGCAACGAATATCTGAAATATATCTGAAAAATTCGGGCCGTACATTTACAGGAGAATACCTGAATAAATGATCACCAAACAGCATTTCGAAGCGTGGAATGTGAATATCCAAAGTGCATATTCGGTTGGCTGCTTGTTTGAATACCAACAGAAGTGTGTCGTTCGACTATGAATAATTCCTTATAAAGGAGAAGCAAAACAGAAAATTGTTAGTTACTTTGAAATGGAGTTGGATTAGATTGGAATAGCAGAATGAATGGCGTGCATTCACTTGGATTCTTGATAAAAGATGAAGCTGAGAAGGGCGCAAGAAGAACATTTGGCAATCCTTTCAAATTGGACAATATTCGGCTAAATTGAATCGAAAATGGTCACCTGCGTCAAACCGTAGATCAAATAATCATCGGATTGTGCTCCTTTGACAACATTCCGAAAATTGTCGCCGCTACAGTAACCAGCTGCTAAACGGCCGAAAATTGAGAGAAAAAGCCCCAGACGAAACATTTCTAAATGGGCTACGGTGGATTGTGTATTGAGACCATTCTCATCAAATCATGAATTCTGAAAATAAGGGGAATTTCACGAAACGAAGAAACAAAGCGGAAAGCGATCACAAAGAAAAGCAAAGAAAAGGAATTAGAAGAAAAACAAATGATGAGTTTATGGGTATTTGGCCGGTAATCCTTAGTTTTCAATCATCTTTCAACAGAAATGACGCCAACGTCTTCATGTGTTTTTGTGCAACAACAGGTTCATCGAGAAGAAAAAAAAACACGGAAATATTCATCGAAAAAATGTTTGAAAAGATGAAAAGTAAAGCTGTCAGAAAGGGCTTTTCACGATTTGATGGGCGCCTCCCAAAAAATAAAATACGGGAAGCGAAAAAAAATTTGCTCGTGATTCTCGCACAAGAATTCTCGACGTAGATTTGCATTATTTATTGGGACGGCGGCGGCGGGCGCGCGGTTTTTTATGGTCCGTCCGAAGATGGATGAATGTATGTTCGGTGCCGATGAAATCATATTAGGATGCGGCCGACAGAAGGCAGTCAGTCGATGATGGATGGATGCTGGTGCCCTTCTTTTCGTTTCAAATTCCGCCCCTTCTTTTTTTTCGTTTTCTTTTTTATTCTATTGAACTCGACTCGACCGATCGAATGGACCGTCGGAGAAATATCAAGAAGCAAACTTGGGTGACAAGCGGCAAGCGAAGCAGTTTTTGACGGCGTCGCGACATCGACAATGGGCGCGCGAAACAAAACTCAAACGAATGGGTCTCGTGGGGAAAATGGATACTCACCGGTTACTCGCGAAAAGGTTGTGAACAAACCAAAAATTATGTGTGTGTGTAAAGCACATGAACGGAATTCGGGAGAGAAAAAAAAAGAAAAAATCATTGTGATGGAAGAAATAAATTCCGAACGATCATTTCAGAAAAAAAAACAAGTATTTGAGATTTTTTTGAACTGACGTGATCGAGTATTTTAGGCATTTTTCTTTTCACATCTTTGGCAAACTATCGGGAAAATTTCGAATAAACATTTATTAAAAAATGGTAAGTAGAATAGCAACAAAAATCAGTATATTGTTAGCTAGAAAATGCAAATTTCCTAATGTAAGAGGCTTTCGAAACGAGACCCAAGTCATGAATTCAAATGATAAATCACCTCAAATTCTTCAGAGCATATTTCCTAAAATTTAGAATACAGAAAATTGAAGAAATGCGCCAATTTTGTGTCGGATTCGTGTTTATGAATGACTGTGAAGAGTAATGGGTGTGGCAGCGAATTGTCAACTCTCTCAATTCGCGAAAAAGCCGAAAAAAACGCGACGCGACGCATCGGCTATTCAAAATACGAAGAAGCACTGAGCTATTCGCAACAATATTATTGCACCGTGGGGAACACTCTGAATGTGTGTTTGTTCGATTTACCTAATCTCGTTTATGTTTGTTGTTCGGCATTTGACAAAAAAAAAAGATAATCAAGTTGAAAAAAGGAAAGTTTCTAAAAGAGTTCCTTTTTTAGAAAATATATGCTGAAAAGATGAATTCAAAACTAGTTAGTATGGAATGCCCAAAAAAAGATGAGCAAAAAACAAGAATCGGCGCCCGTCACTCATTTTTTAATGGCAATTGATGATGATGATGATGATGATGGTGGCGATGGTGGTGGTGGCAGTGGTGTGTTTGTTGCCGTGTGAATTTGTGACGGATACGTGTCGGCTCGAATCCACGTCAAATTCGACATGATCTGCGAACTACTCGATTCGCGTGCTATTCGGAATCTATCTGATGCGCACCATTTATCGCATCAATCATGCACCCGCATGTTTCCCCAACGGAATCGGTGTCGAGCACCGCGACAACATGCTGGAATCAATCACGATCTGCGGCTGGATTTGATGAACGTTCGGTACGAGTGAAAACGAGCAAATCAAAGTTTTTCTAGCTCATCGAATAGTTACCGTTGGAAATTCGTAAATTGTACTAGCGATATTATCTAAATTTAGAAACAAACGAACCCCTGAGTTTTCGTGGACCATCGTATTTTTTTCGGCGCGGTAATTCATATTTCGATTTAAACAGTAAGAATTAGGGGGGGGGGAACATAATAGGGACCATTTATTTTTTGAGCTATTCTGTCAACGCTTTCAGGAAGAGCAATTAAAAACAATTTTCTTCGTTTTTAATTGTTGTTCTCGATAAAAATTGTTTTACAAATAGTATAATTAGAGGTTTTTCTGCATCGCACCATTTGAATTTGATTAAAATAATTTTTTTGCCACTTTTGGTTCGAGTAAAAAGGAAGAAAGGCAGCAAATAAAAAATTCGGCAAGTTTTTTAAATAAATAATTCAATATCATGGGAATAATATGAAGAGCTTTTTATATTTAAATAGCCAACTGAAGCCAATCAAGATAATTTTTGATGGTTTGGTGATCGAAAAAAAGTAATGCTCGATGTTGTGAAGAATGTGTGAAAGGACCAACACCTTCCCGTGTCCGCCCGCCCGCCCCACAATCCCATTTGGCGGCAGTTGAATGAGCATGAATGGAGCATCAGTGATGAATCACGCCAACTCGAGCTTATTGTACTCGAATAACCAAAATAGGGAGCTTCGGCGAGAAAAAAAAAGGAGAAGATGAAGCAGAAGAAGTGTTGGAAAAAATGAAAGGTAGCGGAATAAATATAGGGTCTTGGCGCGAAATTGCACACCATGCTCATCGAAAAACATTTCCGATTGTTGGCGAGCCGTCTCGTGTTATTATTCGAGAGAAAGAAGAAAAAACGTTTTCAGTTGAATGCGTGTACTTGATGAGATTCAAGTTTCAAGAGGTCATGCTCAAAAAGCTTCTCAACGACAGCAAAAAAAACGAATTCTTTTTTTTTTAACTTTCTAAAGTGTTCATGCGACAACAATAATTGCGAACATTTATTTGGTGTAAAACTGAAGAATTTGGGAGAACAGATAAAAATCTATATTATAAGTTATTAGTTGGGACCGCCAGTAACAATTTAACAAGAAAAAAATTTCAAATTGAAAAAAAACATCGAAAAACACCGATAAAATCAATAGAAAGCTTATTTTGAATCTCTGGGTGAACCCACATTTGTTTTAGGTTTAATCACAAAATCGACGCACACTTCATATTGTTGAGTGAGTTGTTGAGCTGGGCGAACAAGAAAAGGCCAAAAATATTGCCACAGTTGGTTCTTTTTTTCCTTACTGTATTTTTTACTCGTAATATACATTGAGCACTTCGATGTCTCCCGTGGAAAATGTTTGTGTGCACGCGTCGCTCATCATCGGGCGCGGCGCGGCGGCGTACGGTGATGGCGCGAATGATTGCATGATCGGAGCGCGGTCGGAATTACCGCCGCGACGAGTCGAAGCACGATATGGAGTCGAGACGAACGGTTGAGGTGGAGGAGGGCGATTGGTAGAAGCAAGAAGAACCTGGAAATGAAAAATTGGAATTAATTATGGATTATTGTTCTGCAATGATCGACATAGTGTGCTTACAGAAGCTAGCAGATTTGATGAATTAATTTAGATTGTAGTTGCGAAAAGTTAAAAAAAAAAGTAAAACTAATTTTTTAAAATTGACTTGTCTCAAATTTCAAACACAGAGACATCGTTTACATTAAAAGAAACTAAAATTTTTGAACAAAAATAACAAAAAAAGCGATTATAAGTAGTGTGAACTGAAGCTCAACTCAATTGTGCTAAACCTGAAAATTGCAAACATAAAAAGTGCAAAAGCAAGTACCTCTGGATGGATTACCTCGATGCATTTGTCTTCAAATAAGCCTCTCAAATGCACTGGAATCAGATTAGACAAGGTTTGATAAAGAGCCGACAATAAGCAATGAGCTTCCTCGACAATGGTCAGCTGAAACTCTTCGGTGATTGGTCGGACTCCCCAGCTGAAAATTGTTTTCATTTCGATGAGTGCTCGCCTTCATTTGATCAATTTACTTTGGAGATTGGCTCATTTTGCGCGGGGTCACATCACTCAAAAGAATCGATTGCGGGTAATAGACGCGTTGCAGATTTATGAATGAGATTGGCCGCATTTCGTGCAGTGGTTTTCCAAATTTATCGTGTTGAAGAAGAGCATGGGCAACCTAGATTCTAGGTCATGGGAGTGAGCATTTCAGAAGGGACATACCTGGGTGTCGAATACATTTCTCATATGAACTGCATATTTATGAGCAAGAATTGATGCAATTCTTCTTGCATCATGAATTACCTAAAAGTAAAATGCTTAAATCGCAAAGACAAACACAAACTAACTTTAACAACATTGTCGCTTTCCAGAATGCCCTTGAATCCACTTTCAAGAATAATAACATCACTAGAAGCAAGATCGAAAATTCCAATTTGGGATGTAGTCGCAATAATACCTGTACGAAGTTCATTACATTCCTCCCACAAGTAAAATGTTACCCAGAGACAAGAAGATCTCGCCGTCAACTCCAACAGTAACAGTTTTCAAATCCAATCCGACCACCTTCTTTTCCATATTGTTAATATCCTGCCATAAGTTCGCAATAAGTTCTTGTGCAGGTTTGAGCGCCTTCACAAAATGAATTCGACTGAGCGCGTTCTGATCCAACGGGAACATTCCATTGTTATTTTCAGCATCACCCTCATCTGATCCATTTTCAGATCCTTCTTCACTCGGGCGATTCTTCACTAGCGACACTTTGTTACTTCGGATGAAAAACAATCCACGGTTTAGTTTAAGGAACTGGAGTAGCTCTTTTGGATTTGTAGCAACGTCTTGGCGGATGGTGTGAGAGAATCTCTGGCAGAAATGTTGATAGAATTGATCTAGTGGAATTGGCTGATCCTCATTCTGAAAAAAAAACCGATGTTTGGTGATCAATCATATTTTTGAAAGTCTCAGACATCAAATTTCTAAAACCTAACAACTGAAAAGGTTTAACATTGAGCCAATTATCATATTGACGGAGCAATATTTTTAAAAACTGACCTGTTCTAACACACTCTTTAAATACTCTACAGCGGCTTGTTTGGCTTTCATTCCAGCTAATGGTTTTCCTTCGTCGTCGAGTTCGATCGCGTTCTCATCGGGTTCGGGCATATTCTAAACATCGGTTATAAGAAAAAAAATTGATTTTTGGTGATTTTTACCTTCAGACGGACACGGTCACCTTCTACAACAAAATAGTCGACCTGCGACTGTAGGAACTCGCAAAACTCCTTAAGATGACGTCCTGAAACAAGACGAACTTCAGGAGCTGCTTGGGAACGATGTCCCAATAAGGATTTTATCTGAAAATATTATGATTTAGCAAAATTGGTTTTTGTTGATAATTTTTGTACCTGCAACTCTGGTCCGAACTTGGTCAATTTGTTCACAAAAAAATCGACAGCTTCTTTCTCGTAGTTGCGACTTCTCATTCCCGACATGAGGAGTGGATTATTGCGAGCATTAAGATCGTTGTGGCCGTTCAGAATCACTTGATCGCCTTCGACCGTGAACAGCGAAGGGTGACCCTGTAGGAATTCGGTGAGGCCCTCTTGCGTCGTTCCCACCGCATTCCTCATTTCCTCTGTAAATCTGAAACGGCAAATAAATATTGTTGAATGAACATAGGCAAACGGATCAAACCCTCTAGCTCCGAATTGACAGCTGAGATCATGGATCGTTCGACGGCCATTCTTCTGCATCAGATGATCCATGAAGAACAGCAACGCCATATTCTTTGCTTCCTCCATGATTCTAGTTTTCTCTAATTTCCTTCTTATTCTTTACACCGCAGAGAGTCTGCACACACACGTTTTGGCTTACCTAAAAATTCAAATAAAAATGGTTTTAGTGCACTAATTTATGACAAGTGTAACGCAATAATGAATGGGAAACGAGCGTCTAAACGGATTTTTTGGCAATTTCTCAGGAAGCTTTCAACGGAAACAAAGAAGATGAGTAATAGTAGACGAGGGGAACGCGGCAAGCAGAGACAGGTCAACAATAAATCGAGTGAAATTCGATGAGAGGGTTTTTGGATAATCTGGCACTAGAGCAGTTAGTTTAAACCAAACGGCAAAAACAATTTAGACGATGTAAATATTTTTTTAAGTAATTTACAATCCCGTTTCTTTTCAAATTATAATAGTTTTCTATATAGCCAAAGATGAACCAATTAAGTTAGAAAATTTTCTTAAATTATTTATCGCAATTTTACAAGGATTGAACATATTTAAACGATTTCATGAATTTTTAATAATTATTCAACTAAAATCAGTAATTTGAGGCTTCTAAATACTAAATGATAAAAAATAAAACAACATTAAATAAAGAATATATTTTATATTCCAGACGCGAGGATTATAAAAGAATCCACTTACACTGAAATAAGCTCATAGGAATTCGTGAGGAATGTTCGATAAAGAAACACGGAACCAAGGCAGTTCAGAAACAACATGAATTGTTCATAAAAAGTTCACCTTGTCCCATTTCTATTTCGAATTTTTTTGTATTTCTGACTCACATTTTCCATTCAAGAAGATCGGTTGGTTTGATTGAAAATGCGAGGAACTATCAATAATTGAGCATAAATCGACAACGAACAAAAAAAAATCAATGTATTTGTACAATTCACTGCGCCACTGTCGTTCTGTTCTCGTGTCGAAGAGATTAACACAAGTATTTAAGCGAAATTTCGAGAGAATTCTTCTCAAATATTTTTTGAGAAATTTTTGAAAAAAAAACAATGCGGAATGCAAAATTTCGCAAGAATCGCAACGAAGCGAACGAACAAAATGACATAAAATGAAATTGCAGGCGACATTATATTCACATACAAAATGGGCTGAACAAAATGCTATTCAAACATTAGTCGAAACAGGAATACAAACAAAAAACGAAACGCACCGATACGATTACAAGTGTTGATTATTGTGACTCATTACGCCCTAATTTAAACCAATATTTCATTTTATTTGTTTTTTTTTCCATTTTAAAAACCGCTGACAAATACTATGCATTTATAATGGACCATGAAATTCAATTAATCCTAAAAATATTAACAGTTACATTATCTGTGATTTTTTAAAACCAGCATGCATCGGAAAAGTGTGTATTTTCATTCATTTATTTCATGAATAGGTCCATAACTGAACTTATATGAAATTAAACACAATTTTCAAATAAGTCAATATATAGTCAGAAAATGACATTTTTGAACTCTCGACTAGAAGCAATGAAGAAAATTGACAGAGACTAAACACCCAATTGTTTCCTGTGTGTTCACGCAACTCGAGTGCCGCTTAAAACAGATCGTCGGGTTCAAACACTTCGGTTAATCCGAAACATGTGAGTTGCACTTTTAAAACAAGACCAATTGTCATCAATTTTTGAAAATTCGATATTCATTGGCTTTGATGTAGCAAACGAATTAATTAATTGCAAATTGGTCTTTTTTCATTCTTGTCTTTTTAAGCTTATAGGTCGAATACGTTTCAAAATTGATTGCGTAAGTCGTCGATTTTCAATGAATTGGCTTCATTAAAAAAAAAATGATGAAAGACTGGAATAAATTTGAATATTTCATAACCGATGGCAAAATTGGAATTGCGGCTTTCAAATAGTGTCAATATTAGCTCAAACTTTTCTACAATAGTTGGCAAATAACAATTACATGAATGAAAAAATTGTAGGATGCGGTTGTGGAATTTCGAGGCAGCCAGTAGCTATGGTGACAACACGCATTTCACACTTCATTTAAGACATTCGCCCGGATTTCCTATTTTAATATTCATGGAATCGATAGAAAACCCAAGCGGGGACGAAATGTGCAAAGAAAAAAAATGAAATATTCGAAAGTGTCCGGTGTCGAATTACGGTTTGTTTCTCGCGCACTGCGAGGACATTCGCATTTTCAATTTATATGCAAATTTTTGCGCGGCGGTGCGAATTTCATTGAAATTTCATTGGCGACGAATAGATATCGAAACAACTGATGATATGGGCTGCGATTGAGACTAATTGGATCGATTCGGCTTGTGTAAATTGGCACCCACGGCGGAGGCTTCGCGGATTACTCACCCGCACGAACTCACCCACCACACGATTGGTGAAGGGACCCATCATTTCCATTGCTAATTGCGGACAACAACAATCTGCGAGGAAGAGCGGATGCGCAAAAAAAACGACTGACAATCCCCTTCGAATAGTGCAAACGAATTATTTATGAGTGCAACGTAAAATGTTATGCTTTTTCATAAATTTTTGGTAGAATAAATTGAACATGCCGTAAATAAGTTTCTATATTTCAGTTTTTTTTAATGGTATAGGGGTCAATTATCTGGAATAGAAATAAGAAAAATTTTCAAATTCTGCTCAAAAAATGTAGAAATATAAAAACAAATTTAGGCCAGAAACTACGAAAATCGCAACTTTGCTGAACTATTTCACATGTTTGTGAACAAATATTTGGGATAAACCGGGAAATGCGCGAAAATGCGACAACGGATAGAATATGTGACCTCTGAAAATGATCAGAATCCACATAAAATTTGACAATAAAATGCAATATCAGATTTAAACTTGTGGACGATGACAGACGGCAAAATGAACATGAGAAATAGTGCGACAGGTTGAAGAGACGCCGACATTTCGGCACACTTTCGAACGGCAGAGGCCGACGAGCGGGCAGAAAACAAAAAATTCATGGCCGAGATGGTAGGTAACCAAAGAGATAAGAGGAAAAAACGGAGAATGAGAAATGAGTACGAGATGTAATCAGAAATATCAGACTCATAAGAGAATTATCAAATAGTATAGAATTTTTATATTTAGACGTTTTAAAAATAATAATAACCGAATTGGTTTAATTCAAAATAAATCACCTATTCTGCGATGAAATAAGAAACAATTTAACCATTTGAATATTCTATGCACGTAATTCGAAAAATTGAGAAAATGACGCGATATACCGCAGTTCTCCGACATTTTTTTCATTCAAAATGTTTCGCGAGTCGGCATAATTTTGCTCCTGTTATTTTTTATTATCAGTTTTAGGGCATCAATGGGACGGGTGGGACTGTGAACGCCTTCCTGTCAACCGTAGAAAAATAATTTCACGGACAATCTTTTTTTCTCCAAAAATCATGCTGTAAAAACAGCGAAAAAATGATTCGGTAGAAACAAATGTCTCGGTCTCAACAAATTGTCCATACGCATGGATGCCCTTGTCGGTTTCATATAAATGATCGGTGGAAAATTGAATTTCGCTAATCCAGTAGAATTCTAAGAATTTGTGAACTTACGAGCAATTTAAATATTAACTGCGCGTACGATTAAATGCAAAGTACGCAAACACTGACACGTCTCTCTGCCTTAAGACACCACGCACATTGCCAGTATTTTTTGAATTTCGTTCAGGCGTTTGACGCCAACAATATTTCTGTGTTCGTTTGCAAAAATCGGAAAAAATATCATTGTAATGTTATCATATCAAAAAGAAGAAATGACACAGATACAAAATTAATAAATTAACAGTAGCGAAATTTCGACGAGACTAGCAAAAATTGCTGTACTTATGAAATCTGGACGGGCACTTCTTGGTTTGGGATATCCTGTAGAATATTTTGGTACAAACTGGCAAAAAATCAATTAGTCGAAACAAAAGTCGCCCACGGTTTAGCCCCGACACGCTAAATCGAGGTCGATGTGTAATTGGAGTGTCGCACTCGTAGGATCAAAGTTTTGGGACACAACGAAGTTTTTTGAAGCTCCCGTGGAAACCCAATGAGAAATAACTGGTGAGCTTGCGCAATACCACAGCGAAAAACGGCCATCCGTGAATCTACCCGCGTACAGCAGCTGCCAGACGTCAGCTATATCTCACAAGGGAAGTCATCCAGTGAACTAACTTGAACACTCAAATCTTAGATTGGACCTTGATAGAGATGTTTTCAATTGAATACAGATTGTATTTAATAGAATTTGCTAAAAAAAAAAAAGAGGGAATCATGTTTCAATATTGTTGTTTCGAGAGTGCATCTCGAAATCTATCCTGCCGCCAATGTACATATCTGCCCTGTTCACCAACAATAGAAAAAGAAAAAAAAACAAATCGGGGAAGAAATTCCGCTTGGAGTGGAAATCGAACGGAAAACATAGAAATAATCTTCATCACGAACACATATTTTGTCTGCATACAAAAATCAGCCTTTTATTGGTGATTGAGCGAACGACCTCATCATTTTTATTTCTTTTATTCACCCACACAAATAGAATTAACAGTTTGAACAATGGAATCCGGTTTTCTCGATAAAACTACTGGACAACTTGAGAACTTCATCAAAAAACATTCAAATTGGAAAATTGTAGATAAATTTTGTAGTCATAAGTTGAAGTAAAAAGAACGCAGAAAACCTAGAAAAAAAAATAAATTTCTCACACTTTTACTAATTTAATTATTTAATTTAAATCGTCAAAAAATCAGTTCAGTTTCGCAGAATAGTATTATTGTGATTTGATCAATGATCTCACATCAATGTTTGATTGTCAAGAAACACCGACAAATATGAAAATCCGAATCGGATGCGGGCTGACAAAACTAGTTATTAAGCGTGTATATTTTTGTATACATTTACTATATACGCGTGCACGAAAAACGAGAAAAGAATAGAAGCGAAGGAAAAAATATGCGGCGTAAAGTCATGCCATATACGGTTTCAATTGTCCCGATCTCACAATTGTCGGGTCTATTGAAACTTGAGTATAATAACCGAAAGAATCATAAATAATTATTTGAAGAGTGAAAAAAAACTCGTTTTTTTTATTTTATGAATGTTTAGCACATTTATACGAATCAAGGAACGACTGAGTTCGAATAATATTATGCAGAGAACGCAGCGCGCAGCTTGGTATGACTTGTGTTTATTTATTTTGGCTTTTATATTGGATGGACAGGCGACGCAAAGGCAAACGAATTGTACAACAGTAAATTGCACTTGACTGATTTCAGCTAATATGATGAAGAATGAAGTAAAGAAAAATTTTAAAACACTGAAGGTCACCTTTTTTGGCAATGAACATTGAAGTGCAACGGATTGAGTCGAACATTCTTAAATTCTCGAGTAACTTGTCTGTAAACATTTTAATTATTGGGAATAAATCGTGCAATTTAATCTCAAAATGTTATTTTAAATAAAATTGAAGCTCGGAACATTCAGCGATCGAAACACGGGGCTTTTGTGGCGAAACGATGACTAATTTTTATTATCGCATAAAAAAACAACAATTTGCTGATTTCTCGTAGAAATAGCGTAACCTTCGCGTTTCGATTAAAACAGAGAAATGAACGTGTTTCCACAGCTATACATTTGTTTGTGTGCAATAATGCGTGTCAGTGTTTACAGCTACCGTACTTAACTTTTTGAAATTTAAAACCCCGCGCGCGCCTAATTTCCGCGCATTTTTTGAATTCATTTGAATTTGTTGATTTTTTTAGTTGGCTCGTTCATTTTTCACTGCTAATTGTTGTAATCGCTATATTTTATGACATAGTCGTTGGCAGGTAACTATGAAATGTATAGAAGGTGAGCCCGATCATCCCACTAAAGAATCACACATTGGTATTAAAGCGCGAGTTCGATCACGTTGGCGGAGTATCTTCTCAAAGGTATTTCAATAAAATTCAAATAAATAAACATAAATTAAAAACTAATTTTAGAAGAATAGCGTCGTAAAACTTCGTGACTACAACAGGATCTCCATTGATTCGAGGTTCATTCTACCAGAAAGCGAGCATCCACTTGTGGGCACAATTGTTGCTCAAGCAACAGTCGAACCAGTACCATTACCGGACGGTGAAGGTGTTGCTTTAATTCAAGAGACTCAACACTTTTCCGAAAGTAAAATAATATTATCACCGGAGGTTGGTTAATCTTTTTATTTACTGTTGGTTTAAATTGGTTGTATGTGTTTATCTCGAATTTCTCCCAATGAAATTAATCACATTAATATTTAAGGAACCGATAATCAGGAATTTGTGCGAGCCATCTCCAAAAATATTGACCAGATTTTCATCAGGAGATATTACGATGCTGCATCAGATGTTCGAAGAAATTCCAGATATTAAGGTTTATCTGTTTTATTTTCATCCTCGACAGTTTTTATTGTTATTGAAGGAATTCAGCTTCGATGGTATGACATTCACAGAGCAAACAGATAAAGCAACTGGTATCGTCACGGCCTGTCTTAAACCAGGGCCCAATTGCGAACTTGGTTTGATTAAAAAAAAAGAAATTTGAAATGCGCATTTAATTACGTAATTTCTTAGATCATCAAAAATTGTTCCTGAAGCAATGTCTTGATGATGTCGAAAACCGTCCAAGAAATTTGACGTATACTGCAACAGGATGGGCACTCGAAGATTTTGAGAGTATGATGAAGGTATTGTTTATATGATTGAATTGATCAAAAATAACTCAAAAATTAAACAGTAACTGACAACTTTTTAAGTTTTTCCTATTGCGCTGCAATTTATTTGTTTTCGATTATTTTTATTATTTTTGATTGTATTTAGCACATGCTGCGTCGACCGGATTCCCCAAGAACATCATTTCTTCGAATCGAGTTCAGTGAATGCATACCATCGCTGAAATACTTATGCGAGTAATTAGGGAATTATAATATCTGTTCACATTTTTTTATTTTTGAGGTTTATCAGTGGCTACGCAAAACTTCGTGGATTCAATGTGAAGAAGAATTACGTTTATGCAACGATTCACTCGAAAAAAGTTAATTCCGAAATTTTCTTTTTTTTTATAAAGATGAATTTTTCAGCTATCTCAACAAAAGAAACTTCGTGGATTGATGGAGCCATTTTTGGAAGTGGAAGAAAAGGTTTTACGAACAAAAATGTCATACATCACGGATTTATCACTATCTTCGGCGAAACTTCCAAACGTCATGATTGTTCTTCGTTACTATCATCTACGATCTCCAAAAGAAAAAGAAGAAAACGTGTTTCAAACGGTAATGTTTCAGGAATTTCTGGTTTTTTTTTTCAAATTTATATTTAAGACACTTCAAGTTGAACAAATCACTGGGTATAACCCAATGATTTGTAAGAAAGTTCAGCTTTGCGATAATTCTTTCGATGAAACATTGCAATTTGATGACGACGATCAAAAAGTAGCGGAAATGGAGATGAAAAACGCTAAGCGTCGTAAGAACGGTATAGATGAGACTGATGGAGTTGTAAGAAATGTTCTGTTATTCCAATAAAAATAACAATTTAGATAAATGGCAAGGAAGACGAGAAGCCGTATTCCGAAATGTTCCCGATCCTATTTGAGCTGCTTGGAAAGACGGAAATGCTCAACGAGGAAACTTATTCGGAGTCTGAGTCTGAACTGGAAAGTTTCGACACCGATGGTAACAATTCGGATTGTTCAGACAATACGGAGACGTCGGAATCGGACACCGATGAATAGCGTCATGATACTTATTGTTTCGATTTGTCCCAAAGTTTTTGCACAATTTGGCAGTTCGCTCGTTCTTTTTTTGGTTTTTCACTGTACCATGCTACTAAATTGTTCAACAATTCTCACATTTGAGAACACTTGCATCCTCCCGATGATACCTTAACGAGTCCTAATATACATATGTTGTACTGGAATGTTCTCGCGTTTACCACCGCCATTGATGTGTTTTTGCCGAGTTTATCAATTTTTGTATGGCATTTTGTATTATATGTACCGCAGGTATTATAACGGCCAACCCCCACCCCATTCCCACCTCATCCCACCATTTTAATCCCATCGTGACTTGTACTTTGAAAGAACGAAAGATTGTCATGTTAAGGAAAGTTTATTCATTGAATAATTACGTAGATTCATGTGTAGGCGAGAGTTGAGTGTTAGCATCAGATTAGATTTTACTTAGCACCCCCACCCCCGTCTTGTCTTTTACCATATCATTGGTCTGACCAAACGACCATTGATTTTTCCGTTCACCCACACGGGAAAATCAATGGCTAAGACATCAATCTCATGCCCATTAACATTACACCATTACTCTACGTTGATAATTAACTAATCTTTTTCTGTTAAGTAAAATGTTAAAAATATGCGCACTGTCTGTGTTTTACTGTCCGCATCGAAGGAATATTTTCACAGCTCATTGGCTATTATTGGGTGGAAGGCTGGTTTCTACGAGAAGTGATAAATTCGAAACGGTTGAAATTCTATGCAATACTTCTGTTGTGTTTGTTGACCTGCCACTAGCTTCCTGTCAATTGTTGATTTATTGTGATAAGCGTTGGATTCGATAGTTTAATGCCGAACAGTGAATAATGAGGATTTGGGTATCAGGTTGGTTGTAATGAGCACGAGCTCCCGTCGCTTTTTGATTGATGAAGTGACAGGCAATGCGCGAACTCATTCGAAATTAATTGCCTTCGTTACTTCAAGATTTGCTAATAATTAAGGAAATGGTTGAAATTTGACTCATCAGTAGCAATTAAATTCGATAGAAAAATTGGAAAATCTCCCTGAAAATGTCATCTAAATTTCATTTTATTTCAGTCGTTTTTATTTGAACTATTTATTGAACTGCTCAGAATCTCCCTCTTTGTAAAAATTTAAATAATCATTTATTGTTCTCATTTTCTCCTATTTACGGGCAATTCGCACAAAACATTGCGTTGCGTCATATTCGTCCCTTATTCGATTTTTCAAATGTTCCCGCTGTCGTCTCGACCCGGCAGACACTCACACAAAAGCGCCCAAACCGATGTCGCCGTCTCGCCGATTCGCATGCTCTCTCGTCGGGTCAGTCTCCAACGAAGGCGCGGTCGAATCTTTTGAGCAATGTGAGACCCGTGTGCGCGCGCCAATTGACAGGTAAGCACACATGCACAAACACACTCACATACATTACTATGTATTATAATAATATAATAATTATAATGATATTTCAAAACAGCACATGTTTGTTTTGGATCGAGGAGCACCATGAGGTGGACAAATATTGGTGTGTGGTGGGACCTTTGAGGTGGAACAAATACAACATCAACCAAAAAGGCAAAAGCATGCAAATTCATAAATAAATAAACAATGAGACGCGAATTTTGCGATTTAAACAATTTCAAGCAAATCGTTGAAAGTCGATTACCACTAACATTTGATTAGAAAGTTTAAGAAAAAAAAAAACGGTTGAAATCACAAAAATTCTTAAAACACGTTGACAACATTTTAAATATGATTATCCATATATAGAAATACATTTGAAATTAGTTTCCTTCCGAAAAAGCGACTATCCCATGTACGTCATCAAGCGCGTTGCGGTTGGCGTGCGGTTGCTATAATTTTTCTCGCAAAAATGTACCGACAGATTTAGTGGTCCCTATTTGATGATTCCGGTTCCTTTCGGAATTTGTTCAGTATCAAATTCTTTAGATGAAAACAATTGAAAAAAATTATAAGCAATTCAAAAACACGTGACCGCTCGCGAACCGCAACGCGCCAGACGATAAGGTCTCACAACGGCAGTTTCGTGAACTATAGTATAATTCTCTCTAAATACAACTACGACGTCAATTGATCGCCGAATTTTCCAACGAAATTTATGTTGTTTTATTAATTATTATTGTTGATCAGCGACGCGCTCGTAAATTCGGCGTCGAGCAAAAATTGGATAGTTTCCAGATGTGCGCCAAATTGCTCTTTGACACCGATCGACTCGCCGAATTTCCAATGATTTATTGTTAATATGAAGAAATTTACGAGTGACACACTCACATTCGTGTGTCTCTTTTTTCGGAGAACAACAGAGTTTTCGACTGGTCACGCATGGCGGTGTGAACGAATTCTGCGATTATACAAACGAAAAAAAATATGTTCAGATGATGGGTTTTGACTGGAAAACTAGTCGTTTTAAACAATGTTCGGTGAATTTTTGTCGAGAATATTGGGGAGTGGGAAATATCTGAAAAGAAGAAACGAATATTTATTTTAAAAGAAAATTTAAAACTGGAATGCCATTGAACAATACAAGCACATTCATCAGCAATAAATTGAATTTTAAAGAAGCATGAACACTGAGAATTTTAACAAGAGTTATCTGTGATGTAAGAAACATTATTATATTCTTTCTATATAACTTTTTAAAATTTTTGAATTATAAGAAAATTTCGCAATCGAGAACAATGTGATAATTGAAATATTCAAAATTTCCCAAAGATTTTGAGTTTTTTTTTTCGAAAAAATGTTGAAAAACGGCAAAACCTAGAAGCCGACATGTAAATGCAGCGAACAACACACCGACTGGCGACGACGCCAAGCTTTAGGCTTCGCGATTGGCCGCTGGCCACAAAATGGGCGGAGCGATGTGCGAGAGGCGACGAGACGGGACCCCAATGCGCGTCACTCGGTTTGCGAAACGCACTCACATTTGCACGCACACTCGTCCCTGATTGTTCGTCAATTTTTCGACAAATGTTTGGTTAGTTATATTAATTTTTAATTTAATTATTTTGAATAAAATGAAACTATCGATTGGAGGGAAAACGTTGTTGATTCGTGTTGGCCCCCGTTTATTTGTGAATCGGCTCAGATGCTCGGTAGCGAAGACGCAAAATCCATTTTCCGACAGTTTTATACAAATGAAATGAATGAACAATGTTTGTTTTAATTCAATTTTAGTACGATCGATCGATTGGTATCGTTTTTTTCGAGAAAACAAAATTTTGAAGGCGGCATTCGCCGGCATGATTCACATAATTATTGAGAAATTATTTTCATTTTTCTTTCGATTATTAAATAATTATTCATTTCACTTTTTATATTTCAATTTTTTTTATAGTTAAATCTTTAATGTCAAATCGAAAGTTTTTTAGCGGAGGAAAATGTGGAATTTTAATGATTCGATCATTTTTTAAAATTATTCACAAAATAAAATGGATAATGTTTTTTTTTTCGGAGGCCAGAAAACGAAAACGTAATTATTAGATGAATAGTTGTGGTAGTTGCTTTTGGGTTTCTTTTCTTCCATTTTCTTTTCACCTTGAAATCGCAACATTTTCCGGTGCGACAACTATAATTATTTGGGGGGAGGGTCATTACCTCGTATTTCAATCTTCTCCTCTTCAACCGCCCACCATTATACAACCGTTTTTGCAACTATAAAATCGATTTTATTGTTGCGTTGCTCATGAAATATTGAGCGACGGATTACGGTAGTTGGTGGCGGCTGCGAGCGGCGCCGAATCGATTTCTGACGATGAGAGAGAGAGGGAGAGAGAGTGTGCTCGAATGAGAGACGCTGAATGAGCGGCACACCGCCGCGTTTAATTTTGCGTTTCGAGCAATGAGCCATTTGAGAATGATTACTGTAGAATTGAAATCGAAAATTGTTGCTGTTTGCAGGTTGTTGCTCACCCCAAAAAGTGCCGGCATTCACCGCGGAGCAAGAAAGAATGCTCAAATCGAATCAGTCGAATGAGCCGCAGAGTTTCATCACAGCAAAAAATAAGGTTTGGGTTATTTGGCATATTTCTTGATTTTTCAATCAGCATAACCACACTGAACCATTTTTTGTTATTTTATCAGAAAAAAATGAATGAGATTAATATGGAAAATTTGATTAATTCATGAAATTAAAAAGAAAATATTTAAAACACTTGCACATTCGTCTACTGCCAGTAATGTAATTTTGTTTTTACATATTTTGTAAAAAAAAATACATTTGAATAGGCCCATGAGATTTTCCGGCTGATATTGATCGATTGAAATGCTTGACAATATTTCAACACTCTTGTATACATAATAAAACCCGGTTAAAATGCGTTTTTATAGTGCAAATGGCATTCGTTTTTTTTTTTCAAAAGGGATTTAACCAATTTTTTTCAACATAAGAATTGCGATAATAACACACACTTTTTCATCAAGATTCTGCCAATTTTTCAATTTTTTTTGTAAAATAAATTCATTGTTTTTTTTTGTGATAAAATCACGAATCGGAAATCCAACAATTCCACGAATTTGAATTCTTCATAATTTTCCATTGGATTAATTTTTATTGTCTGATTCAAGTGTATTTTCTCTTAAATTACACATTCTCGTAGTTTAATAGAAAAAAGAGGCATGAATTGTCTGAAAATTTGAAATTGAAATGCAAAATTAAATAGTTTGATATGAATGGTTTTCTAGGATGCCAAATCAGACATGATCGATCTTGAGGAGGTCGTGACGAACTGGGCGAAACTCATCTTCGATACCACCAAATCGAAATCGGAAGCGAAAATCAAGAAGAAGTATCTGTCGGTGAGTGTCCACAGGGAATAGATAATTGTTGGGTTTAATCATGCGATTGAGCGTTGCACGCCTGCTCTCGCACGGCTCATAAGCTTGATTTAATTATGGACCAAAACGAGAGACACTGAATAGAGAAACGAGCGGCGATGGGAGAGTAATCGACACCTAGTAGTTATGAGCAAACGGAAATTGACCGAGAGTGGAATGGGAATAGAAGGGCATAGGATTAGCATTATGCGGAATCACTAACTAACTTGTGGGAAAATCCAAACGATGAAATAGTAGTCAAGGGATTTAGAAAACTTTGAAACAAAAAAGGAATTGTTAATTTATATCGAAAATCTCGATTTCGCATTCAATTTCCGTTATTAGATCCATATCTGTTGGCCACCAATATTGAGACATATGCGAAATTAATTGGCGCGCGGCGCTATTCAAACGATGCGCATTTGCTCATTGAGCCAAAATGACAAAATCCACCCAAGGGAGCTGACGATTGAAATGAGCTTGGAAGTGCGCGGCTGGTCCCGCATTGTTGCCGATCGGCTCGTAAATCAATAAGGTGTGCGTTCGCACTTTGGCGGCATATTACACACCGTGATAAATAGCATTGTTTTCAGTATAACATCAACTGGACGAAGCTGTTCCAGGAATGCTCCGAGCCAATCTACACAGTCCTTGGAGCAAAACCACCAGCGATTAGTAGTGTAAGATTTTATTGAATTGTGAAAATTGTTGAATTAGAGGAAACATTTATTTCAAGTATATCAATGAGCACCCTTAAATAGTCTTCTATTCACTATATCCACCCAGCTTTGGGTGATAAAACTGTGAAAAATGTTTGGCATTGAACATGTCCGACTATAATTAGCATTTGATCCGCTTATTCGATCATTAATCTCTCAATTTGATGGGCTTTCGCCAAACAATACAATTCATATTCTTTGCAGTCCAAGGACGAAAAAGTGCTGTTCAAAACGACATTCACGAACACAACCCAACGCGAGCAGGAATACTCGTTTAAGACGGAGAGAGCAACTCGAAGCTCATCGACGGTCATCATCGAAAAAGGCGTTTGTCGCGGAGCCGAGGTCTCGCTGAAATTGAAGACGCCGTGCGAGGTTGTTGAGGCGAATGCCGGATTCACTCAAGAAGTCATGCTCAACCATATTGGTGAGCTAAAATTCTGAGAAACTCGGAAAAAACACATGCGACAAACTCTTTAACAAGTGCAATTTCAGGAGAAAACACGAATGAGGAGGAGCTCTCGTGGGGAGTCGACAGCACTGTGCGGGTTCCGCCGAACACCGAAGCCGTTGCCGAATTGGTGATCATCGAGGACGTGGTAGGGAAATGTTGTGTCGAATGTTGGGGGGAAATTAATTCGAATTCAGGTGACACGCGACTTCCGAATCGAAAATCGCCTCAGTGGCAAAGTGGTGGTGACAAGTAAGTGGACGTTTCATTTCATTCAAATGCAAATCTCGCCTAAACGCATAATAAATACCGTAATCGCGTGACGTGTCAAGGGCTCTTGACATTATTCGACGATTGACCGCTGAGAGTTGTAATTCAATGTGTTTCAGTCACCAACATGAAAGAGAACAATTGTCTTGTGACGGTCATCGAAGGCAACATCGCCGACATCATTCGCGGAATGCCAGACTTCACTGCCAAGGGATTCCGTTTCGACGGCCCGGTGAGTTGTCGGCAGATTTTTGAGTGTTTCATTCATTTCCGAGTAGTCGCTGGATGTGTTTGTGTGTACGCGCGATGAGACCCAGATAACCAGATGTTCATAAATATGTCGTTGTGAAAAAATAATCGAAGAGGAGACAACCAAATTGAAACATTCGATTTGAAAATCTCATATGTAAAAAGTCAGAAATTTCTTGACATCAATCAAAAACTCAATAGTTCTAATCGTTGGTTTTATTTCTCGAAAAATAATTGAAAAAATCGTGTTTGACTAGTAATAATGATAACACACTACATCGGACACACATAACTCCAGCAATCCAGACATTGAGTTCAAATATTCAATGAACATTCGGAATTCCTTGTGCACGGATCATTAAATGTAATGGCTTGACGATAAGAATACTTTGATAATTTTAGGAATGAACAATTCGAATTGATAATTTCAGGCAGTGATCTACGAAACTCGCGGACAATGCATTTTCCGTTTCGGAGTTGAGCAGAAAGTGCACATCAATGAATTCCCATTGAACAATTCGCGTCGCTATTAAGTCACCAAGATAATTTCGACTATTTTTTTTCGTAAAATACTGCCTCAATGCTCACTTATTCTGTTTAGATCTTAAAATTTATGTTTTATTTTTTTTTGTATTTTAAAAACCTTCAATGCTTTAAAAGTGATTTTATCGCCAAATCCGGTATATTAATTAACGATTGTTTTAATTACATTCATTTAATAAATTAAATGTTATTTTGTCTTGAGAAAATCAACAATTAACAAATATAACCACATAAATCATATGACAAGTGAGATTCTCAAAATCAATTAGAATGAGTCTCTTTTAACAGTGTATATAATAAATCACTAGGATAGTTGTAACTTTATTGATTCGATAAAATGCAGAAATATTGAAGAAACTACACTCTCGCTATTAAATGGGATTTTATTCTGAAGATTTGCGCAACTTTTTGAAAAATTTGAATTAGCATAATACAGTGTTGTCGATTGGCTGAATGTCAAAATCTTCGACATCGACAATATTTGTGTAAATAATTTTAAAGTTTTCATCATACTTGTAAAGATTCAAACACATTAAAATGACACAAATTTTAGGTAAATCAGTGCATTCTTTGATTGTCATTGGAATTCGGTGATTTGTGAAAATTCTAAAAACTGGTGCGCAATTTAAAAGAAATCACGACGAAATACTACTAGCGCATAACTTTCTATTTCTTTAAAGTAATCCCGTATATATAAAAAATTGAACAAAACAGTTTGAATATAACAGGAGTTCCAATTTAATGCGTTGCTGTTTCTCTGTTTGATTTCCTCGTGATGTATGACATAATAAATATTCATGATCAACCTACATTCCTTTATGTGATGATTTGTTTTTGTTCATGACATGCCGAAAAAGACGAGGCCAATCATCTGGGGTTGCCTTTTATCAATTCAACTTCCTGGTAACATAGTGAACACACGATTCTGTCAAAGAAACATCTGGTTGACGGATGCACATTCGGTATACTTCAAAGTGTTTGACTACATGTCCAGAATGTCTTTCGGTTCATAATAAAATGTGACGTTGTGTTGATAATTTCCATATAAGCATTTGTGATTACTGTACTCCATTCATCGTATCAATTTTTGTTTGGGTATCAATTGTTGAGGACCCACGCAATGTTTTTTTGATTTTCAGGTTATTTCCGAATTCATTGTTGAAACTTTTTGTTATTCATTGTTTTCCAGTTATTTTGTTGGCATTTTTTGCAATTTTCTCATTGAAGCTCGAAGACATCAGAAACATACTATACATATATTTTTGAATAATTTTTGATTCTTTTCGAATTTGGTTCAACTTCCGCCACGCCGCCGCCAATCTCTTTAAGAATTGAAACGACCTTTTAATTTCTTGATACGTCTTTCCGTTCAGAACAATATAAAATACTTCCCCGTTGCCATCTGATTATTCAACGCGTGTTATCAAGCGGTCTTGCGAGACAAGCACCAAAGAAACAAGTTTGCTCGATTACAGTAACATCATTCCACAATGAATTCTGGGAAAAGCTCGAACGATACGGATAATATACCAAAAAAAGAATCCAATCAAGAACAGGAATCTGCTGAAAAACCATCATCTCTCTATTTCCATGTCAATGATATTCCTGATATATTCTCTATTTTATTATTCGGATTTCAGGTTTGAGTTTTATTTATTCTCTAGCAATTAAAGCTAAGCAAAAAAGCAGAATCCTGTGTAGATTTACAATGTTCAATTATTCAAGATGTTTCTTTTTTGCGATGGTAATATACATACAGTGCTGGCCATAAAGAAATCAAAAAATGGTTTTTTGAGCATAACTTTTCTGAAAGTAGTCCAATCACTCTGAAATTTTTAGACAACAAATAAAACAATAAAAGTGATAAATTCTACACATAAGTTATTAATTTTTTCGAAAAATTAAAACGAAAAGATCAATTTATTAAAAATCAACAGAAACCGGTAAATAGTGACCCGTTTTAAACAAGATCTAAAGTGGTCTTAAAGTTGCAAGCAGGTAATGAAATGATGTACGCAGGCTTAATACTTCGTGGCAAAGCCTTTAGCATCGATGACAGCCTGACATCTTCTCGGCATTGACTCCAGAAGTGTGGTAATGACGGACTGTGGGATGGCTTTCCACGCAGCTTCGAGTTGAGCGAATTTTTGATCCGCATTGTCGGCTCTGACCCCATTAAGGCGTCTCTGGAGCTCCTCCCACATGTGCTCAATCGGATTTAGGTCCGGGGATTGGTTTGGCCACTCATGAACATCCACACGGCGCCGTTGAAACCAATTGCGCACATGAAGTGAAGTATGTTTTGGATCGTTATCCTGCTGGAAAGAGCCTTACGCCACTCAACTCGATGTTTTCGATTTTTAAGACTAATGAATGGTTTCTTCACTGGCCTTCGCCCATGGAGCCCCATCTCTTGCAAACGTCTACCAATGGTTCTCTAGATGGTGCTGGATCGTTTGGAGAGTTCACAATCATCTGGATCATCGTTGCGTTTCTCTTAGGATCTTCTACAGCGGCCCGACCAATGTTGCGATCCATGGTTCGAGTTGTTTCACGCGGTCTTCCGGGAGACTTTCGAACAATACATTTGTTCTAGACATTTAAAATTGTTCAAATATGTTTTAAAAATGTTTCCTGTTCATCAAATCGTTTTAGGATTCGCGAAATAGTTGAAATGGATAGGGCGAATTGCTGAGCAAGCATTTTCGCGGATGTCCCTTGTTTGAAGCCGTTGACGATGGCTTTCTGAATCTCTACAGATGTTGTTTTTGCTCCTTGACGTCTACCCATATCTGGAAACATATTTCCAACTTGATTTATTAAATATACAGCACAATAAAAAAAAACAAGGGCTGGTGATTTGAAAAGTGTGAAAAAATGAAAAAATTAAAAAATTAAAAAAATCCCAAAAAAAATTTTTTTCAAGCATGATGCAATTTGTTGTCTGGATTTGTGCGTAATGATGCTGCGGACACACTCCAAAAATTTCAGAGTGATTGGACTACTTTTAGAAAAGTTATGCTCAAAAAACCACTTTTTGATTTCTTTATGACCAGCACTGTATTTTAATACACACAGAAATTGGACTCCGTCAAAATTAGATTACATAACAAAACGACTCGAGTCATCCGGAAAACGAAAACCGATAATACGGAATAAATTGAATATACATACTGTATACTGGATATAAAAAGGAAATGGTAAAAATAAAAATGACGAATTCAAAATTTATACGAGATATTTCGAAAAACGATAATCCACACAACCACAAAGACTTTGTTTTAGCAAATGATGATCTGCCTATCAGCTCTACTTGTAGTTCCTTATTATGTTTCAACTATGGTCTGTGCGGGTGACCAAGCTATTGAATTACGGTATTTCTCGATTTGGGGTTCTTTTTTATGCTCAATTTTTTTAGAGTGCAATTAATCTCGGCTACATTTTTCACTTCCGGAATTGCAACAATTCTTCAAACAACATTTGGAATGAGGTTAATTGAATGACACCACACTGATTGAACAATATTTACAGATTGTCCATTCTTCATGGTCCTTCATTCGCATTTTTGCCAGCACTTCACACGTTTCAAAATAATTTTCCATGTAATGCTGACACAGATCCCGAAATGTGGAAAGTTAAAATGCAACTTGTTCGTTTTTTTTATTGTTTCACTATATCAAAATTATTTTTTTTTCAGATTTCTGGAAGTTGTATTGTTGCAGTTTTGCTGATGCCTTTATTAGGCCTCACTGGTCTCATTGGTGCATTTTCGCGGTATATTGGTCCCATTACTATCGTGCCAATAATGCTTTTGCTAACAATTGGAACCGTGCCCGACATTGAAGAAAAAATGGGATTGCATTGGATATCGATTTTGTAAAATCGCGTTTCCTCATTCGGAAAACGATAAATATGATGATTACAGAGAATTTCTCATTCTTATTTTGTTCGTAGTTATTCTCGAAGAGTGGGAAGTTCCGATTCCGGCATTTTCTTTCAAACGACGTCGATTCTATATTGCGAGACAGAAAATTCTCAGCCAGTTCCCAGTGAGTTTCCTAATTTTCATAGGCCATTGAGAAAACGTTTCTCCATTTCCAGTATTTGATTGGAATTTCGATTGCTTGGTTCATTTGTTTCATCATGACTGTGGCCAATTGGACGCCTGTTAATAGTCCCGCTCGAACCGATCATAATGACAGCTTGCATGTTCTGGAAACGACACCCTGGTTTCAAATTCCAATGCCGGGTTAGTCTTTATCAACAACATCTCGTTCTAGTTTTATTAAATGCAGATCATACATTAACCAGTTGATTTAGGACGTTATGGTGCACCGAAATTCAATCTTGCTCTCGTATTCGGATTTCTGGCATCGTGTGTTGCCGCAATGATTGAAAGTATTGGAGATTACAGTGAGAAAGTTGCATCATTTTTGTTTCCGAACAGCTATTTTAGATCTTTGTGCAAAAATTTCTTGCCAAGACCGACCGCCTCCATCGAACATTAACAGAGCTTTTGTCGTCGAGGGAATTGGCTGCATTTTGGCTGCATTGATGGGAGTCGGAACTGGAATCACGACGTACGCCGAGAATATTGCGATTATGTCTGTGACAAAGGTATTGACTCCAATTTTATTTCATATTAGTTGTACATTTCTAGGTGGCAAGTCGAGTCACAATGCAAGTTGCTGGCCTTCTTCTAATTACCACAGCCGTTATTTCGAAATTTGCCGCATTTTTGGCCATGATTCCGGAGGCAATCATCGGAGGAGTTCTCGCAATTGGAGTATGCATGATAAATGGTGTTACTCTCAGTAATTTACAAGTATTGAATACAGTAATCCGCCAAACAAATGAGCAAGTTTATATGAGAGCGTTGATCTACGAATCTCTCGAAATCTCACAATTATGGGTGTTGCTGTGATTATGGGTTGCACTGTACCAATGCATTTCGAAAAGCATCCTCTGAGAACTGGTATGCGAAAATTGCCGTCAATGCCATATCATATTTCTAAATCTATAAAAGGTATCACAATAGTGGATGACGTATTTGGTACATTGCTCACAATTCGAATGCTCATTGGCGGAGTGATTGCATTTGTCCTTGATAATGTCACTCCAGGTAGGAATAGATTCAGTTTGAGAAATACAGAAGTGATTTTGAAGGCGCAACTCGCGAACAGCGTGGATTCCCAACTGAGGAATGTTCAGATCTTACTCCAATTCATCACAATGGATATGTATTTTCATCTTCAGTCAACAGGTAATATAAATTTCAAAAAATTTGAGATGGATTAATTTATTTTTGTTTTAGATTTTTTTTGAAATACAACTGGCTTACTCATCTGCCGGTTGTACCATCAAAAAGCGAAATATCTATAACAGAAGATCAAAGGAGTGCTTCATCATCAACATCGATTTTCAAAGTTTGAGCATGTTCCTATTCTGGTGTACATTAACTCAAACTGGTACTGAATGTATAACATATGTTGCCAATTTTTACGAGTTGCCACAGAACTCATTTGAAAAAGAAATATTTAAAAAAATATGTGAACTAAATTATTTTTGATATTGTTGAGAAATGACAAATCTATCCAGGTGTCGTGGGATCCTGCGTTTTGTACGCAATGCGATGAGCCAGTTACCGTAATCCACCAAGCGATTTACGGGGACGTTTTTAAATATCGTAATATTTTTTTCTGCTATATTTATCAAAAAAATATCGTTCAAAATAAAATATTTTGCTAAATAAATAATAAAAATCGTTTTCTACAGATTTCAAACAAAAAATTTCGAAACAAAACACAAAAATTGAGTTAAAAACCATGAAAATACGAAAATTATAAGTTCCACGTAAATCGCTGCAAGGATTACGGTAACTGTTTTATCGCATTGCGTACAAAACGCAGGATTCCACGACACCTGGACACATTTGTCATTTCCCAACAGTACATAATTTTTCAAGTTGCAATATGTATAATTCACAGAAACTTTTAGTTTTAAGTTTATTTCTGTTCAAATTTTATTATCCCGAAAGCTTTTTTGGACATCCTTGATTATAACGGCGAACGTAGAAGCTTTTTCCGTCGTCATCCTAAATTAATTTTAAAAAAATATTATTTTGAAAGTTTAAACCGACTCACTTTTTCGAGTGTCATGTTTCCTTTTGTCAAATAGGTAACTTCTTGATTTTTCGACGAAACATAGTGGTAGAAATCGAATGTGATCGATTTTTCGTGAAGTTTGATATTATCCATGTGATACTGAATGCATTTGAACTGATAACTCAATATGATGAAATCGAATTGTTACTCTGCTATAGCTTGCATGCAAGATGTCGCGGATTTTTGGAATTCCGTACGATGGAACCTTGTCGCAGGCAACATATTCGGACTTATTCTTGCGGAACTGCTGCAGAATCAACGGCTTGTCGCCTTCGAGAAAAGCGGTATCGAACGTGCCAGTGATACTTCGGACAGCTTTCATCGCTTCGTTCACCGAAATCTTCGCCGAACTCTAAACCCACTGAGTGCATTGAAAATATAAAGGAAAACACTCACCAAACAAAGTAGAAAAGAAAAGACGAACAATATCGGCGTGTTCATAGTTGGTGTTTCATTTATTGAACACCATTCATCATTTATACTCATCGTGCCTCTCTTTTTATAATAACATAATTAAATTAGCAAAAAAAGCAATAATTTAATTATTTCGATTTAATTAATGGCGTAGCATAAGAAACTTTGTTGAAAAATGTTTTCCTACGTACCGATACAATTGATAATTCTGCGGAATCATAATTTTCCGGACGTTATTTTTTGTAATTTCGACATTTTTAGTACATATTGACAAAAACGAACAAATTTGGTAAATTGGAATGATTAAAACAACATTTCAGGCCTCAGAGCGATCACTTCCCGGTGTTTTTTTCTTGAGGACGCGGATCCAATTTCCCTTAACTATTCAATTCAAAACGGATGCGAACAATATCCAATAGGATTCAAACTATGTAATACAAATTGGATCCGAGAAATTATTAATGGCATCCAAAAAATCCAAAACCCAATCAGATCCGACAATCATATCCGTTGAATCCAGTCAGACCAGCTTGATTCCGGCCAAATTTAGAAGGATACGATTGGTTTTGAGTTATCGGAGACAGAAATCCAGGAAAATTGGGAATATTTTGTTTGTTTCGGACAACTTTTGAGCCACCCACTATTCAACAGAAACCGATGTTATTAAATCAGAACGGAGCAAAAATGAACAAAATCTTATGTATCAAATTGAATATTCCTATTGATGCTAAATATTTTAAAGTGTTCCCATATATGTACATATACCTTCGAAAATCAACAGTAATGTTTGGTTGAAAAAATTCGGAAAATTTCTAGATAGAGAAATGAAACATTTTCCAGCAACAGGAAATTTCTCACACATTCCGACGAAGTCACACAACTACACACAGTAAGGAATCCATGTGAGCAGGGGAATATGCGGGCACCCGCAGGGAAATAACAAGCGGACGCGGGTAGTGTTTTCGCCCTCATGGATGCCTTAACACATACTACACAAAAGCTCTTCGTCACAAAACCTTTTAAACATTTTCAAAGATGACCCGTTTTCAAAAATAAAGACTTACCTGTTTGTGGTGGATTCAAAAAATCAAAACAAAAATAAATAAAAAAAACAAAAAAGAGCAAAATAATCATCGCATGTCCAAATTGATTCACATTCAACTGAAACAGAGAGCAGCAAAAACGATGGAACCCTGAAAATATTCCAATTTATTCTCGAAATTCAAAACATATTTCCTTAATTGGTAATCAATCGATTCGGGTCAATTTGAGAATTTGAACAGTTGAATCAGTTCTCGCTGTGATTCGAGGAAATTTTAAATTATTAATATTGCCTGCGGAACTTGGCTAAATGCAAAAAAACCAATTACAGCGTTCTTGAAAAAAAAAACATGTGGAGATTAGTTGAAAGCGCACACCACTCGCCGAAACCTTTGGATTTTCTTTGTATTTGGCCAATGTTCGACAATCCCTTCTCATGTAAATGAATATCAATCGGATTCGCAGGAAAATTAAATGTAAATCAACATGATTCGATTGGAACAGAATTGAAATTCGATTGAGAAAATGTTTAAATTCGATTCAAAAATTGTCGAAATCGATTTATTTCTCATTTTCAAATTTGAAATCGTATTCGATTGAAATATTAGAACAATTCAAAACAGATTAATTTATATTCGATTCGATTAAAATGAAGTTATTTTCGAATCCGATTGAATTTTTATTTACTAGAGTTTTTCAAACATTAATAAAACGGGGGAAACAAGTTTGAAACAGAATGTACAAAACCACCAACCTTATACAGAAGATAATCTTTCCGATTCGCCTCATAGGTAGATTGGTAATCCCGCTTCTTACGGGGATATCCACAATCATTGAGCGACTTGAGGAAAATTGCAACTCATTTCTATTATCTGAAATTGAAGTCGCAATATTAAAAATAATAACCGAAATGGGAAACGAAAGTAAACAATTGATTAAGTTGCAAAACTAATTAAAGTGCTAATTAGCCCGGTCTTTAATGACAAACGGGATGTAGGAGATAACGCACTGTATCAGAAGTTGGGTCGAACTGTTTTCAAATCCTTTTGCTGGTCGCCCAACACTTTTCACCTAGAAAGCGGCTATAAATGACTGGTTTCAGCAAGTGTATTTCGCGTCGAACCGATTGAGCAATTTGGATAAATTACAGTAATTAGCTGAAATTAAAACGATTAATTAAATTCAAAAATGAAAAGCAAATTACGTCATGAGCGATTCGAGTTTCCTCAGAATTTTAACACGGCGGAATATAATCTCATTCGATCAGGCGCTTTGAATGTTTTCGAGCTTTCTGAAATATTCAATTAAAAAACACCAAAAAAGTTTCAAAACTGATTTCCGAGAGTAGCAATATCCGGATCCATAAGCGTCTAAGGGTAATCAGAAAATTACGCGCTAAAGCGCCCCAGCTCCAATGAGCTGTTGTGAGACAACAACCGACAGACTACCCCTAACTAAATTAAGCATTTTTTGCTGGCGGGTTAGAGCTTCCGAGCCCCTGGACGTTGGCTCCCCCGCCTGGATAGTTGTCAGCTTCCAATCACTCAGCGGCTTTTTTGCGAAATTTCTTCGCCCTTTGAACACTTGAAATCCAAAATGCCGAGTGCCGCGGACGGATGCAAATTCGTATATTGTCTGCAATACAGCTAATTTAATAGGTTTTCAATACAAATAATATAAATAATTCGCGATTAAGTGAAATTAGTCAAAAATTTACAGCAAAATTGAAGAAAAACTGAAAATGAATGAAAAGAGCGTGGCAATTGAACACGTGGAAAAAATGCGATTACTGTAGGACAAAATCTGCATATGACAAAATTGACGAAATAAGGAACAATTTTTGATTTTTGTTTAAAATTATCGATTCTAACTAATGTTCCCGATTTCTCGGCTATTTAATTTTCGAAAAATGTTGTTTGAACTACTTACAATTTTATGTCTCATTCATCTTCATACCATTGCATTGGTTTTTTTCAGATTTGCTTAGCGAAACGGCGAACACGGACAATGAAATCATCGACGTCCAGACTTTCAAAAATGGAAAATGAATACATGTAATATTTTTAGCGAGCGTATTTGGAAGAAGGCAACACAAGCATTTTTATTTTGTTTGGATTTAAATTAAATTAGGTGTTGTTTAAATTTAAATTAGGAAATCGTCTCTCAATTATGGGAAGATTTTAAAATTTAAAAATTAATTAAACTGTGAGTTCAAAAAATTTCGTTTTAAATACATGTAATATTTCGTTTCATTAATCTGCATTTTTTCACACACTCTGTTTGTCCCAAAATGTTCCGCGGCTTATCCAACACCAAAATGGGTCAATTGTTTGCGCCGAACGTTAAGTAATGCTTAAAAAAACCAAACGAAAATTTGAGATTGAAATTGATTTTTGTTTAATTTCTCATTGAATATTGTCGATTAGGGATTCCCCGCGGGCGAAAATTGTGACTTCCCGCTGCAATACGCGTACAGTCCACATGCACCTATCAATTTCCGGGTCGACGACTTGCTCTTCTGTTAAAACAAAACGAGCAAAGTTTAGTACACATTTTAGAATTTCTTTTGTTTTCACAGATTCATTTTGAGAAAAATGGAAATCATTTTGAAAAAAAATGTTAAACATCTAACGGAAATGCCGACAAATTAGCTTATTTGTTTCAATTTTCCTGTATTTAATTGTAGTGTATCTTTTTTAAACAAAATTTGGACTTTTACCATAGACAGTTTGTCAAAAATTTCACCATAATTACGTTAGAATTAAATTAATAATCAATTTAGGTGAAAAGGGCGCAAAAAAACTAATTATGGACCGCATTATTTTGAGGCCGTAATTCTATATTCAGTTTAAACTGTAGGAATTCCGCAAACGTACTCTCGATAAGATAAATTATCGAAAATCAATGTAGAGCGGTAATTCTTTTTGTGAATTTAATAATATAAAGTTTTTTTTTTTCATTTTAAACCACACAGTTCTGTTTGAAAATGATTGCTTTTTACTGATTTGTGGGCCTGATGGTTCCATTAAGATTTATTTATGGATCAAGCCATTCAAATCCACTGCCCTCCGATTTCGGTGTCGAAACACTTCAATCATCATCGGGCTAAAAATTGTTGAAACAAACTGTAAAAAAATCAAGTTGTAATTGATTATTGTCAACAAACTATCATTCGTTTCGTGTCAAATTCAGTATTCCGTAAAATACCACTCGAAAAATTGACAAATATTCAAAGAATAATTAGCTAGTTGTTTTTTCCCAACTTCACTGCCCTCCGATCCAATTTGCCATAACACATGGTTCATCATTGGGCTCAAAATACATTTTTGTGGTTTTTATAATAATTAACCACTGGTCATTCGCAGAACATAAATTTGATAGACCCTTTTGATTCAAAAACCACTCAATTTCTAGCGTTTTTGATTTCCCTGCCCTCCGTTCCAAAGTATATTTTAAAGGAACATCATCGGGCAAAAAAAAAAACAACGAACGGAATTTCTGACTCAATTCTTTTTGGCAAAGCCTCATTTCTCGTGGCTTCGATTTTCCATGTGAGGTCCAAAGAAGAATTCTGAAATTGAGAATTTGACAATAAATTTTGAAAAAAATAATATTTTCTTACCTTTTAGAAGTAGCTAAAATTGAATTCCACAAGAAACAGTAACAAATATGAAACAAAAGAAAAAAACACATAAAAAATATATACAATCAAACGACTATGGATCTTTTTGACATAAAAATAGTTGTCCGTCGTTAATTAAATCAATTCAATTCCTGCTTTTAAATATTTTTTCAGTATTTTTTTCTTATTTTCTCTTCATTATTTTTTGTATATTTTTAACTAGGTTCAAATTTCTTCTTTTCTCATCAAATTAACTGGAGATATACATTAGGGACCATTGGAAACTATCAACGATCATATCGCAATATCCAAATCAAAATTCATCTGTTTTCTTCGGAACTTTCTGTTTTCTTTCCAAATTGTG